CAGCCCCCGTTCGATCCTCCAACCAACACAGAACATCTGAATAAACACGACTACTCCGTTCTCTCAATCTCCTTCCACCCCCCTACATCTTCCTCCCATCCAATTTTACTCGATCAATGAACCCTGATATGTCGTAGAAGCGAGTTTGGCGATTTAAGCGAGTTTGGCGATTTGATCTGTGATAAGGGAACAGGAACCGAAACTTTGGCATGTGGGATAGACTTTCCAATACCAAGAGCCCGCTCCAGAGGGCGGCATTGACATCCACAAAAGTACTCGGTATCCAGAGCAAACAAACAAACGATACGAGAGCGAGATGAGAGAAGTATCAAATTCCATCACAGACCCCTCAAAAACAAAAACAAACTCCAAACTCCATCTACACACAACCACCCATCCATCAATAACCCAAAAGAGTCCACCTCATACATCTAAACATTCTCGACCTCAACTCCTCAAACCAATTTAGCCCCCAAACTCCCCGTACTAAGATGTCCCCGATTCCCCATCACGCCCCTCCACCCCAAACTCAACGATCCAAAAACCACTCTCCCATCAACAACCTCCGTCTCCCCCCCATCCCTCTCCTCCAACAGAAAACAAACCTGCTGCACATCCCCAGGCATGAGTACCGGTTTCTCCCCCTCGCCCTCGATCTCCCAGTTCAATCCCTGGCCTGTGAAGCCCGCGCGCGTGTCGAGGTGCACGGTATCCAGAACAATAGTTTCCTCGCCGCAGTTCTCGAGCTGGGCTTCGAGGGCCCAGCGGCGGAGGATGTCAGATGGAGAAGGGGAGGGGAGGAGTCCCGTCTTGGTGCGGACGACCATGCAGCCTTTGCAGATGAACTGGTAGAGCTTCCTGAACGTGCGGACCTTGCCACTGGTTGGTGTGGTCTCCGTGTACGTCACCGTGACAGCCAGGACATGACTCCCCTCCTCTTTCAAATCGAAGTTGACGACTTTCTGCAAACTTCTTCCGGGCTGTAAATCCACCCCCCCTTCTCCCTCTTTCTCCCCTTCGCCCTGAGATACAGCTTCCGGACCAAGAACGAGGGGAATCGCAACTTTCGAGCTGGGAATCTTCATCTCCGCCTCGATTCGCACGTTCGTGATCGTCTTGGGCGTGCTGGCCCCCTGGAGTACCTCATTGTTCGCACAGAGCGTACAGCTAAACGTTTCACCGACGTACGCGGATCCGAACGCCGGGGGGAGCGTTAGTAGAGGGGAGAGGATGAAGGCGTCGTTGGTGGAGGAGGGGTATGCGAGGGAGGCGGAGGGGGCGGGGAAGAGGGTGGGTGAGTCGGAGGGGGAGCTTGAGGGGGTTGGTAACGGGAGGGGATGTTGAAGTGAGAGGGAGGGTCGGGAGAGTCTGTTGTAATTGGATGTTAGTATGTAATTCTGATGTGCGTCATAGTATTGTATGAGGGGGGATAGCTATAGCTATATCTATAGCTACAGCTACAGCTATAGTACGAACCTCAGGACCTTGAGGGAAACAGAATGGGGTTCTTTGACTGCATCCCCTGCATTGGCACCGCGCTGAAGCGCCATATTTCCTCAAGCCATGTAAGAAGTATGTAATGTAATGTACAAGTATCGAATATGTACTCCGTACCAATGACCCAATCGCAAAGTAATTGTCAATGTCAATGTCAATGTCAGTGTCACCTTTTCTTGGGCAGGACCAGACAGTGATTCTCGTGTTCCGTAAAGCTTGTACCTCGGGACCAAGTCTCAAATCAATATTCTACGAAGGGGGTCGCGGGGATGCCGCATCTCACGCCCGCCCTGTTCCACCCCTTCACCCCTCCCACCGCCTTCTTATCGCGCGTGCACCCGGGGCGGCACTCACTGACTGACCTGACCTGCCGGCGGGGGCTTCCATTCAAGGACCGACGGAGGTCAAGTCAAGTCAAGTCAAGTTCCAGCCAGCCCAGGGACCAGCATTCTCGCTCCCATCCATAAAAGCCAAAATTAATAAAAAAAAGACACAAACACAGAAACAGACTGCGACCTACTTCGTACCATTCAGACCCTGGAGCAAACCCAATTCCAGCAAAAAAAAAAAATACAATTCTATCTCAGACAGAAACGAGGAAAACGAGGAGAGGGAGAGTTCCGTCCTAAGATCCATACCGTCTACACAACAACCCAACAACAACAATGGCATCATCACACTCCACCACCAACTCCATCACCACCATCAACACCATCGGCACCATCGACATCTCCAACGGAATCCCGCTCCAACGCGCCGAAGGTCTATTATTAGTTCTCGAGACGCCGAAAGGTGTGTACCTACCCTACCCTACCCTTTCTTTCCTGATGATTCGTTCGTTTGGGGTATTCCTTATTCAGCGTCGCAATGGAGGAAAGGTTGGAAACGATGTACTAAGATATATTTGGATGGGAATAGGTCGAGGAGTATTCGCCAGTCGAAATATCCCCGGACGAACCGTCATCGAAGTCTGTCCCGTCCTCGTCCTCGACCCCATAGAGAATGAGAAACACGTCAAGGAAACTGAGTTGTACCATTACACATAGTAAGTCCCCCTCCACCTGCACTCCCTCATTTCCCCTCCATACCCAGCAAACACCGACACGTGACCAACTTGCTCATTCATCCCAATTATATCCATCCCGTCCATCCCCTTCCATTTTCTTACAACTCCATAAACCTCCAAAAAAACAAGAATGAACAAGAAAACTAACCATATAAACACAGTAACTGGCCCATCATGCCCCCCACCCAACCAGGAGCCATCCCCCGCAAACAAATCAACGGCCAACGCGCCCCCGTCATCACCCAAGCCCTCATCCTCGGGTTAGGAAGCATGTTCAACCACTCGGTCCCCAATCAAAACGTCGGCTGGGACCGCGATCTCGCCAACAAGCTCATGACTTACACCACCCTGCGGGACATCAAGGCCGGCGAGGAACTCTGCATCTCCTACGGTCAACGTCTAACCTTCAAGGATACCGAGGAGATGGAAGAGGAAGTCGTCATACCACAGGGACAACCAGGTTCCGAGGATTGGACTGAGGTTATGGATTACATAGATTTCATTGGTTGATTCAAAGGGGGAAAAGGATTGGATTTTCATTTTTTAATTGGGATTGGGAGCTCTGCATTGGTGGCGTTTGGGGGCATTCACCGTTACAAGAACATTGGAGACAGAGCGCATTCTCAGAGTAGTGTACATTGAAAAAAAGAGGTATCCTGCAGATTTTCGTTTCCTTTTTTCCCAACCGCCCAATGACCAGCGCGAAACAACAAATTGACCAGACCCTAGAAATGCATGAGACAACCTAAAGAAGTAGTAAGAAGAATCAAGTCAGAGAAATCATGTCAAATGACAAATTCACATTCCTGGTGGTGGAGGGACCTGCAACAATGTTAGTCTCTTCACCAATAGGGCTTGTCTTTTCCAGACTTACTGCATTATAACCACCTGGAGCGCCTGCAGATGAAGCACCTGGTGGGGGTGGAGGTGGTGCTTCGCTAGGAGGCGGCGGAGGAGCAGCTTGTTGAGCCTGTGCCTGGGCATAGTACTGTTGATATGCGGCAACATATCCAGCATAACCACCATACGCAGCATAAGGATCTCCACCGTTAGCAGCATAGTATTGAGCGTACTGGGCAGCATAGTCAGCTTGAGAAGTGGGACTACCAGCGCCAGGTGCAGCCTGCGCGGTAGTTGGACTCATGACGGCGCCTGTAGGAGCTGGCGAGTTATTGTATCCTCCATACCCACCACCACCATGGCGATCTCGATCACGGTCTCCACGATCTCCTCGATCATTGTGGTTTCCACGGTCTCCACCATACGAGTTGGATCTATCAGGAGCACGATCACCATAGCCACGTTCACCTCCATAACCGGTGCTTGGTGCTCCATAGCCACGTTGTGGTGGTGGTCGGTTCTTGAACTCTTCATATTGCTCTCTGACGTTCTTTAGCAAATCCTCGCAAAGTTCCTTTGCTTGCTTGACCTTTTCCGGATCAGGACCGCTATAGAAAATTAGCAATAAACCGGAATGGCATGCAGATATACATACGCAACATGCAAATACATGTCTTCATCACTTTCGCGGCCAGTGCCATGCTCCATGAAACCTGATCCCCGACCCTTGATTTGGACACGGCATTGTGTTTCTTGCTGGATATGTTTGACGTATGCACCTCCATGACCAACGACCTGAGCACGAAGGTTAAAACCTGGAACCGGGGCAAAATCAATAGGGATCTTCTCCTCGGGCCATTTTTTCTGTAATCAAGTCAGCGGTGCAGAACACCCTTGAATCCGCAACAATCACTCACTCGGCCAAACTCATCTCTCTCAAAGTTCTCGGGTTCACGGCGGCGAAATCTTCGTTCATCCACTAGATTAGGGAGTTCCTGCTTCATTAATTCCTCAATCTTTTGAACCGCCTGCTCAAGACCTCGCTTGCTGGTACTAGTAACATGGAGATAAAGTGGTGGATTCTACAAACAGGATTAGCTGTATAAACCTCTGTATAAACCTCCAACTCCGGGGATTGATACTCACAGCAGCCGTGGCCATGCTTTTATCAGGATAGTAATTTCCACGCGTAGTGACATCTTGAAAAGTCAACATGAAAGCTCTCTAAAAAAAAACAGTAAGTTGTAGGTAGGTGTGGCGTACCAGCTCCGGTTTCTTCCTTGATCTAGATGTCACGCAGCGGATGTCAGCAGATGCCAATAGGTATGTTTTGTCAGTGAGTGGTGCTATTTGAGCTTCAGGTAAGTTTGAAAGTCCCAACACCAAGATCATACACTCGAGGAAAAGAAAAAATGAGCATTGGAATCCAAAGCTATATAGTTTGACGAGGAAGAGCCTGAGTATATCAGTGGAATATTAACACAAGGAGTATTTACCATCTTTTGCGTTGAACCCTTGGTCAGTGTATAACGATTGCGGAGGTCATTGACTTCGATGTCCTTGATATAATCGCCATCCGCAATGTACATCTCACCATTTACTTGTGCTGCGCTATTATTGGCTCCTCCGTTGCCTCCTGCTGGAGAAGCTGATGCTGCAGCGGGTGGGTCTTGAGATCGGATAGGTGGAACATCGACATGCTGGATGCCTTTCTTGGCTTGGATTTGCGCGTTGATTCTGGCAGCGGCTGCGGCTGTGGGAAAGAATGTTAGCAGAGTTTTTCCATTAGGACAAATCCTTGGTAAACAAACCTGCTGCGGCGGCTGGATCAGCAGTGGGCTTCTTTGCGCCATCGGCCGCTGGACTCCCTGGCTTTCGATCGATGGGACTTCTGCTTCTTCGCGATTCGGCCTTTTTGGCTGGTGGGGATCTTGATCGTCTGTCAAATCTTGAGGCTCTTTTTGGCTCAGGTTCTTTCTGATCAAAGCGCGAACGCTTGGCTGTGCGTCGTTCTGTATCATCCATCGTGAGGATGTGTCGAAGAATCCGGGTTATGGATGGTCGGTCGCAAAGCAGCAAGCTTGGAGTTGAGGTGAGCAGCGGGACCTAGAAAAGGTAGCCCGCAGGTGACAGGGGAGTTGTTTTCAGCCTCATGATTTTGCCGTTGGTGGAAGTGGATACAAAGAACCCCAGACTGGCTAAAGCTAGCCTCGTTGGTGCCGCTATCGGCCTCCACATCACCAAACTCTCCCCAGACCCTCTGACTCTCACCTCCATTTCCCAATTGCTTCTGCTGTTGAGAAGGAGGAAGGGTAAACACACCAAACATCATTCACGGCCTCCAAGGGCATTCTACCAACCACCATGGCCTCCCGAAAAGCTATTCTGGCGCTGTCAATTCGAGCTGGTATCTCTCGAACACCCACCGCTCTGCTCGCGCGCCAGCAATTGCGGGCAGAATCCACGGCTTCATCCACCTCGGCTCTAGCATACAAAGCGCTACATAAACGCATCTACCCTCTCCCCAAATCCGATTCCCCTCCTTCGTGGTCCGCCCAAGCCGCCGTCTCCAACATTCTCTACGAAACTCCCACTCCCTCCGCTACCCCTCCAAAACGTCACATCCTCAACTGCCTAGTACAAAACGAACCCGGAGTCCTCTCTCGCGTGTCCGGAATTCTCGCAGCTCGAGGTTTCAATATCGACTCTTTGGTAGTATGCCATACCGAAGTCGAGGACCTGTCCCGGATGACAATCGTCCTATCAGGACAAGACGGGGTAGTAGAGCAAGCACGACGCCAATTGGAAGATTTGGTCCCCGTATGGGCAGTTTTGGACTACACCACCGCACCTCTAGTCCAACGAGAACTCCTCCTCGCAAAGATCAACATCCTTGGCCCTGAATACTTTGAAGAACTACAAGCTCATCACCGAGAAATCACCGCCAACGAGGGAGAGACTTTGGAGGAACAGGAAGAATGGGCACTCCGACGGTCATCAGAGTCCAAGAAGCAGGGCGAGGATTTCCATCCCAGTAAACTCGCGCTTTCGGAGGCTTTAAGACATAAACATGAGCATTTGAAATCCATCACGTATTTCACCCACCAATTCGGCGGTAAAGTCTTGGATATCAGCACAACTAGTTGCATTGTCGAAGTGTAAGTACTCCATGACCTCACCAAAAATAGTAGCATGCTAACAAGCTCCCACAGCTCAGCAAAACCCGTCCGAATCGATTCCTTCATGAAACTCATCTCCCCCTTCGGAATACTCGAGTCCGCACGAACCGGTCTCATGGCCCTACCCCGCTCCCCCCTCTACGGCGCCAACGAAAGCGAGCTCATCAAAGACGCCGACGACATCGTAGATGCCAGCACTCTCCCACCAGGATAAATGATTTCAAATAGTAGAACAGCTTCAACTCACGTAAAAAACACACATCTGTATTTGGTGCACGGCGTTGATGTCATTTTTCCAAGATAAGGGAGGCACAATCTTCGGATGTTTGTAGAGATAGACTGGGTGGATAGTAGCTGACTGAACCTTTGTGTCTATCTAATCTATACATTTGAGAAAAAACATGAAACCCTTCACATTCGCTCTAAAACGCCTTCTCATGTTGCTTTTGTCAGTGACAAGCCCTTGTCTACTTACCCTTGACCAATCCATTATCCAAAAAAGTAAAAAACTCCAATCCCATAATACAATAAGAGAAAAACGCTATACACAAACCCGGAGAAAAAATACAGCTCAAATCCTAATACTAGCCCCAATCCCACTCCCAACATACCAAATCATCTCCCTCCAAAGTCCCACCTTCACATCCACCGTCCCCCTCGCATCCAACTTCAACGAGCCACCCAGCCCCTCCTTAATCTTCTCATACCCAACACTATCCAAACTCCACACCACGGGGAGTCTAGGACTCGTACTTTGTCCCGGTGGGACTCCAAATGGAAGGTTATAATCGATATGACCCACAGGCTCGGTATGGTTATACAGAGCCGTGGCATTGATTTTCTCGATGAATATGGTGCTGTGTTGTAAGGGGGAGAGGAGGACGAATTCTGCTGTGGAGGAGAAGAGGTGGAAGGTTGCTTGTTTGATGAATTGGGGTTGGTCGTCGCCGTCGGTGCGGTCGTTTGGGGAGTGGAGTCTGGGTGTTGGGATTTCGATTTTGAATTTGGAGAGGGTTTTTCCTAGGGAGGGCTGGAAGGGGATTGAGTCTTCGTGGGTGCTGAAGGTGAGTGTTGTGTTATAACCGGATACATATTGAGAGAGTAATTCCCGACCAATTTCCTGGGCTTTGTCGCCGCCGAATTTGGAAGGGTTCCAGGTAGCGCGGACCAGAAGATTCGTGTTGTTGCCTTTTATAACTGTGACATTTTCTGCTGTGGCGTCTCCCAGAATGGAACCGTTGTTGAGGACATGTATATTAACAAAAGGAACTTGCGCCGTATAATCCGTCGGATTCGTAAAACTAACGCGTGCTTCGAAGGCAAGAGATGTTTTAGAGGTGTCTAAGATGCGTAGATCGCCGACTTGAGGCTTCAGGTCGCCCAAGCCATTGCCAATAGAGATCGCTGCAATCTCGTCAGCTGGGAGCGTGTCGAGCTGAATAAATCATTATAAATGGTGGTGTCTAACGCTTTACTGGAACACTCCCGCTAGCGGGCATTTCTTTGATGGGAAGCTTGCCCAAAACAGTAGAGACTTCGACGTCAACAAGAGCTTCTATCTCAAGAGACAGGGGACTAGAGCCAAAAATGAGAGCTTGTAGCACCCGTGAAAATACTTCGTCGTCGGTGATATCCAGCGGAGCATTTTTGATTTGGGATTGAATCTTCATGGCAGCGCCTTCGTCGTCTGTTGGTTCAATTCGGGTAGAATTGGAGGCTTGCCATTTCTTCAAGTTAAGTTCCCCCAATTTCCTTCCCTTATATTTTACATCGGACGTAGCTTTGACTTGCATGACGTTAATTCCAAAGTTCATCTCCTTCGGAAGAGCAGCAATCACAATGATGTTGCCCGAGATCTGTGGCTTTGATTCGTCTGATCCTGGTCTAGCGCTTGGGTCTGGTAGACTGAAATCGGTATCGGTCAAGGAAAAGTTTTTGATAGCATTATCGAAAGTGTGACCAGGAAATGGCACGGGAACTGTAATGCTGGAAATGATATTCATGATCCATTCCGGGGTTTCTCCATCTGGTAGACTTGCGCCCCGAACAAAAATCGTTGTGTCTTTCCCGCTGATGTATTTCTTGAGAAGAAAATCGAGAGGGGAATATTTCTTGTTAGGGCAAGTCTGCAAAAGAGACTTGGGTAACTCCCTAACAACTCCCGCGACATCGACTTTCACCTCAGATTTTGGTTCCACGTCAATGGGATAGGTCTCTGCATCTGCCAAGCGGATATACGGCTCATCGTCTTTGCAATTTGGTACAAGAATGTCAAAACCAAGAGGAGGAATTGTAAACTTAACGGGAAAGCTATTGATGAGAGACAAAGAAACATCTGCAGCCATACCACGTCGACCATCAGATGAAATTGGGACTTCGTGGATATTCATACGCGTGATGTTATACTCGGGAATGGCGGGGAGATTATTGCCTGAATTCGAAATTAGCCAAGTGTCTCAGAGTTGTCCTTGAAGTAATCTTTCTTTGAAGAGTTGGCAACATTCAAAAAACAATGTCCAATAAACCTGTCAGACTATTCGCTAATGTATGCATGTATCAACTAATACTCTCATTCCATTGGCCTAGGTTAAGGATTTCTCTCCAAGAAACAGGGACGCAAAAGAACGGTAGAGTGATTGACCTTCAAAAACCAAAGATTCCGAGATGGTCTGGGTACCAAGAGGAATCAATCCAGATTTTAGGTCAACGTTTGCTTTTCCCAAAAGTCTGATGCTGGGAAGCCGTCCCTCCAGCCAATCATTCGCAACAAGCCGGATACCATCGATATCCCCTGGCTGTAGTTCCGCGATAATGTCAATACTGGTGGCGTGCCCGTTCTGGATGTTTACTTTGACTGGAGGGACAGTAGCCGAGCCGATCAGGATATTCCCATACTCTGGTAGATAAACATCGACTTTCGTTTCTTTGCTTTCCACTTCCCGAGCAACCCATGTACCAAATACTCCGATATTTTTGAAATTCTTATTCTTCACTCTTGAGGCGTCCATTTTGAAATTGGCCTGGACTCGTGCATTGACTCCTGTTTTTGTAAATGAATCGATAGATAGACTCGTTGGCTCGATGACTAGTGCCTCCCTTGCATACTCCTCAACAACCGCAGGTGCAAAAAATGCACCAAATATAATACCTATCGCCAGCAGCCCAAGTATACTGATAGCAACGATTGTGGGCCATCTACGGCCTCCCTTCTGAGACTTGGACGGGGCATTTCCCTGCAAGGAACGTAAAGACGCAGCTGCTGGGGAAGTGAGGAATTCACCCTCAATATCCTCCTCGCCATCGTACCTAGGTGCATCACTGGACTGTGATAAGAGAGGAGTGTCCTCGTATGGATCTCGAGAGTGGTTCGACTGTTTGGAGGTCGGTCTTTCGGTACCGCTAAGCAGTGGTGATGATGGATTGTCGGACATGGTGTAGTGTGATATGGAGTACGCGGCCACGACGGCGGCACGCTAAAGGCTGCGTTCTATGATGGTAAGAGATGGTGTTTGAGGTCGTTGATGGTTGACTTGTTTAGTTGGATTTCGGCATGACGAAGACATGTGGTTGACGATGCTTGCTTCGCGCTCGTTCGTTATCGGGCCCGCGCCACTCCGCAGGTACCGGCGCTATGGGTACACACTGGTCCATGCAGAGGAGTAAAGCTGAAGGTTTAAAAGCGGGGAGACCTCCGGTCATCTCCATTTCCTCTCCAATCTTTCCTCATCAACCACCACCTCACACCTGCCACCCAGGTCAGATCCTCCACCAACGGTCACCAAGACGCATCTTGCTCAAGTGTCTCATACTGAATTGCCTGTGGAGCCGACGTTCCGAATGGGTTCAATTACTTTCAAGTTGACCTGATTGGGGTGGTGAATGTGGTCAGGTTCCTAGTAACAATTTCATTTTTTTCCTTTCGCGTCGTCGCGTCGCAAATTTCGCAACGCAAGTATCTTGTCTTTTGTATACCGGCCTTAAATTGGGCTCTTTCGCTATTCAGTGCGATTTGGCTCTCATTCAATCCGGAGATCAGGAGCTCACGCTTTTAACCAGACCAATACTTCCCATGTGTTGACTCTTCCGGCCTCAAGCGCGCACATTCCTATTCTGTTGTATCTTAACATTGATCTTCGTTCTATGGATCTAGCATCGGTTTTACGACGAGTGGGAGGAAGCAGAAGCTAAAAATCTGCCATTGCGTTGAATTACGTGGTTTTACTATGACAGCCCAAGATAATTATCCGTCACACTTTCTCCCAACTTCAAGACTGACTCGACCTCGATGAAGAAGCATAGGGCAAGCGAAACTAAAAGACCAGGACACACCGACTACACGTCAACGATTTCATCGTGATACTAGGTATGCAAGTCTCTTCTCTTTCCACGCTCTCTCCCAATGGCGGCAAAATGATTATTTTCGATAGACCTGTTCAGAATATACTTCGGTATAATGTAGATGAACTTGGATAATTTATGATTTCTCTCTTATACGCATTCAAATTTTGTGGATTGCATCTATTTTTCGGGTACAAAGATGACCTTTGAAAAGACAAATTAGTATCTATTGGGTCCAGAGCCTTGGTTTCCCCGGTCGATAGATTACGAGAATGCTTTAGAATTAAGCTATGTTGCTCGCGTGCAATAGACTACTTATTTAGAAATTTCCTTGAATCAAAAAATATTCAGTTGCCATTGAAATACGCATCGTCATGTTATTTGTCTCAAAAGTCACAGGCAACGGCGGAAACGACGTTGAACGATAGCCTTCAAGAAGCATAAAAAATATTTATGTTTCGAATATTCCAGTCTAATCAGATCCTCCACGAAGATCGAGAAGATCCCAAGCATTATGCATACCCTAAATCCGTTTTTGTCGAATTCATTGTTAAATACATTCGGTCGTTCCTGTGAGACTTATGATCATAACCTCCTGACACTCAAAATATAATGCCTCCAAAGTTGGACCCAGACGTGTTGAAGAGGTATCTCACACCTCTCCGACAAAATCCCACAAAATCAGCCGCCTCCCCCATGATAAATCCCGAAGAGCCCACAATCGTCAGAAAGTATCTTGATTACACCGACCAAGTATATCTCAACTTTCTCAGCCGACAACCTCAAAACTCAAACGAGGCTCTCATATTTGGGCTGAAGAGACAAGAGGTGGAGGTCCACAAACAGAAAATTGTGGCGAAGAGTGAAGAACTTGTCAGAGTGAAGGGAGGGCTGAGAAATGGAAGGGAGTTGAGCGTTGTTTATGATTCACTTGTAGTTGAGTTGAAGAAGGAAATCAGTGCTTATAAGGCTTGGATGAGAAGGATGGTTGAGGGCTTTATGTTGCTCTATGGCGATAAAGCTTGTTGATCTGCGATTGAGATCTTGGGTGCCTGCTTTATGACGTATAGGTGTTGTTGGGTGGAGTCGTACTGCCTTCTGGGACTCTTGGGAGCACTGGAAAGTAGTCGTCTACCTCAAGCGGGGGGAAAAAGTATTTCGTCTTACATGGAGTCATGTTTGGCATAATTACTAAACACAGGTAACCTACTACAACATGACTTTGTTCCATTATCTCAAAACATATATGAGTAGCCCTAGCATATAGCCAAAAATGAGGCTCCCACTCCCTAACCAGACGATTGAAATTTTCACTCCTGACATTTTCACGCTTTACTTGCGTCGCTCTAATCGCCGTCCTCTAACCTAGTAGGTTTTCTAGAAATTCCTCACAAGCCCAGAGTGGCATCCATTCAATATCTAAGAGAGAATATACCATTATAGATAGAAGAGTTTCGTTATTTAACTTGTTCTTTTCGTCTCAGAGAGGAGTAGGGGAATGTTAACTTTCAGTAGCTGTTTACTTTACGTAAATTTAAAGATTGGATTAAATGATACTAGTTAATTTATGCAACTAATGAAATAGCATTTTTATATTCTAGCTATCTCGCGTTCCTCTGTAGAATAAATGGGATCTTTCTAGAAGATCTGAATTAACAGCTTTCATAGGAGTTTCGTTTTCCTACTGTAAGCTCAGGAAAGAGATGCCAAAAGTGATGTGTAATTTCTTGAAGACAGAGGCTCTTTCCATGGGAGCCATAAGAAGGAAAAGGAAATCTTTCAAAGTGGTTCTTGGGTGGGGCACTGATGGTCACAATATTTCAAGCTATGTTATCTAGAATGCTTGAAGCATCTACACTCCTTTCTCAACAAGTCATATATATCATTCCATTCCAGTTCGCTTAGCCGATCCACTTTCTACTGGTAGATTCTGGTAATGGCTAGTCCTCTTGGAGATCTCTTCTTTGTATTTGAGAGCTTGAAACAAGAAGGTTTGTAAATGCGAAACAGAACTGAAGTCGCTAAAGTGATGGATAGATGTTCCCTCTTTTTTCTTTTTTTTTCTTTTTTTTTCTTTTTTTAAGGAATTACATGGCTTGCTTAAGTTGACCCTTTGCCTATCACATTGATAGTAGGACTGATGGTAAAGCGAAATTCGGAGACTGGCACTGATATGTTCGAGTATTGCTCGTTTGCTACATATCGAATTAACCACTGTATTTAGGAGTCGTGTCGGGGAATTCTTCGAGGTCTGGTCTAGTTGGTGACGTGATTTCAGCGTCCGCTTGCATGAAATGTGATAAAAGCATGCAAGACTCCATGATATCTGGTTTACTTACTCTTGAGAGACATTAGTCGGGCAATATATAGTAGAAGGCTGAAAACAGCCAGTCTTCTCAATACAGCAACCAGGACTTTGTGAACCTAACACATATCAGGCTTTGACTCTGTATTCGTCTCGATCAAAGTACATTCACCATTATTTAGCGATTTCTCTGTTATCTCAGTCGCTGTGTCCGAGAAACAAAATACAGAGAAATGAAATGAATGTTTTCACTGGATATTTCTCGCCTATTACAGAAGCCAATGCTAAGCTGTTCGTAAGATTAGAATTTGTAGGACCCGTTGAATTTGCGGAACGATCGTTATTCCATAGTATTAGCCTGAAAAATCTACTCCCAGGCTTCTCTCGTGACGTGGTGATATAGAAATGTACTGTACGACTACTATCATTTTGAGCCAAAGGCTACAATACACTTGCTCAAAGATAAAATAACTCATTCCAGATTCAGCAAAGTGAGGTTCTAGCGTTCGATTTTCGATTTGACTTTTTTCGCGAGTTACTGGACCACAAACCGTATTCTTTGATTCTGTGGAATTTGCAAACTTCATTCTCAAATACCCAGTACCCCTAAACCTGGTGTGTGGTGAAAATAGAGTCAGCCAGCAGCAGTATTCTCAAACCGGTCAGATGGCATCATGAGTACAAATCTACGAAGTAGGGGCGCCTGGGACATTACAGTAGCACCGAAACACTTCTAGCAATCACAATAACACACGCTCACTACAACCCAGGTAGCATAGCTTCTTACACGGTCCTGCTTATAATACTTTTCTGTTCTTTGAGCCAGAGGGCTGTCATAACTATGTAAAAGTTGTTCCTCTTGGGACTGGGATTTGTTGACTTATCCTTCTCCCAGTGGGAAGCACTTACTGCTCGGAATTCCAGTTTGATGTATTCCGGATTTTGGGTAATCTGGAGAATAATTCTACGCCTGTTTCTGTAATTCATGGCATGATGGCTATCTATATACCTCTGTACCAAGGATTGCACACTTGTTTACCTAGAAGGGGCCGATAGAGAAGAGGGGTCTGGGACATAAGGAAATAAACAGGGACTTCTATGTAGAGACAACAGGTAGAAACAACAGGTAGAAACAACAGGTAGAAACAACAGGTAGAAAATACTACGCACTTATGAATAGTAGTTTATAGAGGCCCAGGGCTTAGAAGAGGTGAAGAGAGCAGGGAAGGCGGCTGGCTAAAGTCTAGGTTAGCTCAAACTCTTGCAAAAGCTAGCTAGTCCTAGGTAAAAGAGTAAAGTACTTGGAGAAATCAACGGATGTGACGGACTTAATCTAAAAATTACGGCTTGTGTTGGTACCGTGAGGTATTACCTCTGGGACATTAGAGATTACGAAGTCCAGTCCCCGGTGCTTTCACTGGAATTACTATAACCCCATCATTCGCAGCAGCGTATGGGCATGTATTATATGAGGTAGAAAAGCACATTCTGCTAGCCACCCCAGCCTCCGTACTGTACCTAATAAGAGATGCCATTTCTGACATTTTCGTATACTAACATTTCATGTCAAAAACTCGATACGGAAAATCGAACTATACATGCGTTAGCTTACTTGTGGCCCAAACTACAACCAACCCCCAGGAACTGCCCTTGCTGCTCCTCTTTTAACTTCTTTTAGGGTGTATTACGAAGTAGGACTGGGAGTACGCAGAAAGGGGAGGAAGGGTGGAATTCGCCATCAATTGAGAACCCTCTTTTGGTACTGATTTCGTGCGACATTGGTTCTCTCGGAAGTCAAGCCTTGAGCACCCATTTTGGGCCTTTGACATCTATAGTTCAACAGCCTGTATTAAGTCATTACAGGCGGTCCTTGAAGTACTTCAACTCGTAGAATTGCAAGTTTGTAGAGAGGGTGGTCAATTAAAGCTGGACACTGTCGCAACTATATTACGGATGGCCCCAATTTTCAGCTAAACCAGCGAATCAGAGACTTGGATATGGCAATACAGACTTCCCTCAGACCATGTAATGCCGAGCAAAGCTTAGTCAGAAGCCTTGAGAAGTTGAGGTCACTTGCAGCGGTGGCGGCATTACGTGGTGGGTCAAAGCCTTAATATCCGACGAATGAAACATATAACGTATTTACAATGGCCCCAATTGAGCTCGAATCCGAGATATAAACTCTTAGCTCCATCCAAATCGTTTCAGCCCGCTCTCGAGAAACGACCAAGGACACATCGTATTTTCCCGCTAAATTCCCCTGGTCAGAGCATCAATCGATATTTAGAAGTAACATTGTCGTACGATATCCTTCTACCAAAAGACGTGGCCAAACCGATATTTTGCGTAGGCTAAAATATCGACCTCAAAATCCTGCCTGAATACACCATTTCTGGTACGTCTCAGCGTCTGTGCTACTACCTAGGCTCTAAACTTCCAGTTTCCGATCTTTATGCCTTCTAGAATATATAGACACAAAAAATAACGTGCACGTAAAGTAGAGCAAAAAGTCCACTTTTATAACATCTTCTCCACAGAACAAATTCGTTTGGTCTACTTACTAGGTTATGTCTCTACCAGATAAGCATTTGAGCCTCAATTTGAGGAGTTATCGCATCCACTTATATACACTTTGCGTGTACCTTCCGTAAGTTATATCTTGTGTCTGTATATTTCTGGAGAAATAAGCGAGAGATTTGAGTTTTAGGGAGTAAATAGATGATTTACTATTAAACGAGCTATCTTATATCCTTGTGCGCTCACTTACGGTTATAGGCCTTATTTGGCCCTATTTAGCCTTATTGCCCTATTACTAAAGTGTGTGTGCCGTGAAAGACTTTCTAGCTCAAAAGTCCACTTCTACTTCTATTACGCCTCTAGCTTCCTGAACCCATGGTCTAGGGGGTATGTAATGTAGATCTTCCAGGCACTTCTCCCCCACTACTTCTAGATATTGAGACTCAATACTCCGTGTCGTCGGAAATCGTGGCCTTACTCTTAGGGTTGGTCAAATTATATTTATATAAAACATAATAATCCAGTATTTTTCGACATATAAATAACGCAGAATCCAGATTATATTCCCCCACTTTTTGTTATAAAAATACACCTAAAATAGTACTAAAAACCCATGATCACATGCTAAGTTAAGGGACAAAAAGGCTATATCTTAGCCCTTATTCTACCCCCTCCTCGTCTAGCGCGCTAAATTCCCTACGTTCCGCCAAAAGAGTATTTTACGTACAGTTATAGTTGTAGATATATCTTGATTTATAGTTGTTTATAAAGGGGCTAAAAAAAGTTAGTATTTACTCTATTCTATTGGTCCAAATCACCTATAAGTGGGTCTATTTATGGCTCTCTTACACCTAATATTCTTGGCAAAATAATCATAAATAATCCACCATTTCGTATAATAATCATAATTATGTAATTCAGGAGGGATTTATATAATTACATCTTCCCTACTTACTCTAGTGAAATATGACTTGGCGATACTGGATTTTACCTTGGCAAGACGGAGTAAATATGCATAACTCAAATATGCATATTGCCAAGAAATATCGATTGAATTGAGCGTGAAAAGTAGATTTTAGGATATACTGCTAGAGATTGTGGCACCAGATTATGGAATGCTAGGCCGTTACTAGCAGGGAAGCTCTGGAATGAAGTAAGCGGTGAACTAGCGTGTACCCACAAAAGAATAAGGTTCACGACTATCCTGTATTCATTCGGGGATGTTTCCTATGAGAGCTGGTGGCTGGCTGTATTTTGGTAAATCAGCAGGCTAGTGTTATCCACTGCTCCTCATGGGTTTGAGACTGTTGCCCACGGTATATGTATAGTATCCGAGCTTATCCCGTACGCTCTGTTCACTTTGTTTTTTCATCAGAATGCGCTAGCTATTCTTAATTTCTGGTCTAAAATCTCCGTATATAATATCTCTAGCCAGTCAAGCTTTTAGAGGAACTAATCGTCTTCAAATCCTCGCACCCACCACTTCTTTCTGTTATTGGATTTTGCTCTAGCTGCTGGACAGTCTTTTCTTCAACACAACTTATTCATTATTAAAAACTCGCAGCTACCTTCATAACTTCACAAGCAACATTAACTCACACAAATCACCATGAAGTTCTCTACCCCAATCTTTATCGCAATCGCCTATGCTGTGGGAGCATCATGCAATCAAGCATTTTGTATGGGCACTGGGATGGCTCTCCCACCGCACTCAACTTGCGACGGCGGCGACGTATTCTGCTGCACATCCGGGGCTCAAACCAACAAGTTCAGTATAAACAGAGATTGTGTCAGAATTAAGGACGAGAGCCCAGATGATGGTGGTCTTAGTATCAATTGTGAGGGGGGCGCAGGTCGCGTCTCTTGCTGCAAGAAGTGAAGAGATATACTGGGGGTGTCTTCACTGCAGGCACTTGTGTCCCGCGGGAAACACCCGCATCTGTATTTCAAGGGGGGTTTACAGGCTAGGGTCGGGAGAAGTCCTACTTCAAGGTGTGGCATAACCGGGTTTATATGGAAGTAATGATTAGCAGTTCTTCGAAAGCATATTGAAATATGGCTTCGCGCGTTATCTTTATGGGCCTGTCTGAGCTGACAGTTTCGTCCCGTTTACGGAGCATATTGGGGTGTAAATTCTAAACTTTACACATTGTTCTCAGTAGATCCCAGGACTCTGCATATCTTTCAAGAGTTCCGTGAATTTTGTACTAAACTTCAGCAACAGCTGCACTACTGTTAGGATAGTTGCAAAAGGCTTCTTTGCTTCCAGGTACACATCTGCCTACCGATCTAAGACCCCTCTGACCCCCTTACCATGACCCTCCTACATTAATCCTCTTGCGATATCCTCTCCATCTCCCCTATCTTTTTGCCTTCCCTTCCCGCCTACGAACTAGCTGAGTTCCGCTTTCTGTTGGAAGGGATACTTTGGGAGCGACACTATAATGGAGGACACTGTTGGGAGACTTTTGTGAGGGGGATACTGGAGGACAGATATATAAGCAGGTCTGCAAGCAACAAAAAAGCAAAAGCTCTTGGCCTTTCTATCTTTTATACTCTTACTTTGGTGTTGCAAATCTACAAAAGACTCGGAATTCGATTTGCAGTACATTTGTAGCTAATTCAGTAAAAAAGAATTGGCACTTAACAAAGCAGTCTTGTATATTCTAATATGCATGTCTTATCATATGGGCTATCTACAAGGAGAGCAAGGCGAACCGGTCGTTAGATTTAGAATCTAGATATATTAGGTGCTAGTATCTAGAAACAAACATTATTCTCGTTAAAGAGAGACTGCCCATGGAATAGGCCATGAAAATACTCCTAGGAGCTCCCATTAAGCGAGCCAAAACTTTCCCTGCCTACAGGGGAAACCATCGTGGAAATTGCGACCAAATCGTGACCATTTCTATCGCAACAAGGTTGTGAGAATTAAAATACTTGGAGATTATTTATTGATGGCAAGCCAAAAATGGGTCTTGAATACTGGTAATTCCGGGGATATTATCAATCCATTTGGGGGATTCAAACGACATTGAAAGGAGCTGTAATTATGATCAAGGTATTTAAAGATGCATTGTGCTTTCATCTATGATAATTTGGCGTTTTTGATGTGCTCACTAGATTACCATAGACTTGTTTTGGAGTACACCTTTTTTTCTACTTCTTTCCATGTCAATTGTTTTCGCAAACTCGCTAGTGTCACCGCTGAATTCCTCCATATTACTCTCTGTGTTTGTTGTACTGTACCAGTTATACCTTATAAACCCAAAATGCTGAAAACGATGTTCAAATTTAAATGATTTCCTAGCAAATTTATTAGCGTCAAGACTCATATTCTCCATTTCGCTTGCTCGGCTAGTGCTCGGGTAGGTTACCATTGCAGCTCGCGTATCCTCCTACAAACTAAACCTTATCCTTCCTGTTACCTCCGACCGGCAGCATCTCTGGGATCAAGTGGATATAATGAATCCTTTTAATTCGTCATGTCGTATCATAGGCTTACTTATGTAAAATGACTGATGTGTCGACTAGGCTAGTGTCGACGCCACTCCAATCCAAAAGATGATTACTGCCCCGTTTTTGGAACAACGAGAATAACATCCAATTTCTAGATATCGACATCTAGTGCATCTGGGCCCAAAACCAAAGATCTCAAAATTCTTATCCAATAAAATTTATTGCAAAGAACTCTCAATCATTACGTTCCGATACATCAACTTACCCACAGCTCAAAGTAAGCTTTCCCAACCAAGTCATACAGTAAGGAAACACAAGAGCGTTCTTAGGCACGTCACAAGTCCATCTTAACAGACGAAATACTTCTTTTTACAGCAATAAACGTGACCTTGGCTATCTGCTCAAGAGATACGTCAACCATCCTTGTATGGATTCTCGTCGATAGGCACTTTGCGATTTCTTTCACACTGAGCATGGTAATTTGATTCATATTTCTATAGTAGAATACCCAGATCTTACATGCGTGTGTGGTGGTGGGGCTCGAATTCTTTTGATACTTCTATCCCGTAGGCGGCTATAAGGATGATGGTGGTTGAGAGGTATTGAGTGGTGATTTCCATACGTGTTGCGCGCAAAGGGTGGTTTCGTGTTTTGAATATTGATAAAGTGAGAATTAGTAGACAAAGGTATCGGTCTAAATATTGAGAAACAATAGATTTCCCTAAACGCTAGAATAACTAGACATCTCATCGAAAGTTATCTATAATAGTAACAGGGATAACTTACGGTAGCACCATGGATACGAACCGCACACCTCTCCTCGCAAGTCTTATACTTCTCCGGGGATAGAGTTCAGAATATAATGCCACCAACAGAACCTACGTCCAGAAATTGGACTAGCTGAGCGAACAAAAGTAAGTGAAGTTTAGATGATTTGAATTGGTTCCCTGGATTCAACTATTAAATAGCGTAAATACTCCAAAGACAGCTCGAACAATAAGCTTGTATGATCGTCTCCTCTCTGAAATTAATATAAGCCATAAGATAGAGAAACAAGTATCTACTTTAGTTCAGTATCTTTTCACATAAATCACGCTTGTTTTCGTAGTAGACGAAAGGGATTAATAGCTCCAAGACAGATTCCCTAATTAGTTAGCCGAGACTGCATTGCCCACAAAACATATATAGGTAAAAATGAGGACGAAGTCATGAAGAGGGTAATTATGTCCGGAGAGAAGCAGATTTCATGTTGTCTCTCTTGAAATTCTCCAATTGCTAAACTCAAATAGATGTGTTGAGCTCTGCCAACCCATTCAGCCGATAGCCGAAACAGGTAAACCCGACCAAATCGCCGAAAATGCTAAGTTTCACTCCCTCTCTCACCAGCGAGAACATCATTATTCAATCACCCCTCTTATCATCTCATCTATCAATGGGTTACTCCATTATCCACCTCATAGAAGTGTTCGCAATTTCAGTAGACTTCTTGATCGCTTTCACCCATCATTGCCCGAAGCCAATCAACCTCCCTCATTTCCCCATCGAAACGTCGCCTGTCACGCTATCACCCCTCTAGCTCTCTCATCCCATCACCACACGCCGGCAAGTACAGTAAGAAGCCAATAAACACATCATGGCGCCAACCAAAAAGAAAAAGAACGAATTCGCCATCAATATCAAAGAAATCGATGAATCGAAGAATGTGGTTGCGACATACAACGCCGCCTATGAATCAGAAGGGATCTTGGTTTCTGTATGCCCTTTTCCATTCCTCCTTGTCATTTTTTATCATGTTGGAAGATTATTTTCTGATACGTGTTGAGTAGTATCCTGAGAATAAAAGCGGGTTTGGGAGGACTGTTTTGAATGCTTTTTTGCCGGCGGGGTATCCTCATAGTGTTACGAGTGATTATTTGGAGTGAGTCGAGCTATCTATTTATTATGGTACATCTTTTGTGAGTTATGGGGATGGGCTGGATTGCATTTTTGTATGCTGCCTGTTCCTCAAATCGTGGCTTAAGTTGAAAGACCCCTCTCCCCTCGAGGCAAGAACGAACGATTGTCTCGTCCTCGAGTTTTGGCTGTTCAAGTCGAGTGACGAGGTCAAATCAAGGAAGGAACGACCTGGCCTTGATAGCCTAACAGTGAAGCCTAGCTAGATATTGCGCACCGCTTATACTGGCTAGCTCAAAGCTGATTGTGACAATTACACAGATACCAGGTTTATGTGAGTTACCCGAGGATAGTTGGAGGCAAGACAGTATTAAATACCAGCCAGGACTCTTTACAAGCTTTTAGTAGCTCCATCGCGGGGATGCTATCCAGTAGAGCTGTACTTGAAGGTAAGACTTTTTTGTTTCAATTGCTCTTGGAATTTGGTTTTGTTATTGTTTGTATTTTTGGGGGTGCATGTTTTATCGAGTCCGCAACACCACCAAACGAAATCACGAATATGTACCTGAACAACACCACAGCTGTCACATACGACCATAGACTGAGGAGAATTGGGCATCCCGTCCGCTCTGCCATACAAAAGCCTCAGATCGGCAGATTAGTAGTTGGGTGGGTGACCACCAGCGAATACCTGCTGTTGTATGTTTTGTTTCTCTTTTTGCTTTTACTTTTTGTCATTTTAAACTGCTGGAGTGTTCAGATGGGTTTGCAATTCATAAGACGCAATAATGAAGGTTGCCAGTTTTTGCGGTCTCTTTTCTTCTCATATCTGGATTCTTCGTCCATGTCCCACTTTTTTCCCTCTCAACTCCAAGCAATCCAAACATCCAAGTTCTAACACACAACTAGGAATCGGAGTTGGCGACTCCCAAGCCTCACCAACGCAAGCTCTCTTACTCTCAGTCCTGCAAGAGTCTTTGGGTCGTATAGCGACGATCATCTTCGCCCACCGACTCGGGTCGTCTCTTGAGCCAGAATGTAAGATGTACCGCTTACTCGCAGATATCTTCAACGATTCCGCCATGATTCTCGCCTGTCTCTCACCCGCTCTACCCAAAAGCCTGAGAGTGGCAGTCCTAGCAGTAGCCAGCACCCTACGCAGCCTCTGCGGTGTAGCAGCAGGAAGTAGCAAAGCAAGCTTAAGTGCTCACTTTGCGAAAGTGGGGAATCTGGGGGAGTTGAATGCTGTAAGTCTCATCCATTTCCCAGCTTATGAAGTTGTCAATTCGAAAAAAAAGTGACTGATGAATACCAATAGAAAGATTCCTCCCAAGAAACCATCATCTCCCTCCTTGGAATGCTAACAGGCTCTCTCGTAATATCTCACATCACCACCAAATTCGCCACATGGGCCACCCTCATCCTGCTCCTCTCCATCCATCTCTTTACAAACTACCTAGCCGTCCGCGCCGTCTCAATGCGTACACTCAACCGCCAACGCGCAAACCTCGTCTTCTCCTCCTGTCTCCACGCCTTTAAAAACAAGGATAGCGGAATGAAACTCCTCAGCCCAGAAGAAGTTTCCCGTCAAGAAAGGATTTTCGAGAAAGACGGTGTACTCCGCTCATACGACTTCCGTCTGGGGAGAAACGATATCCGTGGATACTGTTACATCGGTGTTCCCCTCCAAAAAATCCTCTCACTATTCCATAGACGAGTTCTCCACGTCGAGATTTCCCCTTCTCCACGTCTGTTCGAGTTTCCTGCGCTGTTGGAAGTCTACAAGAATGAGGGGTATATCATGATGTGCAATATTATTGCTGGTATGCGCCCGGAATATTATATTGTGGTTAAAGAGGGTGCTGAGAATAGGGATTTGTTGAAGGGGTGGTTGCATGCTTTGTACCATACTACTTTGTGGGCTGTGGGGAGGAAGGAGGGTGAGAGTGTGATTGAGGGTTTGGAGAGGACGAGAGAAGAGGTTGAGGGGATGTTGGAGAGTTATGATGTTTTTGGGGAGTTGGAGAGGGCTGGGTGGGATATCAAGACGGGGGCTTTGGAGACGAGGAGTGGGACGAGGGTTAGGATTGGTTGATGATGGGATGAAAGTCGGGAAGTCTTGGTTATGGCTTGTCTTGTTTGCAGGACCCTCTGCTTTCTCCTCTGCGTCGTAATTGATTATCAGTTCCAGTAGGATCTGTAGTATGTGGACAATCTTGTAACTCATAGGGCTGCTAAAAGACCCGTAAAAGTTAATATTGACACTAACTATCATGAGAAATATGGCCTTCATTGATTATTTCGAAAAATTGACTTGGAGAATTTTCGTCTTTCTAAACACCCGAGTATGGCCTCCTATACAGATTTAGTACGCCCCACCTCCCCCCAACTCTATTCATACATACACCCAAGTAGAGAGTCCATTTCAACTCTAATCCCAACCCCAAAATGCGCCATCCCATCATATAAATTTTACAAGCAAACAAGACTCCCATATCTCCAAATCCCTACACCATCCCAAGAAACCTCAGCCCCCTCATCTTCCACCCCTCGAAAGTATTCAGCTTCGGCCTGACATCCAAAAAGAAGTTCAACTTCGCATTATCCCTCCCTTCATTCTTGCCTGCGTAAAAGTCGATGATATAATCCACTCTCGTCCCACAGCGATCAATTACCCAATCATGTCTATCAAATGGGGCTGTATATCCGAGGAGGGTATTGAATCGCGCTTTGGGGGAAAGAGTCTGTGAAAGTCCTAGGAAGGAATGTAATTTTGGTCCTCCACATCTGTCATTCCAAGATTAGCAATTGAACATTATATACCAAGACTCGTAAGAGGAAAAGACAAGGTGGATATATTTACTTCTGTTCCGAGCCATAAGGTCGTTCCCATTCTTTAATCTCCTTCCACGCCCTCTCGTTGACAGCATTGTGAATTGGCACAATGGTCTTCATGTCACTTGAATCACTAGCATAACCCTTCCTCTTCATGGCTTCGAAGAACATTTTCTCCGAGGGGTAGATCCAATTCCCGCTCTGGCTCACACCACCTTCTTTCTCATTATTCGCTGGCTTGTCGGAATCGTTGACTATAGAAGCGCGGGGGATCGTGGAAATTTCTCGATCCAGAGCAAGTCCTTGAGAATCTGCAGGTGACGGAGGAGAGGGCGTTGAAGCCCATAATCTCGAAAATATTGATCTGGAGGGGGGAGTCGTGGGATTGCTGGAGGTGGATGCGGGTTTGGATGCGCCGGAGAAGGGATGCGCAGTTCCTGGGTTGGCTTTTAACCAGGCTGCACGTGTAGTGTGATCAACGGGACATGCATCCGCAGAAGGCTTCTCGTCTTCTTTCGCCATGGTCTTTGAAATGGGAATGCGATTTGAATGGCGAATCGAAATGATGATGCTTTCGCCCAGATGTTTTTTGAGATCCTTGAAGAAAGCGGAGCTTCCAATCGGTCGGTTGCCGATTGGCTGGCAAGGCTGGACCCTGACCGCCTGGGTATTTACATTGGGGTCAGCAACCCAACAACCTCAACAACACCCAATTGCACCAGATCTCCAACTTTCAAAACATATCTGGAGATATCGAAGTTGCAAAAGTCCTCAAAATGGCCGACACCAAAATCTACCAAGCCAGCACGACAGCACCCGTCAACATCGCCGTCGTAAAGTCCGTCAACCTACCCCTCACCCCACTAACCCCCCTTTTCCTATCCAAGCACCCCAAGAACTAACGAGAACCTGAAAAAAACAGATACTGGGGAAAACGCGACCCCAAACTCAACCTCCCAACCAACTCGTCCATTTCCGTCACCCTCTCTCAGGACGACCTTCGCACCCACACCACGGCATCATGCTCCTCCACCTTCGCCAGCGATACCCTGCTCCTCAACTCGCAATCCCAAGACACCAGCGGCGCCCGAACGCAAGCCTGTTTCCGTGAGCTTCGCGCCCTTCGCGCCGCACTGGAAGCATCCAATTCCTCTTTACCCAAGCTCTCCTCCCTCCCTCTCCGTATCGTATCGGAGAACAACTTCCCCACCGCCGCCGGTCTCGCCAGTTCCGCCGCCGGGTTCGCAGCTTTGGTGCGTGCTATTGCGAATTTATACGAGCTGCCAGCCACGCCCACGGCACTGAGCAGGATCGCGAGACAAGGGAGTGGAAGTGCCTGTCGCTCTCTTTTCGGTGGCTATGTAGCATGGGAAATGGGTTCCAAGGACGATGGAAGTGACAGTTTAGCCGTCGAAGTCGCACCGGCATCGCACTGGCCCACCATGCGGGCGCTCATCCTCGTGGTCTCCGCTGAGAAGAAGGGCGTAAGCAGTACCTCAGGAATGCAAATCACCGTCGCGACATCGCAGCTTTTCCAGCGACGAGCGGAGATCGTGGTTCCTGCAGCGATGGTGGCGATGAAGAAAGCTATCAAGGAGAAGGACTTTGAGAGTTTTGGCAAGGTGACGATGATGGAGAGTAATTCGTTCCATGCGACTTGTCTTGATACCTTCCCGCCGATTTTCTACCTGAATGATGTCTCCAAGGCGGCGATCCGATTAGTGGAGGATATCAACAATGCTGCTGGGAAGATCATTGCGGCTTATACTTTTGATGCTGGTCCGAATGCTGTCATCTACTATGAGGAGGAGAACACGGCTGCTGTAGCGGGTGTCATTAAGGGTGCTTTGGGGGGATTGGAAGGTTGGGCAAGTAGGGAGATTGAACCCAAGGAGAGTACTTCATTGGATGCGAGAGCTGTTGGTGTTTTGAGAGACGGGGTTTCAAGAGTTATCTTGACACAGGTTGGAGAGGGGCCAGTGAGAACGCAAGAGAGCTTGATTGGGGCTGATGGAGAGCCTGTTAAGAAGTAGATATGGGATGGTGGATGTTTCAACACATTGGGATTTGTGCATCTGGTGTTTTTTGTTCATAGATATGATACCTGAATATGCAAGCACTGTTTCCTGCTCACTTTAGATTCTGCCGGTCTATGGCTGGTTACTTGGGGAAGATAGTAACATGACTGTTAACAATATTTTCCATAATCATATGTCCAATTCTCTCTGGTACTATTAGATATCCCAAATAAACCAAGAAATCAAAGATACTTAAACCCAACAAGACATATTCTAGACTCAAGCATCTGACGAGGATAATAATGAGAGGTCCGCTGACAATGAATCTATTAGGGGGTAACAATCTCTATTAAAAGTAATCTTACCACAAACTACGGAACCTATAACTCCCATACCCTTACCTACTGTACTATGAAAACGATACCAGAAAGTACTCCTTCTAATTTCCTACCTTCAGGAATCATTCTCCCATTACCATCTCAAAAGAGAAAAGTCTGATGGCAAGAGTAGTTACGTTGAAGATCGTTGCGTTGAGTACTTCTATAGTAGTACCTCGCTAACTGTTATAGGACCATTACTGTACTACTGTCCTTTTACCTAGCCATCCTAATTCTAAACCTTAACTTCTACACCTTAACTTCTATACCTCAACTTCTACACCTTAACTTCTATACCCTAACTTCCAGACTCCTAACCCTCCCCTCCCAACCATCCCGCGTAACACGAATACATCCAAACATACAACATATAACATATAACTCAACCCCTTCCCCTCTTCAACCCTCAACCCTTCCCCTCCAAATCTCCATTTCCTTCCAAACACCTCACACCTCACACATCCACACCTCATCCATCCACCCAGCCACCAAGGTCCCGTAAATTCGCAATCAAAGATTCAAAATCTAAGTATAACCCATCTCACTATCCCAGGGAATCTTATATAATTATATCGAAGTAGTATATATATATATTTATATATATATACATAGTAATTCAGGGAAACCAGTACGATTTCCTTATATAGTATAGTAAGCTTCAAAGAGTTTAATTCTCTTTTTTTCTTTTTCTTCTTATTATAATCTAGTCTCTAGTCTCTAGGCTCTAGTATTATTACATTATTGAATAATTATACATAACTTATACTAATACCCTATTATAAACTCTCTTTATAAATTTTATAACATACCCCCCTTCCCCTTTCCCCCTTCCCCGTATACTTATCTACCTTATCTACCTCTCTTACTACTATTTTAACTTTAGATAAAAAAAATCCTATAAGCGATATAAAACAAGTAAGTCCTTATAAGTGATTTTATTCTTAGTATCATTTTAAGTTTAGGTTTATATTAGAGATGTGAGAGATGATTTCCCCCGCTCCTAGCGATCCAGGCTCTAAACCTGAAATTTTATGGTAGGTAGGTATGATGTGGTAAAGGTATGATATTACTCACTCGCTAACTCGCTTCATCAATATATACAGTACAAATACAAATACAGTGGTACACTCACTCCACTCGCCTCACTTTCCTCGCAACAAACCAAACAAAACAAAAAACACTCTCTATTTCACACTTTTCGATCCATTGATTGATTATTTAACTTCTCTCTGCTCTGTTTGCTTGCTTGTTTGCGTCAATCCATCCATCCATCCGTACATCAACTCTTACATCCTCTCAGGGTTTCGCATTCATGCATGCTTCTCTCTTAATCTTCTTCAATTGATTCCATTCATTCGTTTCCCCTTTCATACCATTCCAAACCTTTCAGTCCAGTCCAGTTTCATAAAATCCGCTTTTGCTATCATTCTGGATCCCATACTTCTTCTACTTCCGCTCCCCATAACATCATCTCATCTCATCCCATTTCTCCTACTCCATCTCATCTCCTCCTTCCCTCGTGTATCCCAGACAATATCCTATCAGTAACAACACATCATCCTATCGATACAATTCCTTAGCATCTCCCCCGCAACCCATTACGACCTACCCACTCCCAGCATACTAGGGACCGCCTTTCTTCCCGGTCGCTTGCCAGGGACTTCGATTCTCGGCGCTCCCTGAATGATTCTCGGCTCTCTCATCAAATTGACATCTAACTGTGCTGGAATCCTCGACACGACCGTCTTATAATCACCCGGGAACTTGGAGTTAGGAGTGGGAACCGCGGCACTTCGCCAGAGGTGATCCGATGTATCTTCAAGGAATGATGGCTTGGCTTTTGATGAGAACAAACTTCCACGTCCCCGGGATCGTTTAGCGAGGATGATATTATCAAATATCTGAATATTGGGCGCGTTTAGTGGTGATGTTTCTCGTTCATGAACAAACTCGTTGAACGCTGTTGAATCATGTTAGACAATTTCCACAAGCAAAAAGAACCTGAGATGTACATACCTTGTGTTTGTTTCAGCATATTGATATACTCCTGCTGATCCCCAGGCAAACTTCGAATAAATCCAGCCATATCGAAGCCATAAATCTGGCCACTATTTTTCTGGTCCCTGTTGGGTCTACCCAAGAATCTCCTATAGGTATAGAACAAGCTTGAGAAACATCTCACAAAAGCCGCTCGTACACGATCCGCATGAAACGCAGAAGGGCAAACCAAAGAGATTTGTCCTACGCAACGGCCATGGGTGCATGTATTACAGCTTGTACATTTGTACATCCCATCACCATCGGACTTTTCGTCACAGATGGAGCATACGGAATTAGTGTCCAACGCTCTCCAAGTCATACAATGTCCCTCAGCCCACGTAGTTGTGTCGGTATTTCGAATTGGTTGCATGAGCATATTCGGCATAATTGTTGAAGCAGCAAGAGTAGATTGGGCATATGAGGAAGGTGCATAGCCATACATTGACTTTCCATCAACAGAAAGCGCAGATGTTGAAAAACTAGGTTGGTGTCCCCCAAAAGGTGCATTTGGTCGATGAAGAGTTGGGACTCTGTCGACGCCGAACGATGAGCTTCTCCTCGAGTTTCCATCAAAATGGCCAGATCTCTTTTCTCTCAATGTAGCAGCCAGAGCAAACCCAGAATCATTTCTAGAAGTTGGTGTACCTGGCATCGATGGAAAATTTCCAGATGTTGGTGATACCGAAGCTGGTGGACTTCCTCTGCTAGATTTGCCTGTGGTGGGGCGATCTACTCTGGTATGTCCATTTTTCAATTGTAAGAATGCGTTGAATACCAAAGCTTTCTTGTTATCAGCTGTTTCTGGCTCTCCGAAAGTTGTCGAGTTTTGTGTGACATATTTTGCCAGTGCACTTGGCTTAGTGCTCTGCGTAAATACTGCTTCATTCTCCGATGAGAATGCATCATATGGAAAGGTTTCGACAGCGTAAGGTGGAGGTCCAACTGGAACACCGCATCTATTGTGATGAGGAGCTGCCAATTGAAGGAGGGAGACTAGTTTTCGACGCTGCTGTCGTGGCAATTCTGTGATGTCCGAGTTCACGACGAGTTCATCAGTATCGAGATCCACCAAAACAAAATCATCTTCTGGCCATTCAATTCCATCATATCTTCGTTCAACACCAACAATATAGGGACAAGGAGCCTCCAATGCTGAAATTAGTCGGGCAGGAAGAACTGGGATGAAGATGCTGGCCCACTTGAGTGGGTACAACAAACTTGCTAAAGCTTTGCTTGCAAGGTAGAGCATAGAGGTGTGCGACGACAGTAGAACGATCCTAGATTCTGATAGAGCGCATTCAAACAACGTCACAATATTTTGGATTGTCAGAGCTCTGAATAAGGCATAGAGATCCGTATTTCGAGATTCCGGGAGTTCGTTTACAGCCTCTTTTCGAGCAAAAAGTCGAAGTTCTCGGACTGCAAGCTCGACCTGAGTCTTGGAAGACATTGGACTCAAAGCTTCGGTACATAGATTCACGACATACCGCTCCAAGGGCTGCCATCTTCCAACCTTTGGAGAGCTAGGAGGTACTCTCAATACGGCGCCCTCAAACATTGGAACCACAACTGCTCTCAGCCATTCCTTGTAGAAACCTGTGAGACCACTATCACGGCCGAGAATTCCGTAAGCCCTTGGGGTCCAAAGACCAGTATCCCCATCCGTGAGGCCATCGATTTTGTTAGCCGCACCGTGACGTACAGGCCGAAGCATATCTGTCATAAGAGAGATTTTCTCTTCAACAGCACTAATGTCGTCTTCTAAAGCTTCTCTTGCAGCGGAGCCAGACAATACACCAGGTAACTTTGCCAACAGCTCTGATAAATGTGCTCGCTCCTTACCCAGCCTTACACCAAGACTCATCGCCAATTCACGTTCTTCATCCGACATGTGACTTTGTCTCCAGAGCTCACATCGTCGTTCCACATCTGCTGCTGCATCTTGGTTGAGGGGCATCCATACAATGACTGTAATACCATAAATTTTGGCATTATCATCCCCCGTCATTGTAAATCCATGCCATGTTGATCTCGGTCGCTCGTCTCCGGACATTATATGAATATCATTGGGAAAAGCAAACATGGGCACGTAATCCGGGAATCGACCTCTACGAAGAACTTCATCGGTTGCTGTTTTGGGAGGATATCTATCAAGTAAGACTGGCTCAAAACGACGTTTCAAAGGGTGCATATCCGGGTCTGCATTCAAAGGTTCAGGGGGAGGTATGACGGAATTGTAATTGCTCATTCGCCTTGAGGTTCGCACAGAAGCTAGATGCATATAGTGTCAGCATACAGATGACAAGGGATCAATAAGCTCTTCCTGCAGGTGTTCTTCATATATTTGAAGCACCCAAAATAGCCCAGATGCATGAATTGACGTGAAATTTCGAACTTACAAGTTCGTTGTCCAACGGAAGAAGATTGTCTCTTCATACTATTCATATCTCTGAAGCTGATTCTTCTGCGTATACTTCCACCCACACTTCTCAATTGGCTTCTCCTGGTAGTTGGCGTATGATTTTCTACCTCTTCCACCTTCACTATTGGAGTTCTTGTTGGAGGAGGCATTGCAACTGGTGGCACTTTCTGCGGAGCACCAGCAGCGAAACTCAGATCATCCAAAAAGTGTTCCCGTTCATTTGCAAACTTCATGAGAGCTCGATCAAAGTCGAAGTCGCCCAGCAACCCCCCAATTGCTCCATTGCTATTGCTGGACCCATTGGTATCGCCATTCGAGGTGCCCTTTATGGTAATGCTGCTTCGATTGCTTTGAGGAGTGTCGAATTCTTCAAAGGCGCCCGAGTTTCGTGAGTCGTTGGTCAACTTGCTGAGTCGATTCCACGAGTTTTGGCGCGAATGCCGTGCCTTGGCTTTGTTTGGGGTGACATTCTCCTTTCGTGGTGTGTTCTTGGGCGAGTCTCCCTCACTTTCCCCTTCCTCAATTGTTGCGTCGAAGCTTACTGAAGGTGGACCGATTGTGGAACTCGTTTTTATGGTGTTATTTTGGGACCAGGAAATGGGGTCGCTATAGGAGAGGGAGTCTACTCCCGCGATCCAGAAATAGTCGGCCAAAGGGGTTGAAGTAGTGTCCATGGTGGCATAGCACTTGCTGGAGCTAGCGACTCGTTGGAGGAACCTGTCAGGCGGACGTCAAGAGTTTAGCGTTGAGGCGTTAGGTTGACATTGATGTCCCAAGATCCAGACTTCCAAGTGAAGGCCAGTAGTAAGTGCAGACCCTCTCCACTGTCGTGTTTCACTGTTGGACCCAGAGCACTGCCTCTGCTGTACTCGGTGGTGCTGGGAATCTTTCTCTCAGATCTCCTCAACCACAGACCGATTATTACACACCGATTCGTGTAAATGCAGGCTCCCAAGGTATTGGGTATTCGGTATTCGGTATTCGGTATTCGCAGAAAGGTGAGGGAGAACTGCTACGTGCGTGGCAGACAGCCACTGCCAGGCCAAAGGGTGCAGGTGTGTCTGGGGGAAAATGTGGGTTGACCCTACGACGATGTGGTTTTTGGGGTTGGTATGGAAAGGGTTCCGTACCTAGGTACTTGCTGGTGCTTGGTAGGGACTTGGGAGGGGTGACCTGTGTAGGCAGTTGACGAATTGGCTTTCTTGCTGGAGAGCAGCGGTCCACGGTCGTATAAAATGGCAATTGGGCGCGCGTGGAGCAGGGCCTGAACAGAGCGAGAGCGGTCAAGCTATTTACAAGAAAGCGATTGGCAGAAAAAAGCTTTATAAGACAACACCAAAGGCATTCACGGAGAACCGAGGTGTAGAGAAAAGCCTACGATGGAAAAAAAGTGAGGATCTTCTGCTCGCACTCTTCAATGGCAACGTCAATGGTTGATTGCGCGTCTCAGATTCAGGTTAGGTTTGCTCTCAATCCAGATCTGGCTGCGATGTAACGGCAGAGGAGGTGGTAGTTTGTTTGCCGGCATCCATATCCGTCCTTCCCTTCCTTATCCATCCGGTTGGTGCTTCGCCGCATGAGCATCGCATACGATACCTGTCACAGGGAAAGGCACGAAAGGGGAGGTCCCGTCAACTGCGCGATACACTCAGTACTACTACACGATAGGCTTCGTTGTCCGGGTTCAAGGTTCTTGCAAAGCGCGTGGCCGTGTGTGGTTGATCTACCTCCTTAACAAGCAATTCCGCATTCATGGAAGGCGCTTCATGCTGAGTTGCAGGAGCGTAGTAGTGGCACACCACTGCTACTCCGTATCGAACCCCTTTTTTATTTTTGCCATCTTGTTGGCTGACGGCGGAGCGGAAAGGGAAAGGCCAAAAATATTTGATCTTCACCGATGGTGATCAATCAATCCCACTCCTTCGCCGTGGCCGTTGACGGACAACTCGACGTGCGATGGTTGCCGAATCCGATCACTCTCACTCACTCCCAGTCCGTCCCTCTGGCCCTACGAGGTTACGAGCGTGGCACAAGAACCAGCACAGTGGCAGATTCAGGTAGACAAGTAAACGCCACTTGGTCCCTTAATATATCTTCATCCACACGCACTCTACCGATACCGTTCTCGTGTGACGTTCTCAGAGAGCTGGCTGCTGTAGAAGCTGATTACTTTACAGCAGCCAATAATGGTGGAAGATCCACTTCCTCCACCACCACCAGCATCATCCTCAACTCAACTCGTATTCCCCAACTAGTGCAACAAAATCTCTCCCAAAGCAGAGCGAGGGAATCGCAACCCAGCATCTCCCTACCTAAGAAGGGGAAATACGGACGAGGCTACGAGTACAGCTACGAGTACAGCTACGAGTATAGCACAGCTACAGCGTCAGATTTGCCATACGGTCCATACCCGTTGTACCCCTCCATCTGCATACACCACGCTGATGCTTAGCCCAGGGGCTGGGCCACATCTTTTTTGCCTACCTGCACCACACCCAACACTAAATTGATTCGGCGCCTCGCAATATAAAAATCCCACCACCTACAGGACTTAGCAAGCAACCGTCGCGCCAACCGTACAACGTGAGAAGCAGAGCCTAAGTGTTACGGTGAGGGCACTTTCATTCTCTCAATTCTCAACCCTCAGCCCTTTACAGTACTGTAAAGGGTGCTAAGGGACTGTACCTTGGCACCTACCATCATTGAAGAAAAATAAAAACATGCAAAAATAAATAAACGAGCGGCTGGAGACAGATGAAACGATATCATGTATCAATGCCCAATACCATCTCATCCCAATTCCTCACCAAAAGAACCCTTCTCATGCCTCATGCCTCATGCCTCATGCCTCATGCCTCATGCCTCATGCAGGAACCCCATTTTCTACCCCAGAAGAGATTTCTGTTCGCTGAGCTGGCTGTCAGTACCTCACAGCTTAATGAAATGAATGAACGAATGAGATTATGAGACGATTCCGGCTATTGATTTCAGGGGTAACTCGCTGATAGTTGGGATGGGATAAGATGGGATGTTTGATTGGCTGGTGGTTTAGGGGTAAGATAATTCATAATGGATGTAGTGGTGTACAGTAGTGGTGTGGTGTGTGGATATCACTACTACCACCAATGAAAATACAATACTCAGTACAATACAATATATCTTTCATACTTCCCCTCCCCTATACTAAAGAGCTCCTGTAACTATTAAAACCTAGCGTGGTAAATTCGAGTAGTTGAGTTAAGTAGTAGTACCTAATTAACTTAACTCGAGTAGTGAAATTCGCTATTTAACTTATCTCGCCAAGTACTCGATTGAATTATAAGTAACTCGAGTAGTGTCGGCCCGATAGCCCGTAGCGCGTCCGGCCTCGCTCGCCCGCCTCCGGTCGGTCCTGGTAGGTCGGCCTACGTACGGGGACTTAGCCGAGTGCCCCTCTATTAGGTATATACTATTTTCTTATATTATAGTTACGTTATATATAACTACTCGAGTACTACTCGAATAGTTAAATCTACTACTTAACTTAACTTAACGGAATTACCTAATTATAATTATTTAACTTAACTCGATTAGTACTCGAGTCGGGTTAAGTATTTAATTAGAAGTGTCACTACGCTATTAAAACCTAAAAACCTACTATATACCGTATAACCTACAAAAAACTAACCCTATCTTCCCCCTTCTAAAAAAAGGCATAAGAAGAAATAAATCACTATACCTTATCTAATTAGACTAATCTATAGTATAATCTAAATTATATTTTAAAAAAGTATAAAACCTTCTATCTATAAATATCTACTAAAGATCTTATTTAAACCTAAACCTAAACCTAACCCCCCCCCCCTTTTTCCCCTTTCCCCACCTCCTCCCTTAAAAAAAACCTAATTATTACCTACTATCTATAAGTAGTTAGAGAAAAGTACCGCATATAATACTATAAGAACCTACCCATCCTTCTTCTAAGATATAGGATAAGTAGAGGAGAGGAGAGGAGAGGAGAGGAGAGGAGAGGAGAGGGGTAAGGAGATATATAGTATAAAAAAAATAAAGGATAAGGATAAGGAAAAGGATAAGAATAAGTAGAGATAGAAGTACAAGGTAGTAAATAAGTATAACGAAAGAAGCGGGGATAATTTATCGGAATAGGAATAGGAATAGAAAGGGAATAGAAGGGGAATAGGAATATTAGAGGAATATTACTTAGCGAAAGCTTGTGGAATGATGGAATCTAAAACTTGCTGGTTCTTAACTTAATATAAACTATTATAACTATAAGTAATACGAGCCGTCCTCTTTCTCTACTTAAATACTTCGTATTTTAGTCCTTTAGCTATACTGTTAACTATTTCCCCTTAACTTCTATACGTATTCCACGTATTTATTCCAGAGCGTTATAAATACTCTTATAGTAACTAATAAAAGACAGCATCTCTAAAACACAATACTCACTCCTCACTCCCCTCCTACCAACCTCCACAAATCAACCCAAACCCCATTCCCCCAGCCAAACCCCCCATCTCAACATCCCCCAAATCACCTTATGAACCATAAGCTCATAGACATAAGCTTGCCCAATACAGAAATCCCCCATAAACATAAGAACTTCTATATCCATCCTCCACCACGCCTCATCCGCTCCGAAGAATGATAGCAACTTGAAAACTAATTATACTTGTAATATGTATTTCATCACCGGTTTTCAAATCATTCGGACCCAGACCAAGGAGCCGGCTCCTATTAAGGTGATGAAAACCCGCCGGTTTGTACATGCTTCATGGCGGGCTTAGAGGTAGGTCTGCAGGTAGGATGGAGGGAATTTACCAGTGGTGAGTGTAAGATTGAACAACTCTTCGGTAGAAATCACTGGAACCCTTTGTTTATGTTTCTTTTGAAATGCCCATGCCTTTTCGGACATCTGTCTTTAAACTGTCAGGACCGACTAAGAGTATTCGAACTTTGGTTTCGGCAACGAGCTAGTTGATACCTTCGAGACGCCCGTCATCGGAGATGGTACATTGGTATTCCGGTAGGATCTGGATAGTCAAAGAGTGTTGATATTCCGACCTATTTGAAGGAATATGGGAGGCTATCTATAGCAGCGAACTCGCTCTGCTCACCAGGTAAAATGGTCGCCGTGTAGTCTATGATATGCCACCTCCTCCTCGCTCATAAAAGATGGACATCAGCTTGGCACGTAATCTTACGTTTCTCTATGACCATTTGTGTTGTCAGGCTTCTGCGGGTATTGCTGTTAAGCGCACTCAGCTAGAGATACTATAGATAGAGTACGGAGACGAGTGATGTGGTTTTTTGCAAGTTTGATGCTCGAGTCTGGTGATCGTTGATTGTAGTCTGGTTTTATTAAGGGGTGCTGGATTCGGATAATTTTAAGAATGCAAAACTTTGTCTCGGCGATCTGTCGCGTAGTGGGCGGAGGTCGTAGGTGAGGGATAGGGTATCCATACTTCGAGAGGGAGAGGTGATGTTGGGTAGAAGTTTCAGCATGGCTCTTTGGCGATAAAAGTGCTAACCGAAAATCTCCGTTATTTCTCAATACACGGAAGTTGTGAATTTAAATATCATGGCTTGGAAAACAGAGATGTGCACTACTCATCTCAAAAAGCTCGTAAAAGTGTTTCCACACTGTATCGTGACGTCTCGAGCCAACAGAAGCTCTTGAACTGTCCAAACTCGATTCCACCATTGCCGACGAAGAAGATGGGCAACAACTCGTACGATGCCGTAGTGTATGCTGTCGTACCCTTGGGATCTCGTGCATTCAACAGTATAATGCAATCCCCAGGGCTCCCGCTCTCCTAGCCACACCACTACACAGGAGTAAATTTGGGGCACGAGCAACACCTGAAAGCTACGCTCATGTAAATTCCTCTGATCCACACACAAGGCATCACCATATCGTCCGCGGGGTTCGAAAATTTCGTAAATCATCGAAGAAGAAGCGCCCGAAATAGCCCAGTAGAAACGCGAAAGGGCTTATTGCCAAGCAGGGTTTTGCTCATGTCAAACCGGCCCCAAACATATGAGAGTGCTTTGAAAGTGTGTATATCCGAAATTCCAAGATCGGCTATATAGAGGAGGCGAATTGTATATAGCGGACCTAGAATTTATAGGTACGTTCGTTTAAAGCTTATACGCGGTTCTACTCTATTTAGCCTCGAGGAATAGGTATATAATAGTACTTAGAATAAGAGATAAAAGATTTAATAGGATACTAGGTACTAGAAGCTAGGTTTACGTTCTACTTAATACCCTTACGATCTAGAATAATACCCCCCTTTTATAAAGAGAAGGAAGATATTACTAACTAAGCGATAGATATATATTTAAGATATAATCTAAGACTAGATATCTATATAATAATTCTACCTACTAGTGTGACAGACGTGCTTCAGGTAGAACTCAGAACAATTAACACTCTATTCTTAGGACAAAAGACGAGGATAGAAGGAGAGCTCGAGAGAGCTGGGAACTAAATACAGGTCGTGCGCGCTAGCGCCTCGCTAAGCGAGCATGTGACATCCAGCCCTCGTGACCATAACCGTCACAACTAGTAAAAGAATTTAACTTGAACTAAGTAACGCTAGACGTTATAAGTTTAAGTAAGTAGATTATAAGATACTAAAACTAGGTAACTTAGTTAAAATACTATATTTAATAGTAATTAAATATAAGCTAATATAATAAATCTAATACTTATCTCTACTAAGAAACCGATTCCTAGTAAGTATTAAGAAAATTAAAGTAACTAATCTTTCTTTATAATTCCCTATAGTAGTATTAGAATATATATTAGTAGTAGAAACCCGGGCTATACCAGTACGGCATCCCGAATCTACTACTAAACCAGATGACTAAATCGCAAATCGCAAATTACAAAAGCTACAAATCTACGAGTACTACGATTATTACAGTGCCTATGCCCCTACCCCTACACTTCACGTGCCTAGGAATTTTCACGTGTACACCTTGACTACCTGTTCCCTCATTCTCGTACCCTCACTGTCGTATAAGGGTTGTGCCTTAGTATGTTGTCCAGAAGAGAGAGAAAGAAAGAGAGAGAGAGAGAGAAAGAGAGAGGGTGGCGGAGGGGGCTCGGGATAGGGATAAAGCGGGAAATATTTTTGTCGTGTGTGTCGCTTATTCCTAATCCCTAATACTACCTTCCTAAAGAGGCTAGGCTAATACGTGTTGCGCTAACAATTGTTTGCTTCCCTTGTTCTCTCTTCTACTTCTCCCTCCTACTTCTCCCCCCTCTTCTCTTCTTTTATAACAACTATTTACGACAACACTTTGCGACTATAATAGCGATAGCGATAGCGATAGTAATAATAAGAAGGGTTAGGACCGGGGGAGTTACTAAGAGGGGCGTAATAGGGCGCACCGGCGGACTTATATTCTAGAGGACTTATATAGTTAATTCAGACTAACCCTACTTTATTATCTGCCTATTATAAAGTAACTTTTGCGATTTGCGATTTGCGATTTAGTTATCTGGTTTAGTAGTAGATTCGGGATGCCGTAACTAGTAAGTAGTTAGTAAATAAGGTAAAAGTTCTAAATCTAAGAAGTATACTATATATCATCGAAAAAGATAAACAAGGTCTATAATTATAAAACTAGGGAAATCTAAATCTAATAATAAGAAGGGACCAGTTTTGATGAAGCTCTGCAGAATATCTATACTGGAGGTCGCGAAGATAATTGCAGATAGCCCCAAGATAATCACAGGCGAGAGAAGGAGAAAATAAAAGAAAAGGAGAGGAGGTATACCGCGATGAAGAATCCTACGGGGCTTTGGGAAGTATCGTTGGGAGATATCTGGAAGGAAAAGCGGGTGATGAAGAGTTGACGGGGAAAAGGCTTTGTATTTGTATATTACTGTAGGTGATTTAGTTAAATAAATATGCATCGATGCGGCATGGTACAGTAATCTTACTGTAACCACACAAGGACCCATTTTCCGCACTAGGCTTTCTTGTACCATCAAGTGATATAAACAAACAACACTCAGATCCAGACTCCCAGAAAAGAAAAGTAAAAGAAAAAGGGGGATCACAATAATAGCAAAAGGGGAAACGTCATGAGTAAATTCATCATCATAATTTGTCACTGCAAACTGCCAAACTGCATATTCTACCTGCATGAATGTAACTTACCTCGAGGCCCACGTACCAAGTATTCATTCTACTCGACAGGCCCGATGAAAAGAAAAGCAGAGAGAAGTCAATATCAGGAGCTGAAAAAGAGAAAGAAACAAAGACAGAAAAAGAAAAAAAAAACTCCCGCACGGAATCTCATGCAACAATATCATCTAATAGTAGCCTGAATGGCAAAATCGGACCGCCCTGTACATAGAACAAGCCCCTTCTTTCGAAAATCAAATCAACCTGGCCTCGAGGTATAAAACATGATAACAAACTCCAAACTCCAAGCAGCCATCCGGCCATGCATTGCTTTTCCGTCGTCGCTCCCATTTCGTCACCCTCGCGCGCATATGTACGCACGGAAGATGAGGTGACCTACAAGTACAAACTTTGTGCAGCAACGATATCGCGTCTAATCTTAGTAAGTGACTCTTCGAACTTTGTTGATAATTCCTCTGAGCCCATGACTTTAGCAGCTTGTGCCATTTGTCGGAGCAATTCTTCAAGACGGCGGAATAGACGAATGAGAGAACCCTCGTAAACTTCTGTCATTTTACTGGTGAAATTGTTAGCTGAGAACAGGTGTGAATAATGCAATTGAAGACTTACCAGATTTCAGAAAAAGGCTTTCCATTGGCCCACGCAAAAACAACATCCATAAGTTGCCATTTGAAGCTCTCAACGTACTCATCCTCGTTGACCTTCAATTTACTCTCCTGGCTGACTTTGGCAATGATTCTTGCCTGGGTTTGAATGTCTTTAAAATGCCTTGCTAGTTCTTCTTTCAGAGGCGGTGCCTGACTCTTCTCTTCGAAAATGAAGCAGGAGAGTACAGCGGCACATACCTCGGGTGTCATTTCGTTAAAGAATCTATTGAAAAGCAGCTCGGCAAGAAGACATTCATGACCATCACCTGTGGATATCTCACATGCCACACGTGCCTTTAGCTCCACCACCTCTTGGTCGTTGATGAAACCCAACCGACGTAGAACACGCTTCCGGGACTTGAGCTCGTCTAATTGCATGATACTCAAGGCGGCTGTGATGGCCTTCTTCTTATCCTTGATCTTGGTGCCGATCTTCATCTTCTCGCCATACTGATTGAAAAGCTCCGTCAATCTAGGAGAATTATGGAGAGGGTTCGATAGTAGACGAGACTCGAGGACTTCAATTTTGCGAAGTAATCTCAAGAAAGAAGCATCTGTGATGCCCATATTATCAATGGGGTCCAAAATAGCAATTCCGTCAGGGAATCTGCGTTGGACTTCTTCGAGAGATTTCCGAACCGTATTTCTCTCGCTAACTGGGTTGAGATCTTTCGGTAAGAATATGCGAACATGGCCGATCGCTGCAATGCACGACAAAAATACCGGGACGATCTCCATTTTGCCTTTATCATTCTCATCTGAGGGTGAGACACCAGAAGGAAGATCGGTTGTGGTGGCGCCGCCTACTTTAGCGGAATTATCAGAGACCACTAACAGCACGTCCAAGATATATGATTGTTGTGGTGGAATGCTGTCATTACTTTCTCCCTTTCCTGGTTTCCGCTGGGTAAACTTGACGACAGCACCCCATCCAAAATCGTGATCATTGAACTTGATATGAACAACTCTTCCTGGCTGCATGAATTGCAGGCAGTAGTTTGGGTGGTTGATGACGTCGCGCATGTCCTTTGTATAGGTATCGAGTTGCTTTCGGAGGTCGTAATAATCCTTAATAATGGCCTCGTCTTGAATTTCAACGCTATCTCGTTCAATCTGCAAATCATGAAGATCCTTCTCAAGACCCGAAACACCTGATGTGTTCTGGAATTGGTAAAAACAGTGCTCCAGCATGAATTCTGGTGAGATTCCTTCGACTCGCATTAAGTTGAGGATCATATTGTAACCAAGATAAAATGCAGAATTGAGCTTGTCCTGTTCCCCTCGAACAATTTCCTTGGCAGTCGGAGGGTCCATCTTGTCGTTGATCATCATGATAACAATTCCTCTGTCATCTAGACCTCTTCGACCCGCACGCCCAGACATTTGTACGAACTCAGAAGGTGTCAAGTATCGCATCGCTTGCCCGTCAAACTTTTGGACACTGGTGAAGACTACCGTCTTGGCAGGCATATTCAAACCAATAGAGAAAGTCTCCGTAGCGAACAACACCTTGATCAAATTCTCCTGGAACAAGATTTCGATCGTTTCCTTCAAAATTGGCAGAAGTCCAGAGTGATGAACACCAATACCTCGTCGTAGCAATGGCAGGATGTGCTGAATCTGTGGGAGAGTTCTATCATCTTCTGATAGTGATTCGATGGCACTTTCGAAAACCTTGGTCACCATGGCTTTTTCCGAATCGTCGTTGAAGGCCATGGTGCTCATTTGTAGAGCATAGGCCTCGCACTCTCGTTTGCTGAAACTAAAGACGATGACAGGGTTATAGTGCTTCAACATAATCATTCGTACGATCTTGTAGATGTCGCTATTATCTTTGTTACCACCAGTATTTGTCTTCTTATTCTTACCTCGACCCTTCTGCTTTGCGTTTATGTCGGCTGGATCTGCTCCCTTCTTGTCCTCTATAGTTGCCATGGCTTTCTGAAAATTGTCCTCTCGGAAGTTGCCTTTTTCATCAACAATCAGATGAATTCCATCAGCCCCAGCAGGGAAGAAGTAATGCTGGAGTGGGGTCGGCCGGAAGTCTGTGTACACAATGTGGCATGGTTGTTGATGGGTTTTCGTAATCCATTCTGCAAATTGCATAGCGTTGGGAATCGTAGCCGACAAAAAGACATAGCGAACCTTGTCCGGTAACAAGATGATAGTTTCTTCCCAGACCACACCTCTCGACTTGTCTCTCATGTAATGAATCTCGTCGAATACAACCCAAGCAACCTCCCGCATAATCTCTGAACCTCTGTATAACATGGAACGCAAAATCTCAGTTGTCATGACCAGACATGTAGCTGTAGGGTTGATAGTAACATCTCCAGTCATAAGTCCAACATCTCCAAACTCGGCCGCAAACTCTCGGTATTTCTGATTACTGAGTGCCTTGATTGGACTAGTATAGATAACTCTCTGGTTGTTCTTCAAGCATTGAGCAATGGCGTATTCTGCGACCACAGTCTTTCCAGCACTGGTATGAGCAGAGACCAACACACTCTCGTTTCGTTCTATCGAGGCGATCGAAACCTTTTGGAAGGGATCGAGCTCGAATGGCCATGTTCGCGCAGGGACATCGGGTGACTTGTGCTGGGATATAGGGACGTAGTCGTAATCTGGGGGGAGAGAGACTTGATGTTGAATATTGTGTTGAATGACCAAAGCGCCATCGTCCTTTGCTTGAAGTCCTGCCGCGGCAGCAACCTCTCTCGATTGCGCAGTTTCGAAGGTATCCGTGACAACTGGCGCAGCTTCCTGGTCCATTCGACGTCGCTTGGTATCTTTTTTTTCAATCAAAGTATGGCTTGCAGGCTGCTCCGGTTCAACTTCTGGAACAGGTTCTGCTTCGGCCATCTCCTCATCCGGAGCTCCATCTTCAGCAACTTTCTTGACCTCTCCATTGCTATTTCTCTTCCTCTTCTTGTCTTTGGACTTTTTGCTCCTCTTTGGCTTTTCCGCGACGGGAGCCTGCGGCTTATCGTCGAAGACGTCGAACAGTTCGTCATCCATCGTACTAGAGTCGGCGACTTGACATGAAAAATGTGCAATTGATTGTTGATGCGAATCGCGAAGATGATGGCGGGCGCAAATACCTTGTCAAGGTTTTTCGTATAAGAGAGCCGACAAAGCGGAACCCTAATCCCTGTCACTTTAGCGTCCTCGCAGAACTTCAACCTCCAACGTTACGAACCACCTTGTGCTTTCCAAAACCAAACTATTCAACCCACAAAATCTTCAAGGTATGCCGCTCAGGCCAATCAACGACGTCCATGGCTAATAAATTCTTCTAGATGTTCTCACGAGCTGCAATCCGTGCCTCCTCCTCGACCTCGATGGTCGCCCGTCGTGGCTTCCACTCCACTCGCGCGCAAATGGGCTCCCCATACCATTACCCCGAGGGCCCACGAAGCAACATCCCATTCAACCCATTGACCAAGTTCTTTGCCGTCAGATACTGGACCTTTATGGCTGTTGGATTTGGTGAGTGCTGCAGATGCCGAAGCTGGGCCATTAGGCTAACCCAGGCACAGGTGCTCCATTCGGTATTGCAGTTTGGCAGACAAAGAAGAACCAGGGCTAGAAGGTCATCCAAGAGTGTACAGCTAGGCATTGTTTATAGACTTGGGGAATACGATGGGGATTTTCAAAATATCTTTTTTTGCAAAAGTGGTCTGATTTGGTCATTTCGCTGGCATACGGAAACCCCAGGAAAATGAAAAGAGACTCATGAACCGACTTGCCCTTGAGAATGCTCAACTTCTTCTTTAGTACGTCATATCATATTTGTGTATTGCGGGGTAATCAAGGCACATCAAAGATTTTGGATATATGTTTGAGGGTCTATCTAAAAATGGCTCGCTTGGGTGGAGGTGTTAGTATTTCAGACCATGCCAGCCAAAAAAAATATCGTAAGGATCTAGAAAGCCTATGTACATCTGATCTCTCGAATCTTCCATCAATCTTCCATGTCAAATCCCCCAAAGACTATCTTAGCTTTCACTCAAGCCATCTTTGTTCTTGTATCAAGAGTAAGTCTGGGAACAACATGGAAATGACAGCACCCATCAAATTCATTTTTCACTGTCATCAATTCCCCAATTCCCTGCTGCACCAGGTCCAAATCCTTCCCATTAACTACCCTCACACTAATTGTTAAAATCCACTTGTTTTCCGTGTCAAAGGGGGTCAGAGTCTCGAAGGTAGGTAAAGGTTCACTCAAAGCTTCCTTTCCTTCAGGGAGCTGTAAATAACGACTCAACTCAAAAATGACATTTCCGTTAATAAAACGGTAGCACTCTTGGATGATCTGTCTGACGAATCTATGATTGTCAAATTGCAAGTTTGTGTGTACTGTTTTCAATTCTACTTACCTGTATTGCATTACTTGCATTGAAAAACACAAGTTCTTTTCGTTCTCGATTTGTAGCATTGGCCTTGTGTTGACCTGTCGTTTTCCCTCTGGATCAGGAATATCATTCCATCTTAATGTGCCTGGCTGTTGATCTAACGCGAAAGTTCTGTGATGCATATCAGTATCAGATATCACAGCGTTGCTGCCATCCATTTCATAGCTGTAACTACTCACGATGTCTTCGGTTGCCCATCGGGCCCCATCTGCGCTACATCTTGCTCCGTAGATTTGCCAAAAGATTCGCGCGGTAGCTCATAAATGACGTGCAAGATATATGACTGTCTGACGAGTTGTTCATGGAGGCTTCCCCACAGTTGTATCTTTTGTGGGGGTTGTCGTTTGATAATGCTAGGATCGACACCTTTGAGTCCGGCGCGTAGTCGTGGTCCTTCCCAAATCAAGCGTCGGTAAAGGGACTGCTGTGGTTTCATTCCACAGTAGCCTTGCAAGATTCGAACCATACGTACGATATCATCGTTTTGTATGGTCGCCGTGAGAAAGAGCTCGTGCATGATGTTGGTTGCGTCTTCTTCTCTCTGGTAGGCAGTTAGTATGAGCGCAAAGTCGATCACAAGGACGTTGGCGATATGAGAAACTTCAAGATCGAGATAAAGAATAATGTGGTTTGATGTTTTTCGAGGCTACTGCTTATCCGATGACCATCCTACCTTGCGCTTGAGAGTTGGTTTCTGGTTCAGATATTGATTCATCTTGATGGTAGAATAGAGACTGTCATGCGCCCCAGATATGACAAGAACCTCAAAAGCTGGTAGCGCTTTTTGGGAAATGCGCTTGATTGAGGTTGTGGTGTAATTGAAATAACAGAAATGAAAACTCTACAATGAATGACCTACCGATAATTCGTAGTAAGCCTTAAGCAGGCGCAAGCAGGTGCTTGAATAATTCACCGGCTTTCAAGCTGAATAGCAGACATGAGGTGAATGAATGGATGAGTTTCCTGGGCAGGATGGAAAGCCAACCAAAATCATCGAGTACGAAGTACGACGTGTGAGTGACGGTCAGAGCCGATTTCGGGAGTCTAGAATCCCCGGGCCGGAGTTGTGAACTCGGCCCGGAGTCGGCGTTTTGTTCCGGCCTTCCCTGGTCACCAAATCTCTATTTTGTCCTCAAAATAATAAAAAACACTCCCTGGCTTATGCATTTGTTCTCTCTTCCTCAGAGTTCACAATGATTTGTTTCAGATTGACGTAATACTCGGTATGTCGTCATCGTCGAATTTCGTCATGACCATACCGTATGAGTAGTTGCCTTACCTATTTCTTGGTTCAACCTTGGAAATAGTACCTGGATCACCGATGTATTGAGTATAAATTAGGGACCTTGATATCGACCAGACATCATTCTATTAATGGCTCTCATCATTTATAAGAAACGAATGCTTCATAAGCTTTGAGGAGTCTGATATTTCGAAACACCCAGTAGCTTCGGAGTCTCTGCAGAACAATTGAGGCGGCAGAGCGAGCGAAGGAAAATGTTCGCCAGTTACCAAAGTTTCTGCCCCCTTTGGTGATGGTGAAATAGAGAAAGCTTCTTGCAATCTTATTCTCATGCTTGGAGAAATGTTCGCTAGTCATCTCAACACGTGTACTCTGTAGATTTCAAGGAAGGCCGCAGCGTCGTTAAAGTGATACCACAGTACCGGTATTCAGTTTCTTGAGTACCAAGTAGGCAACTCAATTAAAATTTTGTTTTTCTTTTAAACTGTACTCGAGTAGACGCCCAGAGAAGGTCGCGTGGCAATGCAGTACAGTCAAATACACAACATGCTGGCACTTGTACCAAGACAAGATGACTCCTTTCCCCTCGCTAAGTGAACGTTAAAGTGATTGGGCATACACCAGGCTCGTATTTGATAGAGGGGGAAGAGGGGGATACGTCAATGTCTGGGAAGAAACTTTTCATATTCGAAGTTAAACTACCCCTCCCTTACCACCAACTTGTCCCCTCGCTTCTTTCCATAGCGTTGCATTTTCACTCCGCTCTCGGTTCCATGTGGCACGTAAATGGCAATGGGTAGTTCTAGCCGTTCCACTTCAGTGTGGTCAAAACAATCCCAGTCAAGCTTCGGCACCTTGTCCCCTTATTTGTGCTCCATAATCTAATGCATGCAGATGTTGCTCAAATTTCCCATGTTGCATCTGCTGAAACTGTCCAATGAAGAAATATGCCAACCCCACAATCATGGATAACGCCATATTCCCATCACCCAAAAAGACCTCCACCCCACTACTGATAAGGCAATGTCAAGCATGTCACGCCATTGATTGAAGAGAAACACCTTGTCGCAAGCGCCTCGGGACCGACCGATATCAGAGTTTACAAATCTGGGCGGTTGGTTGTTGGGTTAGTGCTACGACAACAAACTCCCCTGCTGTCTCATTGCCCCACGCTTACGCCCTTATTGCAAGATATTGAAAGCCATATTAGTGTATGGCTTTTCAAATCAGTTTTTCACCAGTACATACCAGTATTTCTCTGTGTGCGTCAAATCTTTGGGCATCATCTGCATCCACATTTGGGTCAGGACCGGGGATACCGGAACTCCGATTTCGCTGTCCAGGGCAACTGCAACTGCAACCTCTGCATTTAATATTGCGGCAAGGTCACCCAAGGTTCAAGGTTGACATCCAACTTTCAGGGCACTTTCACGAGCCACAATTTTTTCTTTCCTGCACCTCCGCTCGGCTACCGAGGAACGCCTGCGCTTGCCTACAAAGCTCAGAGGTCCCCTCCCGACATCCCTCTTTTCCCCGATTCATTCCACACCCACACCCACCACATCTTGAGCACACGACAGCAAAGCCACGCCTGCAGAATTCTTTCCCATCGCCAGCTTCGTCTATCAATACTTTCTCCATCCAAAGTACCAATTCGATATGTTCGCGACTAAGATTCTCAGGCAGGCGGCTGCTGCTGAGCGAGCCCCAATGATCAAGTTCCTGGGCAAACGCACCACCCCAGGTAAGCATTTGAGAAATCCAATTTTAGTTTCGGTTTGGTTGATCTAACGCCCCCGCAGCATCCATCGATCACACTCCCAAAGCACACCCGGCCTCCCCCTATGAACTCCCAGCCGATTTCTCCAAGTCTTCCTCCCCCTCCTTCTCCTCCTACCGACAGAAGGCTATTCAACACGGTCCCCTTGGACGACAGAACACCGGCTCAATCGGCTCAGCCTCTGGACAGTCTCTTGGTTCCGTCAAGCCAGCAAAGGGAGAATATTTCGATCGCAATGAACTGCCCGCACGCTTCCGACGAGCGCCTCTGGACATGAGCGAGATTGACGCCATCGAGACTGGCGGAGCAACTTTAGTTTGCTGAGGAGCGCCATGGAACGGACAATTAAATTAAAGAATGTACGAACGCATGGAAAAAGCATGATACCCCACGAAATTCAACATTACGACTTTAACTTCGATTTTGGTTACGAAAGGAGATACGAAGCCAAGCTACGAAATTCAAGCGGTAAAGGCACACCCAGGAGGGCTGGTGTGCTTCAGGGAAACTGGGTAACGAAAAGCGATGCAGCAGTTTGGGGAAATTTTGTGTTGTGTTTCTTCAGTTTCTTCACACAGATGGTGAGCATTTGTTATCTTGAGCAAGCGTCTGGATTTTCTGCTACTCTTCTTAATGCCGCCTTTCGCTGCTCAGATAGTTTTTTAATGCTATCTTTTTCTAAACCTACCTTCCCGTTTCATAGAGGCTAAAAACCAAGTGGCCATTGCTGTTTGCTCTGTATAATATTCTCTACCTCTTTTGCGGTTTTGATTCAGAAATCCCTCAGTTTCTGTATTCTTGTATTGTATATCCGAGTACCCAGTCTTTATTCCTCCCAAACAAACTGTTCAATAGATCATTTTAGAATTTATAGAGCAAGTTATCTAACGCAGTGAGCAACAATAGTGCTCACACCTTCACACTTCATCCCACATGTATCTCGTTCTATACAATCTACTTGTCTTGTACAAGTATGCCCCAGATAAGAATTCTCATGACAAGTTGTGGTTGCTGTCATACTTCATTTTTCGGTTCCTTGAACATTCCCCTTCTCTTATGGATCCATCAGATATTTACCGATTTTTGGTGTTAGGGTGGGGATCAAGGAATAGATTGTTCGCAAGGAGGGAAGAGAGACGCTCTTCGCACTCCTTAGGTATTTGTCTATCTACGGAAGGGTACACCCGCAACTTCGCTAAGCGAACCCTTATTCACTAAATCAAAAACTGTCACACCGGAATAGAACTAGCGCTTCTATAGAATATACTAGTGCTATACAGTAGAGTAGAGAATGCTCGTGTCGTAATACACCTAGTAATACCCTAATAGTATAGAACATATTAATATATGAAAAATTATATACCATATACCCTTTAAACCTTCTCGCCTATTAACTTTTCCTACATTTAAGCTCCAACTCGTACCCACTATACATATCTAGTTATTCACCTCTTTTCATACACATTTACATTCAATTACATTACGAAATATCATAATTCACCTATCGGACACTTCCTAAGAAAACAACGCAATTCCATTTGTGGACAGACTATCAGGGGGTATCATCTAACTACAACGCCCACGCAAAAAACGCGCAAATTAAAAGTCAGACGACACGCCAAATGAAAAAAAGAAAAGAGGGAAAAACAATAACGTCAGTATCCCCATGAACCCATGAGAAACAAACTGTACCCGGAAACGAAAAAGGTCAGATCCCAAATGATTTCGTGAGAAATCATTCATGATTGAGCGACTCACAAGAGCCAGAAAGGGGGAAAAAAAACAAAAAAAAACATAACAACCCTCCAGGTCCAGGCAATATGAACACAATCCCTACCCTAATGACACATCTTTAGCACCGTTGAAGAAAAAAAAAGGCCTCAGATGAGCTCAGGGAAGACCATCCACACCTAAATCGGATAGTCTTTAGCGTGGGCACAGAAGGGAAAAAAAGAACAACCATCAACTCTACCCAGCGCAACACCTCGTCCCCTAATATCCTCTCCAGAAGTGGAAAACAATATCAACAATCGCATCATGTCTCTCAATCCACAATAACTCAGACTTCTTCTTCTGCCTAGTAACCTCCTGTCCATCAATGATCTCCGTAATCGTCGTTGTAGGCCTCTCCCTCATACCAAGCTTATTGTTGCGAACAGCCGGCTCATAATTATCGATATTGGGTACCCTGATCATCTTCTCCAAATTCGCCTTATGCTCCAGATACGCAGGCGTAATTGGCCCGAGGGGTTTGACCATATAGATGCAGCCATATTTTCCCAATCGCCCTTTCTTGATTGCTTCACTGAGGCCTGTCCCGAAGAGTTCTTTGCGACGTGGACGAGCGTCGATCTCGGCGCGTTTACGTTTGAGAGCTTCACCTGAGAGGGGGAGTTTGGGCCAGTCCGTCGTTGGATTGATATGTCCCCATCTTTGGGATCGGATGAATTCGTGGTCCGGCATGGGGTACTCAGAATCATGTTCCTTGATTTTCTTGGCCCCGTACAGCCATTCATCCATCTCGGCGTCCACGACACCAGAACGAGCGCGATTTTTTGCATCAAAAGATCCTGGAGGTGCTTCCCAAAGGTAACCAGTGCCAGCGAGAGAGTTGTGCTTGAAAGAGTTGGCTGGTTCGGGGGATATGGTTGAGGAGGCCATTGGATCGGGTTGCGGCTCTTTTTGAGCTTGAAGCTGTTTGCTGATCTCGGCCCCTACAAGGTCGGCGTGCGCACGACGTTTTGCTTCACGGGAACTTGACGGTGCCTCTAAAGCATGCTTGACACCGGTAAGGGCATTTTCTGATGATGAAGAAGTGTTCGGAATGCCCATTTGCCCTGTGATACTTGATATGGAAGGAGGGAGCTTATATGAAGGTTCATAACCGTTTGAATCGCCTTTTGGTCGCGGAGCACAATGTTCAATTTCTTGGTCTGCCAACTCGCCGAGGGGCTCTCTGGTTGTAACGATGGGTCGTGTTTCCAAGGCCCTTGCGACGTCTTCATTGGAGTGAGGCTGTAGAGGTTTCAAGGTCGGGGTATATTCTTCGTCGTCCTCCATATCCAACGTATCAGTGCCACGTAGACCGACACTGGGCGAGCGAGAGTCGCGATGATCTGCTGCAAGGATATGCGGCGATGCATGTTCTGGGTTTCGATCCTCCTGATCAGCCTCCGGTTCAGGACTGTGCTTCGAGAGGTTTTGATCCATGTTGTCTTGGAGACCAAGTAGATTGGAAATTGGTCTGGGAGAAGGTAGGTCGTACTCCATTTCCTCCTCATCATATGCCCGAATCCATTCACGCCGATTGTCGTCGGCGGCCGCTTCCCGCGAACTTCCTCGCAGCACGGGATCTGGGTCACGAGGCACGAGTATTCCACAAGCATGATAACAGGCATGGACTTCCATGAGCTGCACCGCCGAGATGGGATATTCTGTGTTTGATTTCAACAGCTCTATTGCATTCTCGACGTCTTCTTGCTCCACTTGCCACATGGATCCTGTGCTACCTGATGGGCGCTGACTTTCCAATCGAAACAAAATGGCTCTGTTCAAGCAATCAATAGCCGTCGATCCGGATGCAACTGTGCAGACAAGATCTCGCAACTTTGGCCACCATTCATCCTCAGTGGTATGTCCACTGGCATGAGTCCTGAGCCATGATGTGAGATTGATCTGGAGCTGCTCATCACAGTGACGTTCAATCCACTCGGATAATTGCTTCTGCGCTCGACTGCTTTCATCTATGGGCGATGATGATGATGATAATGATTCAATTGCATACCCGGTATGCTTGGCAAAGCCTTGAGTTCCTTCCAGTTGTAGCATTGCTAAGGAGACATCAACATTTTTAGCACGGGAATTGCGCATATCAAGTCCAATGTCTGATTCTCCAGAATTGGTGTCGTAGCAAGTGGAATCAATACTTTTGTTCATTGACGGGTGCCTATGCTTGCGGTCTTTAGTAACTGCTTGGCTCTCCGGTCTTCCAGGTGGCTTCATCTTGGACCTATCGACTCGGGCTGATTTCATAGCTACCGGTGGCCTCGGTTTGTTGGCAGATAGCATATGTTTTTCACTTATGCTGTGGTGCTTGCAGATCCTTCTTGCGCTTCGGGGATCTTTCATTGGCATGCGATTGCAGCCAGAAACCTCACATGAGAAGCCAGGAGCAGACTGTGAGCCATTGTGAGCTACAGAAGGGGATGTGGCTATTGCGTTTGAATGTGTACTTTGGTCGGTGGATGCCTTCTTGACGCATCTTGCGCAGCTGAAAGGTTTTCTGAATAGCAGTCAGTACAATACCATTGAGTTTGTGAGGTTTATCCAAACAACATACTGTAAGTCATGCATATCTCTGCTGACAGGAGGTGCGTGACAATTGTGGTGCCAGAATCTCTTGCACCTCACACAACGCACTAACGCTTTTGTGGGTAGAAACTCGCCCTCTTTGCAGACGTAACATACCTTTGGTCTGCTGGAAGAAGACATTGAGGCTACAGAGCTTGAGGATGAGCTAATCGCTGGGCTTTTCCTCTACAAATTTGTTAGCATATACGCCGACTCCACAGACAAGCGAATGCATTTCCTAGAAAGGAGATATACGTCTCAGGTCTTTTCAGTTTGCTAGTCATCAACCTGCACACTGAACGGCTTTGATTTCTGTTTGGCAACTAGGTGGATACCTCAGCTGGCTTTACTCATCTCCAGTCATTACATCCTCGCATGATGCCAAAAGGCTGATTGTTTTACTCCACAGCCTTTGGTCACGCGTCCTTGAGCGAGAAGACGCGCAACCTCAAAAGCAGAGCTGTCATACGACATGTCATATATCCCAACAGATCACTGATGCTCTCACAAAAGCTTTTGTGAGGACAGTCTTGCCTACTAGAGGGACTGCTCGTGAAAGAAAGGAGATCGGTGAGTGAAGCAGCGTCCTCAGTAAATCAACCCAGTATACCAGACTTCCATCAGAACCAGAAAAGTACTGAAGCAGTCGGACCTTTTACCAGTTGCTCATCATTGACGTATTGAGTGGGAAAAACAGAGAGAGGGAGACATACCGTAGAAGACGTACCTGTCGTAAGGGAAGGTTTGGACGCTGAAGCTTTCCGATCATCCATAGTGCAATGTATCACCACGGTCCGTTGGGGCAACCTGAGAATGTTACCTATCGTTCAAGACACTCAAGATCCCCTCCTAGAAGAGGTGTGTTTTGAGGGCGTAAGTCATTCTACTTCTGGGGCGAACTCCATCGGTTGAAGGGTGGAAGGGGTGGTAGTCGGTGGTGGTGGACCTTTGGCGCGTGAAGTCAGGTACAGTAGTAAATGCCAAGCCCATGCATGACCCGCACCGCACTAGCGTCCTTTGATAGAGCTGCGATAAGGGCCACATGTTCAGGCAGAGGAACCCTACTCGAGTCGGATACCTACAGGAGAACTTTGTGCAGCTCATGAATTTGCGACCTGTACCCCCAGCCTCTACCCCTCATTCCTCCAGTATTGGTATTGCTTGATCCATTTTCTCTGCGCCATGGAGTTTTTTAAATCTGCTGTGGCGTCAGCAATTTCCAAAGGTCCTCCATTCCCATATACTTTCGGCGATCGAGTCGACGTGGACACCAGCATTTGGACCCTCTACAATGGAACTAAGCGTGTAATTACTCCAACTTAGCACTAGGCAATGCGCAAAATTACTGACTCTTACGGTACAGGAAGATGGAAGTAATTGTAGCATATTTTCTTTCGATATCACCACCAACAAAGCACGTCTGCCCATGGCAAGGAATGCTGTCAAGAAACTTCGAACCTTGAGGCATCCAGGAGTGGTTAAGGTATTGGAAAGCGTGGAGGTATGGCATAAGCTACACTGAATTCGGGGAAGGGTAGTTGACGAATGTGGAACAGACGGATACATACATTTATATTGCTACAGAACGACTTGTGCCATTAAAATGGCATGTAAAAAGGAAGAGCATGAGCACAGAAACCTTAAAATGGGGACTCTTTGGTGTTGCTGTAAGGATGCTTGTTTTTTCAGGAAAGATAAATTTACTGATGGGTGCCTAGCAAACCATCAAATTTATAAACGACGAAGCATCCTCAGTCCACGGTGCCTTACGAGCGGGGTCCATATACACAAGTGAAAGCGGGGAATGGAGAGTCGGTGGGTTCGAGGTCTTGAGCAGCATGAAGGATGATGAGGCTATTATCTACGTATGTTGGCATTGAATAATGCGGGCGTCCAATTTGCTGATTAAAACAACAGAATTTCGGAAGTTTAGTCCCTGATGCTGGAAGATACACACCACCTGAATTGGCAAAATCTGGTTGGGATGCGATCAAACGGAATCCTTTACCTGCAGTCGACGCGTACAATTTTGGTACCCTCATATTTGAAGTTTTTAATGGCGATTTTATGGGAGGCGATCAAGCTGGACAAACCAAGAATGTTCCCCCAAGCATGCATTCGAGCTACAAGAGACTGGTCAATGCAAATCCGAAAGCCAGAGTGACGGTTGCCAACTTTTTGGATCAAGGACGCAGGAATGGGGGTTTCTTTGAAACACCATTGATCAAACTCACCGAAAGTGTAGATAACCTAGGGATGAAAAGTGAAGAGGAGCGAGAAGAGTTTTTAAAGTATAGACAAAAGCTCAACCCATCGGTTTTGCGCCATTAGCTAACACAAAAACAGTGACCTCGACCAATTATCTGATGATTTCCCGGAAGATTATTTCAAAATGAAAGTTCTCCCTGAATTACTGAAATCTGTGGAATTTGGAGGCGGCGGACCAAAAGTCTTCGGTGTTGTCATGAAGATCAGCAAAAAGCTCACTGATGAGGAATTTGAAAGCAAAGTTACGCCCGCTGTAGTACGACTTTTCACCAGCCCTGACAGAGCTATTCGGGTTTGTTTACTCGATAACTTACCAATCATGATCGACAGGCTACCACAGAAGGTGGTCAATGACAAGATATTTCCACAAATGGTATGCATTCATGAACTCCACAAATATATATTGCTTACAATTCCAGGTTACCGGGTTCACGGACGTTGCTCCCATGGTTAGAGAGCAAACCGTCAAGGCTGTTCTTACGATCATTGGGAAGCTTTCTGACAGAACCATCAACGGAGAGCTGTTAAAATATCTAGCCAAGACATCGAATGATGAGCAACCTGGAATTAGAACCAACACAACTATTTGTTTGGGCAAGATTTCAAAGAATTTAGGTGTCGGTAATAGGTCGAAAGTTTTGATTGCAGCATTTACCCGCTCTCTTCGCGATCCTTTTGTTCATGCTCGAAATGCAGCTTTGATGGCACTAGCCGCCACTTCTGATGTTTACAGTGAGGACGATTGTGCAAATCGAATATTGCCTAGTCTCTGTCCTTGCTTAATTGACAAGGAGAAACTTGTCCGAGATCAGGCAATCAAGACAATGGATCTGTTCATGCAACGTATTCGAAAGTTTGCAGATACAATGGCAGCTACAGCTTTGCCACCCCCGACTGCTGTTGACGCTTCCACTGGCTCAGTACCTCGCATGGGTACACCCCAACCAAGCGATGCAGCTTCTTGGACTGGTTGGGCCATATCTTCCTTTACAAATAAAGTCGCCTTAGCAACTGGTGAAATCCAGACTTCGGCAAATGGCACAGCACCCACAGACGCCCGTTCCAGTTCCACGCCAGCAGCGAATGAGGCTCGGCGACCAAACACATCTACCGCATCAGCATCCACTCTCCACCGTCAAGCAGTAGTGTCACCCCCCGCAACCTCAACGCGGAACTCCTCTACCACAAACGACTACTTCGCCGAACCCACGCCATATGAAGGATTCGACGATCCATGGGGCAACATGGAAGAAGAAGCCTTTTTCGACGCCTCATCTGACGCTCCAAAGCCAAGCCTCAAATCAAAAGCAGTCGCATCCGCAAATCCGTTTGAAGATAACGAGGAACCTGATTTCGCAGGCTGGCTGGCTGCCCAAGCAGGGAAGAAACCCGGTTCTAAAGTTCTGCCTAAGGGTCTAGCGAAACCCGCTGCTGGACGACCTGCATCTTCGAGGGTCGCGTCTACCGGGACGGTGGGTGGTGCTGGGGCGAAGAAGGCCGCTGCTACGGCGACGAAACCGAAACCTGTTGTGGCGAAGAAGATTGATACCGCGCCGAAGAATACGGATGATGACGAGGGGTGGGGCGATGGTTGGTAGTGTGGACTTTGGGAATTATAAGACGAGGCATGGATTGGAGTTCGGGAGGGGGTTTCTTGTGTATGGCATAGCAATGGCGTTCGGATACCAGGATTTCGTGTAGTGTCGATGTGAAAAGTAACTATCGTCGTTTTTTAGAGAGTCTTTCTTTTTTTGCTTGTTTGTGTGTGATAATGAGTGTGTGTGTGGCTGTCTGTTAATATGTGAGATTACGGTATCTTGAGGTAAGAGGCGTGGTTTTACTCTGAATCCACTATTCGAAAAGTGAAAGTATCACACGTCTAGCACAAGTAATATCATTGTCTTAGTGTCCCTAGATCTCTAAAATCTACTAAGGGACATTTATTCAAACCTTTTATATGTATGATTTAGTTGTACGAACCTTCTAGAGCAATATTGTTGCAGGAGAGATGTGTAAGATTACGGAGCAGCGACGACGTCTCTGATATAAACCGATTATATATGCCGCGATCATGGGTGAACTCGATGCTTGGAAAAAGTAATGTATTGCTGTTCTGATATTTTGGGGTAAGGGGGTGTCCTTCTCGGATAGTCAAACCAGGGTAAGATTACTGTGGAAAAGACATCCTCACACCCCGATGTACCTCCGTCCGTCCGCCTTTTGCATGTTGATCTTGCAAGAAGGGTCGCCTAACATGATATCCTACCCTTAGACTCGGGCCCATCACCGTCCATATCTTCGTAGAAGAATTCCACAGATTATTATCTCAGAACAAAACCCCCGTATCTCCATGAGAGAGTTCCACAGATCATCATCTCAGAACAAAACCCCCGTATCTCCATGAGAGAGTTCCACAGATCATCATCTCAGAACAAACCCCCCATCCCCATCTTCTCTTCCAAATCAGACAACCCCAAAAGTCCCAACCCCACAAGTGCCTTCTCAAGCATATCCTTATCACGAATAGCGTTCTGATGGTACATCTCACGGTACCCAAGGACATCATTCATACGTTCGCACAGCTCCTTGAAACGCTTCAAGGTAATATTACACAAAATCGTTTGTTCTTCAAAGTCTGTGATAAGCTCTTTGGCGGCGGCGGTTTGAGAAAGTGTTGCGTTGGTCATATTTTGGACCTCGGTACGATAGAGGAGAGCGGTGATGGCGCGAGTTCGTTGGGTGGCGTCGTACTCGTTTTTGAGGTACTTCATGGCTGCTTCTATGGTGGCGATGGCGTCTTGGGCTATGTCGCGTTAGGGTTGTTCTTTCTTTGGTGTTGTTGGAGAGGAAATAGAGGGAAATATGGGACGAACTCACTAGTAGGTTTCGGAATGTTAGAAGCATTTGTAAGACCTCCAAGGACTTGGTGATATGCTGCTTCTTATTTAGACCCCTCGTGACATACGGTTTTGTAGGAGCTGTTGCAAAACATACCTGCCCGAGCACCAGCATCATTTGGGTTGACAAGATCATTCAAAGCCTCAATGACTGTTTTTTTGATTACTAAACCTGACCGATTTGGTGTGACTTTTACAGGGAGAGGAGTAACTTACGACTTGCATATCCAATAGTGACGTCGAACTTAAGTACTCCCTCAATGGGGCGGCAAGCAACCTTGGAATGCTCGCCCAGTTGGAGAACGACCGGATGCTTCTCACCAAGTTGAACATTGTTAGCATGATCGGGGAGTGCATAGGTTTCGTGTCGGTGCTGAGTGGCTTCTTGATAAGTCTGAGATTCTCCAACTACTTCGGCTTGTCTATTCATCTGGAGATGCGGTCGTGTATCTGGTTGAGCAGGTTGGGTTCCTCCAGTAAATGCGATAACTTGATCGTAGCCTATGAAAACAGGGAATGTCAGAGACCATTGGATCTTTGCCTGGTGTGTAGCCACTCCTTGGAGCGGTGGAGCCTCGAAGCCCCTTTTATTCAGGAACCGAATTGCTTCTCTGGGAAGTGTCTGCCTACTCCCTATACATACATTGACGGGAAGGTAGTGGACTTACCAACATTGTTACCGCCAACCAAGGCATTACCAATAGCATGAAAGCCTCCCCCAGTATGATCTGCAACTAGTACATAATTAGCGAAATCCAAGCTCGTAAAATCCCCAAGTTCAAAGGTAAGACTGGAAAGAAGACTCACATCCACTACAAATACCAGAAATGGGGCTGGCAAACTGGCCTCCACCAGGAGATAAGTATTCAGCCTTTACAGCAGTACCAACAGAACTACCAGCTACCAAAACATCAGCTCATACACATCCAAGACCTGATAGTCCAGGTTCCTAGCTCAAGGATATAGGATCGCCACAGAAAACTTACCCAGATCAACTCCACCACCGACGACGAAAGTATTAAGCAACTGGCTTCCGTTTGGGGTACCGCTGGTACCAGTTTCGCTATCTACACGAGCGATCAGTTCCGCGAAATCCTCGAGATCAGGCAGGTAGAAGGATACGAGGAACACTTACCTCCACGGCCACCATTACCACCATAATAGAAACCAGAAGACTGGCTTCCATCAGAGAAAGAATTGCCAGACATGTCGGCGAACACTTGTTTGGTGCGGTAATGTAAGTTGTTGATAAAGATGTATGTAGCTTTGGTAGAGTGCACAAGGGAGAGTATCAAAACCTGGAGTGCCAGATTCCTTGTGTTGAGGATGTCGAAAAAGGAGTTCTTGGTATGGTCTGTGATTTAAGTAACAGGTATTCACAGACAGTCAATTAGAGGTTTGTTTGTTGATGAAGTGCACTCCTAGGTGAATTGAGCTTTGAAAGGGGCAAAGTGCTAATCTTAAGCGAGGGGCCCTCGCTACAGGAAAGGGGCAAGGCTAAGGTGAAATGCTTGACACTATTTACTTAGCGAGAAGCTCTGAATCTTCCTCTTTTTACCTATTCTCTTAGAATTTCTCTTTTCTCTCAAAGTGTTTTGTTGGATCACGTGGTAAGCACAACAAATGCTAAGGATGATTTCTCTGTATTTCGCTGCGGAATTTCCTAACTGAATACTATCCTCCCTAGCTATCCAAGAAGTTCGTCTCCCTATCAAGAACTCCTAAGCAACCATAATATGTTCTTGCTATGCATCATACTCTCAGCATCATACCGTCCATTCGGCATCATATCCTGCTCCGTTCAGTACGGGGGAGTTTTCGGAAGAACCTGTAGCTTCGCTATTACCACTCTGAATTCCGCTGTCGGGGTTCGCGTTACGGTTTACACGCAAAGAAGCACGTGTATTGGGACCATCATCACTGCGGTGTAGTCTAGGAACTTCAGAAGGATAGGGGAAACTCGGAGGCAGCTCAGTCGTATCAGGATTCCTGTATCGAGCAGCGCCCAACCAGAGCCTCTCTATCAGCCAAGCATCATCAATCTCCCACCCTTGTTGACCATAAAGATGCGTGTTTTCCCTCGCATATTCTAATCTATACACCCCCATCATATCTAGCATCATCACTCTCGCGCTTGATACGGATGGGGGTTTTTCGAGTACAAGCCGATAGGTGTCTTCCGAATCTTTCATTGTTACTTCGAGGATCTTCCCGGCCCGGTCACCGATGGTTAACAGGTCTCGAAATATATCCTCTAGCTGCCGAATGAGATTCGCCTCTCTGCGTCCGTAGTCTTGCTGTGGAGGTTGCTGGGGTGGAAAGGTTTGTTGTGGATCGCCATTGATTTCGTGAATTCTTGGTCGAGGCTCAGAGGACATGGCATTTGCACGAGGTCGGGTAAATTCCTTGAAAGTATCAGTATGTGATATTGAAGCTGGAAGTATGATTTCCTCACAGTCCGAGATGACTTAACATCCACTTTCTCTGATGGATCAATCCACAGTGGGAGACCCATGATATATTGCTGTACTTCGAGGTTTTGCAGGAGCAAATGACGTGCGCTGTGGAAGGTGGGTACCTAGAATTGTGATGTAGAAGATGCGAGAATGAAGAGAAGCAAAACGAATGTATATTGTAGATAATGAAACGAGTGTTGGAAACGAACGTGATTGGAGATGACTGGTTTGGAATGTTGTATACATGGCGGAAAATGATGCTGGGAATTGGGGTTGGATTGGGTCCTTCGAACACTTGTCTAACGAGGAAGCCACGATGAATGAGTGGTAGCATTTTTGAATTGGAAGGAGGAGCCAACTTTCTCCTAGATAGAGACTTCCAATTCAAAGCTGGTTATGGAGAGTCATTCCAAAAATTGACAAGCTTGGGAAGTTGCACCCAATCCAGTCCTTCGATTACCCCCAGCATTGATGGAAGTCAATCTCAGGTTAGGAGTCTCTAGAGAGACTCTTATGTCCTTCATGTCGGCAAGGATTCGGGGTACGGCAGCCGAGGGGCACCGCCACGCTTTAGCCACACCGACAACCGTACCGAAAGCCGCGTCCGCATTTCAGCGCATGCGGCTCTTTACACCGACGTACCGGGACCTCTACCGCTCGCAAAGACATATGAATAAGACTCGCTCATAGGCAGAATTAGTTACTGGCTTATCCTAAAGAGATACAGATACAGACCCAGGCGTAGTGTTTCCGGAAAAGGTTTAAGTTAATCGAACTAATCTTCAGAAACCCAGCTCGGATATATAAAAGATTAATTTACTTACAATACAGTGTTTTAATTGGAAGTCATTGCTAAACAGCGGGTCTTAAAAGGCTGAGAGTGTTAGTAAAACTGTCCCACTCTTCATCTGAAAATACACCTTTTCCGGAAACACAGCGCCTGGGTCTGTATACTGTATAATTTAGACGTGGCTAAGGGTGGGATCCGTGCAATTCGCTGTCGTGATACCTACGAAGGAGTTCGGGCGTTCCTGCGGCTGACTCGCTACTGTACTGTACCTGCACAATCCTTTCCTAATATAGTATGAACCCACACGAAGGATTCTAGAGTTTCTTTGACGTCTTACGAGCGAGGCTCGCGAGGGGAGGCATGAGTTTAAATCCGACATGTAACTCTAGGGAACTAGATTGGATGGAATCAGTTTTACGTCGAGGAAGAAGCGTTTTTCACACTTTCTCGTCACAACTTCCCGAAACAGCGTCGCGTAAATTACACGAGGCATCTCCACTCGACCCGTAACACTAATAGACCTCCGGAAGTAACCCAGAAGCAGAACGTTGTAACCCGTATGACGCAATAGGGGAATATCATTTGTCGACAAACTAAGAAATCCTCCCGCTTAGTTCAACAGTAAATGCCACTACACACTACCCACGATACCACATAAATATGTACTGCCACATAGAAAGGTCTACGATGACCCAAAAGTACCTATCCAGGTAATAAATGACATGTGATGCTATTAATGGGTGATAACCTACCATTTATCATGATCCGATCCGATCCGCTATTTGTTTACCAGGTTATCACCATTTATCTTTTGGAAGAATTATAAGTAAATGGAATGAGTAGTAGGTACCACTAGGTGAGAGGCATCGTCAAAAAATCTCATGCCTTGATTATAGGAAGCGCTGTGGGGTGTAAAGTGTATTTGCTCAGTTGGTAAGATTGCATTTCCACGGTTCCACCGCTTTTTCTAAGCGAGTTGGGAAAGCCGCCGCAGTATGTCGCCCACTACATATCAAACCCCAAGCTGGATTGTCTCCATCAATAACTAAGCTGGTTGTCGCGACGCAAAATTCCATCATTTCTCATGAATCGCTAGAAGCTTCGTCGTTTCGAGGTCATATTTAGACTTTTGAAAAGGTTGTCGGCCTACTAGTAAAAACTGGTGCCTTCGGTTGTCGGCGACGGAAATTTCCCCAATGAGCTGAACTCAGCAGGTTGCATTTCTCTTGGAGTCTCGTGGTCGAGAGTCACAAACTGATGTATTCATGCTCTTTGAGAGGACTCATCATATATCATTTTCCCCTCTTTTTTCCACTTCCATTTCCACTTCCACCTCGTCCCTTAGCTTCCCCCTTCACCAACTTTCCCTTTCTCTTCGTAGACCCCATGCGCAACTCATTTTCGACCACATACATGAGTGATGTAAACCCCAACCTCGCTTTGCGGTTGAAAGCAACACAGAAAGCCTAGATATCTGTTTCGCCTCTAGTCAAGGGAAGGCGCACAGTTAATAGTTATATTTCACCCAAGGCACAATGATTGTAATCTTTACAGGGGGTTTTAACCTGTTCTTCACTAAAGTTATCCTTGGGAAGTTACAATTATTACGCCAGGAACGAAGTATGATGAGGGTGGCCAGCTACGAGTCACACCATACTAGTTCAACAAGATCGACGTTCTACTATAAGTAAACTACTACGCGATATGTCTTAGCTAGAAGAGTGGTTTTTGAGCTAGTAGAACGGGTAGATAAACTGCTTATTAAGTAAGATTTGTCTAAGAAATGGTATAAAAGTTATTAAAAATGCCTCTCGTATAATGGAAAATGATATGATTTACGTACATGGTGTGACTCTTAGCTGGACTCTTTAGGTCTGCCATGACTCTTAAATAGCCTCAAAACAAGAATCTGATCCAAGCTTCGTATTCACTGTTAGGAAATTAGGGTTCACAAAAGCATGGTCCGTCAGACAAAATTGAAACCAGTTCGATTACTATTGGTGCCATAGACCGGAAAATATGAACAAAAGAATAAGAATAAATACAATAAATAAACTGTAAGCTGGACTTAAATGAAAATTGTTCACAATCTATTATTTACAGGATGTATCTAAATTGCGGATTCTAAGAGCAATTTGTCAGTTTTACGATTAAATGGGAAATTAGGTTCGAGGATGCGACTAACCTTTTGGTCTGTCAAATCATCGTTGAATGCATCATCAAAACCCTCCATCACACCGCCCTTGTCACGTTTTCGATTCTCCCAGACGCATGAGAAGCGGTAGAGCAGGCCGAGGAAAGCGGCAACAATGGATGTAATTACAACAACAATGAAACCAAGATCGTAGCCAGGGGCATCTTTAGTTCTGAAAACCTGTGGACCTACGATGTTTCCTGCGGGCATGGAAGTTAGGTGAAGCTCTGGAAATCCACGAAAGAACAGACAAGAAATGAATACAAAAGATGTACTTACCGATACAATACCCGATGAAAATTCCTGATGAGGCGAGAGAGCGTTTCGTGTATCCAGCAGCGTTTGCGAGAGAAAGGCCCAACAGAACACCATACCCTCCACCGAGACCGGGTAGAATATATAGAGCAAAAAGCAAAGCACCAACTTCTGAGGTAGGCAACAGCCATAAGAGCAGCGATGCAAGAACGGTGACCATCTGAGCGCCAAAGTAGATGTATGATCGGGAATTCTTGAACTTCATGGCACCCCAAGAGCACAGCACTATGAAGAATCCAGCAAAAGCCCCTACGGGCATCGTCAGAAGCAGCGCGTGGAGACCTGAAAAGCCCATATGCTGAGACACGATGATGGTGCTGAATGTGGACAGAGGAGCATTGGCAATCATGGAGAGTGTAGCCATCCAGAACGCCAGCCAAAACTTGACGTCCAACAGGAGCTCTTTCACCTGGTCAACCTTGAAGTGCTCATTTCTGACGCCAGAGTTGTTGGTACGTAGCCGAGCGATGAGTATGTATCTTTCACGCTGATCAAATCCCTTGGCGCGGATTGGGTCAGGTGGGAGAATCACCAGAATTACTAAACCCCATGCGATTGTGAACGCTCCAGCAAAGTGGTACATGTAATGCCAGCTCGAAACGCTTCCCTTGATGAGGCCAAAAGCATAATTGATAAGCGGTGAGAATATTCCAGCAAATCCGGTACATGAGTACCAGATCCCCATTCGCAAAGCTTGCTCACTCTTGGTGTAGAAACTGCCAACAATGAGCATGAACATTGGGCTAATGCCAGCTTCCAGAAATCCCAAGAAAAAACGTTCTATAAGGAGCCCTTGCCATGTAGTGCAAACAACCGTTAGGATCAGGCATAGACCCCATACAGTCACCAGACCCGAGGCAACTCTTTCGATAGGATATCTCTGGGCTAGGACCATGGCAGGATACGCGCCAACGAGAAAGCCAAAGTAGAAGATAGAAGAAGCCCAGGAAAAGCGGGTGCCTACGTTTAGGTGCAAATCTGTTATAAGCCCAAAAAGCGCCTGCACCGTAAGTTAGCGACTTCGGACAACAAATACTAGCGAAACTTCCTGCTTCTGATATGTCTTGAAACTTACCGCTTGTCCCAACATGGCTTTGTCATAGTACTGGAGGCCATATGTAAGGCATAGAATGGGCATCAGCCTATAGTCGATTTTCCGGCGCAACTTGTTCTCCTCTTCTTGTGTCCATTCTTTATCGCCATCGTAAGAGTTCAAGATTTCTAATCCCTTGTCGACATGAACCTGACTACTGCTATCGCTCTTAGCAACTTGTGCATTGGTGAGCTTTGCAGTTGTCTCAGATTTCGCTTCGGGGTCCGCCATACTGAGACTAGTAGGAGCTGCCTTATCGAAAAGGATTTGCTTGAGCGAAAGATGAAGGGAAGTTGGGAAAAATCCCTCTATGTTGGAGTGGTGATAACGCACGTATCAAGGTTCTTCAAAAAATATGTATTCGTACCGTATGGCAAACAAGATGGGAAATATGTGAAGAAGAAGTAGATGTAATCTCTCCCCCCTTATTTAAATGCTATTTCTGACAGCCTCATGCACTAAAATTTGTAGGGCGAAATTACCGTGCACCCACAAAACAATAAAGTTCACGGTTAACCTCTAATCAGCGGGAGGGAGAGTAATGATCGAGCTGGGATCACTATTGGGTGCAACGATCGACTTAAATACCTTGATTTTAGGGATTCGCAGGATTTCACTACTGTTTCCCCTGCTAACTCAGTTCCGCTCCTGGTACAGCCCCTACACAAGCACAAATACTAGTATAATTTATAGAATGTAAGAAAAATGTGTCTTAGGAGCACTTCGGGCTCTGGATACCAATGCTGCTTTTCTCCTAAGCTGTGGGACGCCTGACTCGCGGACATGACAAGGCAGGAGCAAGGCGGGAAAATGAAGCTACAAGTATTCGCAACTCTAAAAGTACTTAGGAGCACCACGTAGCTTTACGAGTAGCTAGATAAACTAGGTTGCTGCCTCCTTTCATCGCCTACATACGTAGGTGTAACGGAAAATGCGATTAAAGACTATCAACTTGCCACATCACCTTATAGCTAACAGGAATCAAGCTACCTCTTTCTATACCTCAAAGGTTGTTTGGAAAGTAACGAGCTAGCCGAGGCAGGGATAAAGTATGTCGTAAAACCGGGTGCAACCGTTCGTGGGACAGGTCTAGACTAGTCCAAGCGTGAACAACAAAAATTAGAGCGCGCTTTCCGTCGATGTTGAGCCTCAACTACGTATCCTGTGGGGAAAAAGTGCTTAGAAGGTCCATAGTAGAGACCCTCAGGACCGTGGGGCAAAAGTGGCTGAGTGGCTCTAACTTCGAAGTATGGTCCACCAGCCAAAACCATGCCTTCCGCACGTCTTTTGGTTATCTCAGCTCCCAGTCAATAATCAAGGAGTCAAAGTGTACTGTAGGAGAAAACACCAGTTAGTTCTGGAGTACACAAAAAGTAATCCTTATAGAGTAGTAGTCAGGTGTTTTGGAATTATATAAAAACTTTTCGACTAATTAGAAGATCTAGTATTTTTCGGTTACTTTCAAATTCTCAGTAATTACTATAGGTATTAGGTATTTAGCATCACTAAGCTGATTATCAAAGATTAATTCTATAAAATAATATTAGGATAACTATTTACTATTCTTAGATCAATCTCAGTGTAAGGGACAAGGAATAAATCTACATCGAGACGAGAGGATTATAATAGATTGTTCTTAGATAGTGTTTGTAAATAATTAACTAACTTATAATAACTAGCTTAATATAGTTAATACCTAAAATGGGTTTTATTCCGTATTGTTATAAGATTAGGTTAATATTCATATTATAAAGTAAAATTTTATTAGAATACTAAGAGAGTAATAGGCTATACTAATAAATTACTATACTGGCTATATTAAAAAGTTTAGTTACAAAAGTAGGCGAAGGTAGAAGATAGATTAGTTTACTACTAAGGAACTACTACTTGAATGGATATATTATAATTCGATTTATACAGAAGTGACAAGGTAGGGGGAGACCCGAGCTGTCCAGACCCTTTATCCTGTTGTAAAAAGCGGCGTTTTGGCCAAGAGGCTATTCAAGCCGCGGAGTGGTCGACGGGCGGCCATTAAAATCGTAAAATCTCGGCTACTTCCGTTCAGTTTGTTACAATTCTCCGCAAATATTTCATTTGTATTGAGTTCGTGGGGGTTGTTGTACTAGGGAGGGATCTTCCTGGCATATTCCAAATCACTGCCAAGTTGACCGGTACGGAGTATCTTGCGGATTTATATCGCCTTGACTTTGAGGAATTGGCAATTTGAATACAAGCAAAATGACAAATTTCCAGGCAACAGCATGTTCTTTATCTTTTACAAGCAAATGATCTAGATAATTTCCTCTTACGGCTCTCAAAAGGCTGGGCTCGTTTTTGGACAAGAGAGAATTCACCTCAGAGCTTTCCTTCGGATGTATCTCAGCAGATATAGGAGCAACGAACCCACACGAGCGGCAAGGCGATGGAATCCACCCCAAAAGAGCGCCCCATAATTTGTAGACCCTTTGTGCTTCAAATGGCTTTGAAGAACTTAAGAAGAGGGTTTTGGAGGAGCACGCAACCGATTTTCGGGGATCAGGAAGCTCGGCCCTATTCGCCAAGGGTCCGCTGTTGTTCTTAAGGGAGATCCCTGACCCACTTCGTCCTCTGGTTGCCAAAAGTAGTGGCACGTTCGTTTGTCAGTCCAATGATCTGGTTCTCGGTCTCTAGTATTCAAGTAAATATATTCGGAGCTGTTCCTTTGAGATTAATGTTATACTGTATACTACTCAAAACCATAGCCACTCTGATTGTAGTTTTTGGGCGCGTAAGACTACAAAGATCAACCCCTTGCAGAAAAAGAGTTTCACAATCTTGGCGGGAATCCAGTCCCATTTTCACAGGTGAAGATAAAGAGGATACGGTCGACATTTTGAGCTATATCAGGTAGTCATATGCCGTGAAAGTTCATATCGGCTACATGTGAGTCTCTGGTTCGTTTGTTTTGCAGAAAAATGGAGTCAAGCCGAATGTAGGCCAGGTGCAGATTTAAGTAATTTTCCGACCACACTGGAACAGGAAGGGTCATAGAAAGCTACGTAAGAGTTCCGTCATAGCGTGTATTAGACTTCATTGAGTCTGTACCTATTCCATCGCACATGTCAGAAGTAAAGCTACAAAAGAATATAGTACCTACTACTTGAGAGGTAAGCAGAGAAGAATGGGAATTAAGTCACTAATTCATGATATCCAGAAAAGGGTTTCAAGATTCTGTTGATAATCTTTCAACGTCTAATGCAGATGAACTGCAGATACCCATGTACAAAGTGGCTCCGGAGGTAAAGGGTCTGGACAGCTCGCGTCTCCCCCTCTCCTGTATACGACTTGTTATAGGCAGGGTGGGTATAACCCTACAATATAACCCTCTAAGCCAATTGGATTGTGTGGTTCATGTGGAGGTATATTAGAAAGTTACAAGCGGGGTGAGACCCGAGCTGTCCAGAGCATTTATAGGTCCTGAGACTTTAAGTGAGGTAATGGCTCTTGGTAGACTTTAACCAATATAATACTCGAGAATTATTCACCCTCCGTTACACAATTCTTTTCAGGGCGTCCGCAAAAGATGTCTACCATTCTCACGGACCTCATTCGCAACGGTCAAACAACCCGGTCATCGCCATGTGTCTTGATAGCCAGTCCCAGATCGATTACGGAGGAGATATTCCTCAGCGATCTTGAAAATGCCTCCAACAGGGCTGCCGAATTCCTCGAAAAGGAACTACCGACGGACCACAAGGCCTTCTTCTACATGGGACCAAGTGATATGCGATACTTCATATGGGTTTTGGCAGCGATGAAGACTGAAAAATGCGTGAGACAACTTCCACACAAGCAAATATATCGAGGTTGACTGCGCGATTAGGTTATGTTTCCATCACCAGGGAACACTATACCCGCAAATCAGCGACTGTTCGAGACGGTAGGAGCCAAAACACTACTTTACCCACCCGAGGGCGAGCAAATGCTAGCTCCGCTTTTGGAAACAATTCGGGGGGAGGTCAAGTCCATCGTCACACTCTCTTACTCAGAGCTAATGAGCAAGGAACCTGCATCCATACATGCTTTGAATAAATCTTTTGAACAAGTCAAAGATGTCCCTGTCTTAGGACTCCATACATCCGGGACAAGTGGTCATCCAAAGCCAATTTACTGGACGCATGGGTCGATCGCAGCCCTGGCTTCGCATTCAGAGTCATATGGCGTCTACTCTGAAGAATTTAAGTCCGAAGGCAATACCAGCCTGTTACAGGATGTTTTTGCGCCTGGAGAGGTCGTCATGATGCCTTTCCCTCTGTACCACGTACGTATTCTTCCGAACCAAATCAAAATGTTGATACTCTCAAATCTTCGCGCAATGGTCTAGAAGATTTTGGAAGGATTTGATGAGATTTAGACGGAGCAAGAACAGCGTTTCTTATTTCTCTTATGTCTCCTCGATCTATGACTTCGACTAGCGAGAATATATGTGTGGTGCTCGCGAAGATTGATAGATATAATACCGCTTTCTTTCACAAGTTTTGCGCCATATAATGCTCACGATTATTAGATGGGTGGCATTAGTCCAGTGTTCTTCAGCATTTTGTATGGCAATACCCACGTAATGCCCGCTACCGGTACAAAAATGACATCCGAAAACATCGCCGGGATGTTGAGAGCCTCAAAATCAACTACAGCGTGGCTAGCACCATCTCTGTTGGAGGACATGATGGACGACTCCTCGAGTCTGGAAACTTTGGCAACAATGAAGCATGTAGTATTCGGTGGAGGTCCTAGTATGTCACCCATTGTAAAATCCTTCGTCTCACTGTTCTATTCCATGGTGAAGCTGATAACATATTTGAACTCGGTCTAACTTCTCTGATACAGTGAATCCAACCAAGGGAAATAAGTTATCTAAAGTCATCCCCCATCTTTGTGGATTTATAGGTTCCACAGAAGGTGGTGCATGCCATCTCGTCTCACCTCCCGATAGCTCACATTGGAATGAATTCAATTTCATAGATGTCGGGCAAAAAATGGAGGAGGTTGAAGACGGGCTGTTTGAGTTGGTCTACCCGAATACCGAATTAACGAGGCGTTGCCAGCTCCATTTTCACTCATACCCAGAGCTAAGCGAGTACCGTACAAAGGATTTGTTCATATCAGTTCCAGGAAAGAAGGGATGGTGGACATACCGTGGTCGAACAGATAATTGGGTCATCATGTCTAATGCTCTGAAGATGGATCCAACTGATATTGAGAATACCGTTGGAAGCCATCCCGCTGTAAAAGGTGTGCTAGTGGCAGGTGACAGAAGGTACAGGCTCTGTCTCCTGGTTGAACTAAGAGAAAGTTTCATACCCGCCAATGAAACAGAACGAGAGGAAATTCTAAACCAACTGTGGCCCTCGATCGAAGAAGCCAACCAAAGCTCGACCAAGTATGGGCGTATACCACGGGAGCTTGTGTATTTTGCTACACGTGAAAAGACATTCCTGAGAGCTAGTAAGGGGACGATACAGCGTCGCCTTACGATTGAAGCTCATGCCCAAGAAATTGACGATCTATATGCCAAGGCTGAACAAGGCCTATTGACAAAGGAACTACCACGTCTCGAGACACTGGATCAAGGGTCCATCCAGAACCTTCTTCAGCACCTTTACTCCGAAGTCTTGGAATTGGACGGAGGACTTGGCGTGAATGATGATATTCTTGCTTCGGGAATAGACTCTTTTGGAACAATGACTATTTCTTCGCGTTTAAAAGCGGCTCTTCGGAAACACGGAGTCTCAGAGACCAAGTTGGACCTTGTAAGCGTCAAGAATCTCTATTCTGCAGTCACAATCCAGGTACTAGCAAAGACACTAGTCAATGCTTTATCTGCCTCCGATGAAGACATTACTCCTGGACAGGTCCTCGAATCCAACACAACCAGAAACGACATTTTGGCGCTTATTGAAAAATACAGAGCGAAGGCACAAAGCCTTGTCAAGAATACTGTAGTCACTGAGCAAAATACATCACAGAGCATAGGAGACACCGTACTTCTTACTGGTTCAACTGGGTCGCTGGGAACATACATTCTTGATGTCTTGCTTGCTCGGCCAGATACCAAGAAGGTTATCTGTCTGAATCGCGGAAACAACGGAATGGAAAGACAGATGAAGTCTCTTGAATCCAGAAAACTTCAACCTTTATTACAGATTGAAAATAACAAGAATCGAGTCATATTTCTGGAGGCTGATCTCAAAAATGAGCGACTCGGACTTAGCGTTGAAGACTATGCCACTGTCACCCGCGAAACTACTGTCATTGTTCACAACGCATATCCTGTCAACTTCCTTATGAGTGTTTGGCAATTCGAACCTCAAATGCGCGGACTGCTCAATCTCATGCAACTCTCACTGGACGGAAATGCATCTCTGATGTTTGTGTCAAGTATATCTACCGGAATGTCAGCGACCGGGAAGCGCCAACACATTCCCGAAATTCTGCTCGATACTGCAACTCAGGTGGGTGACTTGCTCCCGCAGGGTTACGCACAATCCAAATATGTCTGTGAACAAATGCTTGAGGCATTTTCAGACAGTCTTGCTACTCGCCCGGTTTCTGTACTACGAGTTGGACAGATTTGCGGACCGCGATTAGGAGATGGGCCTTGGAACAAATGGGAGTGGTTTCCATCCTTGGTTATGAGCTCCCGCTTTCTGGGTGTTGCTCCAGACGACATTGGCCAAGAGATCAACTGGATTCCAGTCGATGAATTGGCAAGCATCATGTCTGATTTGATAGACTATACTCACACCAAAAGCGGAGAGGAGAGCAAAGAAAACTCCAAAACTTTGCAGGTTTTCAACGTTGTCAATCCAAAGATGTCTACATGGAAATCCCTACTTCCAGCCGTTCAAACTGCAGTACCGGCAACTGTCACAGTTTCTAAATGGATTGCTGTCTTGGAGGCTAGTGTAGAAAAGAGTGCCCATTTTCTTGACCAGAATCCAGGCGCAAAGTTGGTTGCCTTTTACCAAGGGGGGCTTGTGGGATCTGGAAGACCTGAACCTGTTTACGAAGTTGAGAAACTTATTCAGGCAAGCTCCACAGCTGCAAAGCTGGAGCCGGTTACTCAATCGGACGTAAAAAAATGGATGGGTGCATGGTTCTGATCTGGTTTTGCTCCCCGATTGTTTTCAACTTAGCTTGCTACACTTGGGAATGTCAATACTTGAAAGGAATAGTCAGTATGATAGAAAGATTATAGTATGAGACAAATACTACATTACAACCAGACCCATGTTCTCCCAACATTGAAGGTCAAGAGCTGTACTCTGTTAAGTTTAGGATACCCTGGAAGCCTGCTTGGAATTGGGAGGATTCATTCTATCACGTGATATCGAAAGTAGAGCAGTATTACCATATGGGCTGTTAGTTCCTTTTCTTCCATGAAATCAATTGCTTATTAGTCTACTTATCCATATGTTAATTACTTAAGTAGATCATTATGCAAAAGTTATATCGTCGGGCCTTCGCGGCTAAACGTGACTTGCGACACCCCCATCTTCACCTTGGCACTGTTCACCTCACAATATCAATTTAGCTTAAGAAAAGCTACAAATCCAACCAGGCAGTGGATATAAAATTATTCCAAATTCATGCTCTCAGAAAATCCTGAATCAGCTAGAGAATGGCTCAACCCACCGTAGCACTGGGTCAAATGACCCCTGTATGCATTCACGTCTATCATGCCACTTCATAGGCTGCTCTGTTATCTGGCGGAATCCCTGCAGTATACCACTGGAATATATGCCTTCTGAGGCCTGATCACAATACGATCACATACCTACATAAATAAGAAGAGTGATAACACCAGACACTCATCGACAGATGAAGGATAAATCTACGTGCATCCACGTGCTATACAATCGCAGAATCCACGTCTTGGCCAATTTCGTCCAAAAAGTGTTGCAAATGAAAACTGGAGGTTAGGAAATCTTCGATCATCTCATTGTAGGCTTCGTTGGGACTCTTCGGGCATGTAGTTACGCCTTCATCATTTACTGTTGCGATATATTCACGTGTTTATTCACGTGATATTTCGGGCTATATATACGCCCGGATTCTACGTAGCAAACATATAATCAATCAATCAATCAACTATTATACCAACTTTTATATGCTTTTGTTACTACTGTTTTGACCCTTATTTACGAGTATCTCTCGTACTAACATTTACTTTTTAATTATTGCTAGGTTTCGACAATCTCATTAACTGGGTATTGGGTACAACCATGACATCGAGTACAATCATGATACCTATGTGACTATATCACAGTGAAATTGTATTGTATTTCGAACCGTTTATTCTAGTTGAAAGCACACCCGTTCTAAATATGCGACCAATCAAACAAAAACCATTATATAAGTTTTCAATTCTAGTTATCGTCTTCGTAACTCCGCCTCATTATGCTGCCAAATATCCCAAGAACAATGATGGAAAATATAGACCCCGGAAATCAAAAGTTCATCATCTGAACTCCAACCTCGTTAATGACCCGAGTACCAAATGCCCAAGGAAATCACAAAATATACATGAAAAGACCCAAGCAAAGACCAACATATCCACTACTCCTCTTATTCCTCTCCTCGTATAGACTTTAGATACAGGCGACCAAGTGACACATAAGGTGCTCGAAGCGTAAGCCGATTCGCGGTGGCGGGAATTAAGGATGTACAGGTCATGGAAGTTTGGTTTTGTAAAGGTCGGTGTTTTCCAGAAAATGGTCAAGATGTTGAGGTACCAGTTTAAATGCCCATAGCAACCTAGTGGTTTTGATTGACCTTGTTCTTTGACGCTTTCTTTTGCTTTGGCGGCTTGGGCTCCTTTGGCGGCTTTTGCTTTCTTACACCACCAAGGGCATGTGGTAGGGTGAGGTGAGTTTTAGTGCCAACAGTTGATTTGCCGAGTGCGCCAAGTATGTTTCCTGCGATGAATGGTACAGCGTTTCCTCTCTTGGATATGGCTTCAGGATTGAAATTGGCGGAATTTTCTGTGGATTGAATTGAAGGTGTTCCTTTGTTTAGTGGAAGAGGGGTTCCAGAAACAAGAGGTAGAAGAGCAACCACAGTGGCGAAGATGTTAAGAGCCAGCATAGTGAAATTGGATTTTATTGATGGGAAGAATGAATATAAATTGGTTGAGAGGTTGATATGCCAGAAGACAGCGTATAAGAGTAAGACTGTTGATATTAAGGTAAGAATTGCGTCAATTATGAACGAATGTGGAATAAGAAGCTGTTGCTGCTGGTGTTATGTAGTTAGACAGTGGGACAGAACTTCTTTCTTATAGGAAACAAATCGTGAAGTTTTATTTTCTATTACCATATTACTGTCACAAATCTCATGTCTAAAAAAAGCCTTAGATCAATTTACCGTAGCTAGTCAGTCAATTTAATGCACACACAATGAATGAGGCAGCTTTGAAATTTGAACGTAGGCAAAGTTTACTTTGAGAGCTGTTTCTGATTGGCCACAGGAACGAGTGGCCTTCGCCTATATCCGTGGAACTCATGCCACATACTTCGAAGTAAAGTGGGACTATACACTAGACACAGTAAAATTGAAGCTTGTTTCTTGACTTTCCCCAACCCCTCACAACTTTAACACTGATAGCCACTACCCTTGTAAACCTACTGTACCCTTGCACATCGTTTCACCACCATTGGCAAGCATGGGTTATACAGTTAACAGCAGACTTTGCACATCTCAACACCAACTTTGAGACTTTTCATTCTCTTAAATGTTTTGATCATATCAAATGGAATTGGTAAATTTGCGCAGGGAATATTGTTGAAATTGGGATGGTTTGACATAATCCAAGTAAATCTTGCATTTCTCGATTACGGAGGGCTTTAACATCGCGACATGTCAAATCATCTCTACCACAATTTAGGGCTATCTTATCATGGAGATTCAATACTTGTATATGGAGATTTCCGTGCTACCTCCTTCTCCATACTCTTCTCTGGAAACCCAAAATATACATCAATATTCCTCTTCAAGCCGCGGAGCGATCGACCCAAGGTTCGCTATCAAAATTATTGAATCGCTAAAGCCAAGGTTCAGCAACACCAAGAGCCTACGGTGAGTGAGTGAAAGAACACAGCTCGTTGATTTGTCGATATTCCGCGTCAGGAATCTTTTTTTAGGCAGATTATTGATTATAAGCTTCCTTGGGAATACGTCGAAGACTTGAGCAACGAGGTCGCCAAGAGTAGAGATCTGCCGGCGGAACCGCCGTGAAACTTGGCTTGCCACTTCCCCCTTTCAGTAGTCGTGAGTATTGGCAACACCTTGTGAGCTAGGTTGGCCAAGCATGCGGTTAAATTCATGATAATCGCGTATTTGATATCATGTCCACCCACGACACAGAGGAACAGGTAATTTCAGTCTCACCAAAGTAAAGATGGAGTAAGTAGCTCTGGAAGCTCCTATAAAAAGGTTTTGATTGGTAGGATACTCTAGAATCTATCATTGGCTAGGTTGGAGGAAGCTTTCACACCCCAAGTCACTCCTCATTTGACGATTGCCTACGAAAAAAACAACAAAACGATGTTCTATCCTCCTCTGTTCATTCAATATGGCCTTTCGGACTGCCCTATATCGAAACTCTCTTTGCATTACTTGCCTGTCCTACCTCGACTGGTTCCCCGAGAGCCAGTTGAAGGGCGGGAAGTAATTCCTCTTCCGCCTCTTTCCGTTCCTCTTCCTCTTGTACTGCACCCGGTAAGAGGTTTTGACTGCGGCACTTCCTCACTACCTCCCGTAGCCGCGAACTCTGTCACAACATTCTTCGCCGGCTTTTTCTGCGTGACCTTGCTGACCAAACCACCAATTTCCATCGTGTGAACAGATTGCTCCAGCTCCGCAATGTTAGCGGTTTGAATAAAAAGCACTTTTCCTTTATTTGACCGGTCATCAAGTAGTCTGGTGAGCTGTCTGTTTTTGAATGGAATGTATTTTTCTTTTTTTCCCATGGACGTGAGAACAGTTTTAATTGCCGAGAGATCGCTGTTGATCGCTTGTGTTTCCTCAGTGCGATCTTCGACCTCTTTCATGGATTCTGAACCGGCTAGATCAATAAATGTAATTGAAGAGCGGGTGGTTGTAACGGCGCCAGATGCTTCTTCCTTTGAGGCGGTGATTTGAAAAGACAATAACATATGAGAACGTGAAGACGAATAGTTCTTCTCTGTTTGACCGGATCTACGATTCTTTTCAACCTTTTCAACCATTTCTTGGAACGCTTGAAAATTGCTGAGTGAATCTGTTTGTGCTGACAGATATCGGTCGGAAGTCGGCCACATACTGGTACATAACCCTGAGGCTTTTAGTGGCTGGGCTGTTACAAAGAGATCATATACTTTGTCGTTGTATATTTCAATACAACGGCCGTTGACGCTAAAGTCGGTCCCGTATGATTTCTCCAACTCTCTAAATATCTGTTCCAATGCCATATTGAGCATCGCACTCATGGTATATGTTTTCCCAGAGCCGGTCTGTCCATATGCGAGAACTGTGATGTCGTAGCCTTGAAGTGTAGACTCTAAAATCTCGCTCAGGTCGTGAAACACGGTGGTGTTGTCAGCTTCTGGGGCAAAAACACGATCAAAGTCGTACGATTTTTTGTTTCTGTTTCGGTCAATAACTTCAACTTGCTGATCTCCTCGGATTGTGATAGCTTGTCTGGGAAGGTCGTTCTGGGGAGGTCGAAGCCGTAGCCAGGAGCGAAAGTTACCTTTGCTTTCAATAAGCTCCAGTTTGAGTCTTTTAATTTGGTCCATCATATCCTTTTTCTCAGACGCCAAAATTGCCTCCAATGAAGTATTATCGATGGCTAGATTGTCACGCTCTTCTTGTAATTTTGCTACCTCTTCCTCATGTTCACTGGCTATTTTTTCCGCTTGAGGCTTTTCTCTTTCAGTTGTTCTTGCGCTTCACCCAGCTTCCCCTCGAGCACTTCCGATTTCGGCCTAAGATTCGAGATCTCTTCTCTCCTAGCAGCGTCATGAGAGGAAGATGATGCGACTTTGGTGGCCTTTGATTCTTCCAATTGGCGATAGGCCTTTTTCAGCTTTTTCTCAAGTTCTAAAACTTTCAATCTCAAATTGGCGATCTCTTTTCTCCATATTTCATTTCGAGACGGCGATGCTACTGCTTTAGAAGCCTCTGATTCTTGTAATCGCTGATTATTACTTTCCAGCTCGTTTTGAAGCTTCGCTATAGACTCCTGTGCCATACTACTATTCTCGTCTACCTTCTTTTGCAAGGCCTCTTTCTCCGCGATTTGCTGATCCAGTGTATTATTCAACGCTCTAAGGTTGTCGTCTTGAGTGCGAAATTTGTTCCACAGCTCTTCGATTGCGCCCTTATAATTCTCTGGTTTAGGTGATCGGGATTTTTTGAGTATGTCAAACATTGGGGAAAGTATTGACGACGATCTCTAGACCTGTGCAGACGTCTTCTCGATATTCATCAAGTCGTTCTCATTGTTCTGCTGTTCTGACCGAGCTGCTATTATTATTGCATTCAAGTCTTCTTGACTCACTTTCTCCATGTGTTCATCCGGATCTTTTGGAGATACATTGCGAGTTCCTACCGTAGCCGGTGACGTTCCTTCTTTTTCCTTTGTCATATTCTCTTCTTGATTGCTAGAGACAGGAGGGCTAGTAGATGAGCGGTAGCGCAATTTGTCATACCTGCTTTGGAGGGGTAGCTGAAATTTCTTCTTGTCAGGCATGTTGAAAAGCAATGTGAGCTTTTAACATTGATGCTGGCTACTAGGTGAATTTACATGGTCTTAATTCTTTGTCTTTGCGGCTGTGAGAAATTCTGCCATATGCGGCAAAATAATTGTCTCTTTGTGTTCATATAATCCACAAAGAGGCCATGGAGTTCACCTCTCCAAGAGTCGCTCTTTGTTCTCTATCAATTGGGACAGAAGAAATGAAAAAAGTACCAGAGGTCTTGACGGTACTATGATTACGACAGAATGATACGAGGCGATTTATCTCTTTAAAAACTAACTGCAACTAATTCTTCTTCAAGTTCTACGGCTTTACCCGTATTTGAGATGAGTAGAGTGGAGTATAGTAGTGATAGTTGTATCTGCTCTAGTCGAACCAAGTAGATTTTAGCCCTAGTCTACTTTATTTGCCAAAAATCCAAGTATAGTAGAGTGCTACTTAATGTCTTGACAGCCGTAGACTCAAAGTCGTTATTACTTTTATGATACAAATCTGACTTAACAACTGAGAGAACCGGACTGAGATAAAAGCTTGCGCTAGGGGAAGGTATTGCATTTGCCATATGAGTGCAATGTGAGTGCCCTGTCAATCAGGTAAAGTCACACAAGAGCAACGAACCTACTATAGAAAATTGAAGACATGCGTCCACGCCTTCCTCTATGTGTTTGTGCTTGTTGCTGGAATGAAGGGGCGAAAATACGCCCACCAGCACTTCAAATTGAAAAGAGGGTGTCAGTGAGGTGCATAACTTTACTTGCAGTAGGAGCCCCCATGCACGCACACCGCCATAATTTTCCACACACTTGGGTGTCTGATCACTTGATAAACAGAAGGCCTATTGAGAGGGAAGTGGTCGAAACTTGGTTATGGTCACAAGATATCTCATGTGGTGTTAGTCGAAGTTATGGTGCGATTGTGGTGTTGGGCGGAATAAGTTTTGGCAGAAGCGGGAATCTTTTGAGGCTTACCATGACAGCTTTGGTGCTAGTACAGTGATACCTTCTGTTACTCAACGGACTACAACAAGCTTATGCCTGGGACTTTGGACTTAAAGATACCAACGTGGTTTTTGTTTAGCCTTGCGGTAATGTCGCTAAGCGATACCGATTGGCCATAGGCCTTATTAGGCCAGTAAGAAGAGGCTGAAGAGCGGACCACAATTTAGTAGCAGCCTCTTCTCCTCGAAGCTTGGAATTTAGTCCCCTATGCTTCTAAATAGAAATGAACTCGATATTGAATTTTTAGTATAAGGTTAAAACTTAATATTTTAATATGCCAAGGCTTATACCCGCTTATTCTTAGATTTGCTAATACTTAGGTTCACGTAGGAGGTAGAGGATATATTATTTAGGTTAAACAGCCCCTAGGGCACTTATAAGGCTATTTATACCTTAACAAGTAGAGCCTAGGCTACTAAGCGCTCAACTAAGGCCTATCTTACTATTTAAAACTAGTAGCTAGCTTAGGGATAGTAGAGGATTAATAAGAAACTACTCTTTACAAGCTTATAATAATAATTAGTAGATTTATTATTATTATAGACAAGTAATTAAATAGATTAAATAATATATATAAGCTTACTTAGTTACCTTTAATATATAAAATATATCCTTTACTGATACTTAGGTTTATATAGGAGGTAAAGGATATATTATTTAGGTTAAACAGCCTCTAGGGTACTTATAAGGCTATTTATACCTTAACAAGTAAAGCCTAGTCTACTAGACGAAGGCTATACCTAAATAATATATATAATTTATATATAAAGATTAGATTATAGCTTATAGTAGTAGAACTTAAAATTATATTAAGAGTTTTATATTATAAGTTTAAATTTATAGAACTTAATTAAATTATAAAAAGAGTTTATATTAATAATTATATTTATTTTATTTACTTAAATTTATATTTAAAGATTAAATTAAGTTATTATATCTAGTTCCTTCTAATAAGAATTAATAGTATTATACCTATAAAGAACCTCCTACTTAATAAGAATTTATCTTTAATCGATATATTAATATACCCTAGATAAGTATTTAAAGTCTACCTTCTAAGACGTTATTGTCACGAATCACGTGTAAGCATGTGACGAGTGAAGACCGGGCGGCGTCCTGACAGGTCGAGCACTATCATATCTCTTATAGCAAATAGGGATGCTTAGACTAGCTAAGCGATCCATGGATTTCGTTTCATTTGAATCACGTGACTAGCTGTGCTAGACAGGGCGACCGCTCGCGCAGTCTTGCAGCGACGGGGCGACTGGGCTAGCAAGCTAGCACAGGAACATGGAGTTTCTATCTAATGGCACGTCTGCCATTGGATAGGAGCTTCGTGCTCAACTTGGTTTACACAGTTATCAATACCTTTTGACTTTGACGACTTTGTACAAGTGACGAGTTTGCTTCTAAGCAAACACACAGTGATATATTGTCATCTCTCTTCGCATACCAACCTTCGAACTCGATACCTTCAGTTAGATACCGGTTTCGTCACAGTTATATTTACTTATATAGTATTCTATTCCTATTTACTTATATTATAGCTCTTTAATAATAACTATAACTACTAAACTTTATCTAATTTGAATATCTTAGTACTTTTAGCCTCCTTCTTAATTTATCTACTATTATAGGTTTTATAAAAAGCGTATCTAAGCTACAACTTAATCTTTAGAATCGTAGTATATTATAGTTTTATTTATCAAGTATAAAAAATTATCTTAAGGCTTTTATTATATAAGTTAAGTCCTCCTCTACTACTACTATAATATCTATACTATTATTCGAATAGTCTATTTTACTTATCTTTAGTCTAATTAATATAAAGGAATCGTCTTCTATAAAAGCAACGTTAGATCTTATTACTTTCTTCTTTTAAACTTCTCTTTATCCTTATTGTGACGACACGTACGCAAAGCCCACAGTATAGGTTGTGGAATCGTAGAACTGTCAATCAAACAAAGATTCTAAGCTGAGGAGAAGAGGAGAGCTCGAGAGAGCTTCGATCTAAATACTTGGTGTGGGTCGCTATGCGAGACCACGTGATCCGAATGGTGGTGACGGTTAGAACCGTCACACTTATACTCCTCTACTATATACGTAAGCTCTCTTAAGCGAAAGAATCTTTTATATACTAGTTTTAAGAATACTATAAAATTAAGTTTATTTTATATTATATTTTTACTACTTCTTTTAGCCTCCTTATCCTACTATTCTACTATAATCTCCTTAAGGATATTATAGGTTATTAGTTCTACCTAGTATTTCTTATCTTTAATATTTATCCGCTTTACTTCTACTACTATATACTTTACTATCTTATTTTAAATACCTTTAGATCTAGTATTCTATTAATATAAACTAAGTAAATATATAAGATCTATTATTATAAACTATCGCCTTTTAATTTACTTTTAAACCTTCCTAATTGTGACGGTTCTAACAGCCACTACACCTCAGACCAGCCCCTGGCTGGAACCCAGCGGATACCGTGCTTCCTGAGCCCGGCTCAGTTAGCCATAGCTTGGCACAACCTCCTGTATATAAGAACCTCTGGCTCCCGAGCTCTGCTCTCTTCTCTTCTCTCCTTAGCTTAGAATCCTCGAATAGACAGTTCCACAGTGTCAATCTCACCACTCGTGATACCTGACGTAGTCGTGCTCTTGCGCGTGTAACGAATACTCAAACTGGCTAACTAAACTTTGCTGGGTGTTCGCTGGTTGGTATGCTATGATAAGAAGAAGACTATCGGGTTGTTCACTTGGAAGTGAACTCGTTACTTGTATCAAAGATGTCAAACTAATATGATAAGATTGATAACTAAGTTGAGCACGAAGCTCCTATCTAAATGGCAGACGTGCCAGTCTTATATAGAACCTTCGTTCTCTGTCTAATCGCTTTAGTCGCTCGCCTCAGTCGCTTCAGTCGACAGGCGACTCAGGCGACTGAAGCGATCATGGTCACGTGGTACTTTAATCCGACGAAATCCATGGATCGCTTAGCTAGCCTAAGGATTCCCTTCTGCTATAAGAGTTATGATAATGCTCGACCTGTCAGGGCGCCGCCTGGTCTTCACTATCTCCCGTGGTAACACGTGATTCGTGACAGCGCGGTCCATCAGCTGTGCGTGTCGTCACACTAATCCTTTTATTACTCTAAGTACTAAATAGTTTATAAGTAGAATTAGTTATACTAGGTATAGCTAAACTCTATTATTTTTATAGAAGAACTTATACGCTCTTTAGCCTAATTCGTATACCTTTTAAGTCTCTAGCGCTAATCTATACTATATATATTTTACTATAAATTTTAAAAGTAGTTATAGGATTATCTTACTCTATACTATAAGAGGTTCTATATAATCATACTTAGTAACTAAAGGTATATATTAGTAATTAAAACTCTATTAAATCTTAAAAGTATATTAGCTAATATATTTTCTATTCCTAGGAGCTAATATACTATAATCTTAATATTATATTTTACTATAATAAAAAGTATTTAATGTAAAGATATATTTACTAGGCTTTTTGATAATTATTTATTAAAACCTACGAATACTGTAGTATTATCTATATAAATATAGACTCTTTTAGTTAACTAGGATAGAGCCTACTACTTAAATACTTTTTTAATTACTTCTATCTTTATAACGTTTATATTGGATATATTATTACTAATTTTTTAATTTATTAACTTTATAAACGCTATATATTATTAGATCTCTAAAGTCTAATCTTTCTAATCTATTTATCTATTTAGATAAAAACCTTCTATTCTTTAAATTAAAGTATTTATAAATAATTAAACTTCTACTCTATCTTTTATAAAGAAAGTAATACCATTAAAGTCTTAAACTATATTATACTATTACTTAATACTCTAATAAGCCTTAACTAGTATTTACTTAGCCTAGTACTTTATTACTACTAGTAGAAATAAAGTAATATAGCTCTAAAGGTTCCTATAAAAATATCTAGCTAAGCTAAATTACTAAAGTATAAAATGTAAGAAACTCTACTAACTTTCTTATATTTTATAACAAAAGTAAGTTTCCTACTAGTATATTTGTAGTTGAATATAGTACCTTTACTACTTTATCTTATAGGATACTTAGCGTAAATTCTATTGTATTTATTATATATCTTAAGACCTTAACTTAAGTTCCTTTTACGTTCTTTTACTTCTTTTAAAGTATTCTAAGAACTATTATAAATCTATTATAATTATCTTTAAACTTAAGTATTTATTCTTATAATAATCCTAGTTAAAGAATTACTATAAAGTTATCTAAATAGTAGATTATATCCTCCTACTTTTATAAATATATTAAAAATAAAAGAAAAAGTTTAAAGTCTAAATATTAAATAGTTCTTTTAATAAAACTAGTTATTCTATTTAAATCTAAATATCTAATAGACCTTATATATAAGTAGGATATTCCTAAATACGTTTACTATATTACACTTTATTATTAGCGTACCTTAGCCTTTTTATAAAACTATTATAATGATTTAGTATATTAATAAGTATTTTAAGTATATTACTTCTATATTAATCCTATTATTAACTAAATCTATAGTAGGGAAGAACAGATTGTAAATTTGTCGAAAAGTACTATCTTATTTTAGTACTAATCTAAGTAGTAAGGATATAAATCTTTTAGGTAGTAGTAGTTAAACTTTTAAAATTCGTCTTAATTTAAGATCTTTTTAAATACCTACTTCTATAGACTCTTAATTAAGATTTAACGATTTATAATTCTTTAAAATTAACTATTTCTCCTCTCTTTTATACCTAACTAATATACTAAATTAAATAATTAATATAATATATAATCTTAAAGACCTTACATATTAAGCTAATAACTTTATCTACGTGTTAATTCTAAAGGGTAATATGTCACGAATCACGTGCTCACGTAATACTTGTCATAATAAGAGGCGCAACCCTCGACAGGCACATCCAGGTTTCTTATAGCAAATAGGGATCGTTTGGGGTAGCTAAGCGATCCAGGGATTTCTCTTGTATGTAGTCACGTGACTAAGACTGGACCGCCAGCTCGACAGGCGAGTTGACGGCCTAGGGAGAACGAAGGTTCTATATAAGACTGGCACGTCTGCCATTAGATAGGAGCTTCGTGCTCAACTTAGTTATCAATCTTATCATATTAGTTTGACATCTTTGATACAAGTAACGAGTTCACTTCCAAGTGAACAACCCGATAGTCTTCTTCTTATCATAGCATACCAACCAGCGAACACCCAGCAAAGTTTAGTTAGCCAGTTTGAGTATTCGTTACATAATAGTAAGTTAATTAATAGCTAAGCTAATCTATTATAATATTAAAATAAAAGTAAAGTATTAGGATATATAGGTGTAAGATAGTAAGAGTAACTTTATATAAATATTTAAAGTAATTCCCTTAATTATATATTAGATACCCCCTCTCCTATACTAAACCTTTATTTAGTTTTAGCCTTATCTTCTAGTTTTTCTCCTTTCTTATTATTTAAGGCTCTATTACTTATACTAGAGCTATTAACTTTATATTCCTTAATTATATATTTCCTCCTATATCTTATATAATTATAATAGCGTTTACATTAAGTAGTAGTATAAGTAAAATTATTGAAGTTATAATATAAAGCTAATATATTATTTAGCTCTTTCTTAAACCTAACTTTTTTAAATCTACCTCCTTGTCTACTTATACCTAATCTACTACTATTTTAGTTTAGTATCCTTAGGTATAGATAATGGTATTATATAATATATTATTCTAGAAGGAGCTACTTATTAGTATAATCCTTACTTATAATTCCTATCTTAATAACACTATTTTTATATTATATTTCTCTAATCGTAGACGATCCTCTAATAATAGTTAACCTTACAACACCTATTAAATTAGTAGTAATTAGTTGTTTTATCATTATCTTTGTAGTAGTAGTAGAAGTAAGCTACCCGAACTAGAGCCCGTTTATTATAGAGCTAACATATTATTAAATTATTAATTAAACGTTAAATAAGAGTATACTTTTAATTCTAACAAAAGGACTAGCCTTTTAATAAGAAACTGGTGACGGTTCTAACCGTCACCAAACTACTCTTTGCGAGCTTATAATAACAATTAGTAGATTTATTGTTGTTATAGATAAGTAATCGAATAGATTAAACGATATATGTAAGTGTCACGAATCACGTAAGCATGTGAGAAGTGAAGACCAGGCGGCGTCCTGACAGGTCGAGCACTATCATATCTCTTATAGCAAATAGGGATGCTTAGACTAGCTAAGCGATCCAGGGATTTCATTACATCGTAATCACGTGACCATTTGCATCGCCAGTATCGACAGGCGATGCTGGCGATATGTCGACAGCATCGACAGGCGATGTAGGCGACGGCGGAACACGAAGGTTCTATATAAGACTGGCACGTCTGCCATTAGATAGGAGCTTCGTGCTCAACTTAGTTATCAATCTTATCATATTAGTTTGACATCTTTGATACAAGTAACGAGTTCACTTCCAAGTGAACAACCCGATAGTCTTCTTCTTATCATAGCATACCAACCAGCGAACACCCAGCCAAGTTTAGTTAGCCAGTTTGAGTATTCGTTACAGTAAGCTTGCTTAGTCACCCTCGATACGCAAACCACATCCTATATAGTCATCTCCTAAAACCGCATTTACACCAGTAGCTACAATGGTTATAAAAAGGTGGATCAGTATAACGAATCGGACTAGTTCCCAGCCCTATTTTCGTTTATAATAGTAGATCCTTATATAAATTAGAGTGTAACTATACATTTAAACTCGTTCTTGTATTGCTCTAGTAAATTCGAGAATGCTTCCGGTAGTCAAATGGGTAGCTGGTCTCCCATTGAACCTTTTTAATTCACATAAAAATGCACTGTGGTTGCATATGTAGTTTTTGAAGGAAAATTAGGAGTCCACGACAGACCCATCCATTCTACATTAAGCAATCGTAGTGGTTCCGGATAGTCTATGTGGTCGGTTTTCCAACAGATAAACATGAATCCTCAGCCTTTGGTATTAATTTCTTCTCTTTTTTCCCGACAACATATCTCTGGTGAACGGTAACCCACGGTAACCATGCTTTCACGCACGGTAAGTCATTTTTCACGTATCTTAATTAAATAAATTGAGTTAAGTTGAGTAGTAGATTTGACTACCTGAGTAGTACTCGAGCAGTTTACTATGATAAGTAATCCCTAGCTTTTCAAGGTTGTTACTACCTAAAGGTTCTCCTTTGAGGGCCTGTTCCTGTTCCGTATAATACTTCTAGCCCCCTAGCTAAATAACCGCTCGCTTGAGGTACTTGTCGCCAGACATCTGACTCTTATACGTCTAGTTATTACGCAGCTTAGGAGTTCCGGCTAGATCCGAGCGCTCGGCCACACCTACTCTGTTACCTGTACTACATAAGAAGTACTCAACTCGATTACTTGGCGAGTTGAGTTGAGTGTGTGCTGCTACTTAACTCAACTCAACTCAACTCATTTCCAATGCTGAGTGTGTAATTCACCTGGAGGTGGCTTGGATACTTTGTTCATCTTGTCGCGAAAAATGGAGGCACAGGCAGTCATGTGACTCTGTGATTCCCCCTGTCCACGGGTGTTCAAGTAGAGTTTCAACTCGCCTAATCCACGCTCCTGAAAGCATTTTTTATAGCTGTCAACCCCCATTCTGTACATAATAAACCCGCAAACCAGTATAGAGATATTTGAACTCATCGAGTGGGATTCTGTGGAGATCTGGCTCTGAATAATATTCTGTTTTTGAGCAAAGAGATAGTATATTTAGTCAAATGTACTGTAATCAAAATTATCATCGGATTACGTGTGATGCACTGATGAAAAATTGACGATTAAGCTCGCTGAAATCGCGAATATATTTCTGGCCTTTTCCTTGGAATTCTTTTTGGAATTCGATTGCCCAACAGGCATACCGAGTTCTGCTCCGCTATCTCCTTCATCAGCGAGGGTGTCATCTTCCGGAACCGAGCACCATTTGCCCTGCAGATTCTCCCCTACGTGCTATTCGGAAACCTGGCCTTAGGACTGGCATTCCTTTTGGAAAAAACCAGTTGTATTGTAAGCACATGTAAGGTCTGATTTGGAAGAAGGTTATTAGGTCAAGCATATCACGTGGGGTAAATATAGATTACCAGCCTTTCAAGGATCGCATCGTATTACAAGATTCCAATTTCTACTCAAACCCAAACACCCCGTGGAGCCTACATGGTTCGACACTAACATTGAATAAGCTTAGTTTCCATTACCTGAAAACTCATCTTGGCATTCATTCTCTGCGGCAATCCATCAAGAGACTCCTTCCGGTTGAGTGATGCCTGACATCGAAAGGAATCCTGGCCCCCATTCTCCCAACATAGTCACAACAGGCTCCGCGTGAAATCGACGTCTTGATGGCTTCCAAAACCATTTCAGCTCTATTGTGACAAAAGAGAACTACGCAAAGCTAAAATAGCCCCTGTCACACCAATAACGTCTCCGAAGACATATTGACGACGAGCAGGTTTCCAACCAAAATCTACCGGCAGTTTCTCCAAAGTAAGCCAAGCCCGGGCCCTATCTTTTGGTACTGTCAATTCATCGAAATTTGTTCCATTTACTGGAAGTAGACCGCTAGTCATGGCAAGAATAAAAAGTCCTGCTTCGCCGGCGGACATTTGGATATGAGCTGTCGCGAGAGGTGCAGTCAAAGCCTCAACGCGTACTCGACTTTTAGCAAAGGAGTTTATATCGAGATAATCGGTGCTGCTATCGGCCAGCATGGCTTCGAGCCGTGAAGGGTTATTGTGGATGGTGTCACCGGGAAAGTCATCTCGAGTGAGGGAGGCGCGGTGCTCGAGCACCTCGTGGGCGTTGAGCTCTTCCAAGTCCACGACTTGCTTTCCGAGAGCTTGAAACTGTAGATTCGCTTGGACTTCACCGGCGGTAATGTCAAAGCCTAGGCCGTCGCGGATTGCTTTTCCAAACCCCTTTGCCGTAATATTTCGTCCATTGCGTGGCCTTTCAAGTAGTCATTAGAACATGCCAAGTTCGAAGAGAAACTAGCAGTAGTACTTACAAGTACCCGTGGTTTGCCAACGTGTTCAGCATAGGGCAAGGAGAACGCGAGTCGCTCTCAGAGGCCGGTCTCCATTCTCCAACCACAGGATGATCTTTTGTTGGCCCCTGAGGAAATGCACCAACAGCGACAACAAGAGACACGATTACGCAGAACTTCATTTTCGAAAGGATATGTAGAGGAGAGAAGTATTGAGAGAAGAATAGTGGGATAGAGAGAGATGACCAAAGCTGCTTATCAGAAACAGCGTTGAGAAAGAAAATGGAAGGTTATATACCCAGGAAAGCAGATCTTTGCCAAGACACCGAATAAGCAACTTGGGTTGAGGCAGAGTGAAATGGGGCCTAGAATAAGATACAGTAATTCAGCTTATGCTGGGAGCTTACAGGGTGCATTCCAAATTTTTAATGACGGTTTTGCTTTTTGATAGCGAGGCTGTGTAACAATGTGGCTTCAAAGTCATCACTCATTTCACAAAACAGCAGAAACAATTAGTTTGGGCTGTGGCTGTAATTCGGTTCCTTCTTCAAGAAGAACACTCAGATGTCGGACATCTGAATGACTGCAGGGCTAAGGACAGTTCCAGCCAATGTGCTTGCACCCATTTGACATCGAACGGGAAAATGCTACTATTGATATAATGTAAGATTCGAAGATGAGTTGGTTGCTCATCATAAGAAATATTTCAAAAAAACTTGCATGATGCGAGGTTTAGCTGAGTTGTCGGTAAGCGAGACGGGGGTACGATTTGGGAATCCGACCCTGTGTATTTGGCCTTCGCGGAGCGTGATCCTACATGCTGGCTGAGCTAATCCATATGAGTTAACTATTAGCTGTCAAGGATACCCAACTCAATCACTTGACGTCCCATTTACTTGATTACGTGAGAAAGTTTTGGTCGATGACTCGAACGGGGAAAATTGACAGTCAGCACTTTTGGAATGGAAAGCTGATCAATTGAAAAGCCACTTTTCGGCTTGAATCCCGAAAGCCATGCAACTGAAGGTGATCAGCAAAGCTTGAATATTTCGACGATGGCGAGAGAAGCCACAGAACGGTTTCGATCTTGCCAAAGCTCAGTTTCCCAGTCTGAAACTATCCATTACCCTAGAGCTTTGGCACCATACAACAGCGTGATAGTTTTGAACCATTTCAGTAAAGCGGAATCAACTGTACCGTTGAGTACGACGACATCTCAAGGCCCTTCGCTTCTGCTGACACAAGACCGCAACGTCACTTGTCAGATTTTATAGACCGTCTATTCCAAATGACGACGTGCGCACTTTTAGACACAGATTCATATACTGATGCATTTCTCTTATTTAGATTCGTCAACCATTTTCCGCAACCTGACGTCACCGGCGGGCCAGCCGCTGATGGTGAGAGTATGCTCATGGGCTCTTATATACCACGATGTAAGGTTGTACCAACCATTGGCTATGTTAGCTCCTCCTCACGTTTGGGAGAATTGGGCGCTAGGTTTTGATGCTGAGATCAGTTGACCATGGAAATTGTAAAGATGGAATGATGCCTTGACCCGCTAGAATCAAAATTCTGATTTCTTTCACTTGAATCAATTCCCTTCCTTGCCAATACTTCCGCATTAAATCTTAAATCTCGAATCGCTCATTTAACGGCCCAAAAAGAAAGCTGTTTTTGAAGTGAAGGGGGCCAACAGGGGACGAACAAAACTTAGCAGCAAAGCAGTTGGGCATTGAACCTCACATTCTACCAACGTTATGCAAGAGCGAGCAGCGATGCATGATGCCACGAAATTTCATGATATCTCGGTAATCTTAACATCGATAATCTACCTATAAAAGAGAAAATAACGACGTCCCCTCTCCTGGTACTTCAGCAAGGTGGCACCGTGGAAGCAAAAAGACTTTCTCATAATTCGTGCTCAGTCACTGAAGATAAACCCAGAAAAGTTCAAAACTTGGAACTTTTAAACAATTGATGTAGGAGAAGTGAAATTCTAGGATCCTGGTCTGGAATAAAGTGAGTATTGTCACAATCATTTCCGAAGTTTCAAGTCTTTCCAACATGCTGGTACTCTGCTAACGATATATAGATGACATACTGCACTTTCCACGTCCCTGGACTTTGACGCATCAAGAACTTAGAAAATATTAGGAATCGCATGTTCGTGGGGGAGGCAAGAAAGATGTGATATTCCCGCCACTTCTCTTGACCAAGTTAGCTTCTGTAAGATTGCAAATGATGGCAGTGCACATCTACATTGCCACAATACAGAATGATACACTTCGATCCAATGCGTCCTTGAACATCCCAGCGTTGCGTGAGTGAAGGTCATTTTCTCAATTAGTGGAGCTCATACTGCTGAGGGGTACAATATTGAGTTGTCACATTTTACTTCCAAATCATTGAGTTGACTGATTCGTGAAAAAGATTCTCTTGGTTACGAGGCTACAGTTAAATAATGACGTTCAATTGATATTTTTAATCAAAAAGTAGGTATCTAAGTCAACACGAATTCATTATACTCCTGATCATCACACTTTGCAAGATTCATACTATAAACTCGAAAGAAAACTGGCTATTTGAACTAAATTCGGTTGTAGCAACCAATATGAAACTCAATATAGTCCCTACTTATCTTTCTATATTTTATTGAACTTAATTTGATACATATTGAGATGGAAATCAGATCTTCAATTACGGCATCAAATTGGGACGGACTATATTTACCCCTTCATATACCTAAAGCGAAGGAACTTTCCTCGGCCTCTCCGCGTGATCAGACGAGAATTGAGCACTGTCAATAAGCGATGTTACCTCGCTCAACATTCGTACTCCGTATCGGCTGGTTCTTCAGATCGGATGCTACATAAATAACAATCCGAGTACGGAGGGTACTTCGGTATTTTTTGTTTTCGTACCGTACCAGACGGAGCGAGGAGAACGATCGCGGGTTTTGAAAAATTGGGTTTGGGGGTTGGTACTGCCCAGTGCCCAAAAACACGTTGTTTTCGGGGCCCTTTTTGATCCGCACACGCACGTTACGGCGCAAAATCCCGGTGGTTGGGATTGGTCAAGATCCACAGTTAGGAAATCACAGAGTAGCGAATTCTTGGGTCTGCGTGAAAGCAGAATTACTTCGAAGTAATAATAGCGTGCCTGATATTTATTCGAGGTAGATTTAATTGAGCGAATTGACAATGAATGATGCGGGGTAGAAGCTATCGCCGAGCTGGCGGTGTGAAAGGGCCGTTGCTGGGGTCTTTTCGATCCTTTACAGGCTCGAAAGCTGCTTGCCACAGAATTCTGAAACAAAAAAGGAGTAGTTTTAGCTGTTTTACGGTACGATCCGTAAAAATGAATACACTGGTCTGAGTTGCACCTACAAATGCCGGCGGTGATTGAACCTACTCGTATTCTGTTGATAAAAGCACTGTGATGAGGTTGAGACGAGCGGAACATCCCAACAAACGAAAACTGGGAGACGAAAGTCGGGAATATCCTTTGGTCTCAGAAGAACAATCTAGAAGACTAGAAGTGATATTTTGTCTCGAAATCATCGCCTCGATATTTCGTAGAGGGAAACCCGTTTATAGAACAAGAATGGCCATGGCTAGCCCAGGAAACTCTGTTGTATTGTCCAGGATATAAGTTGTACAACAAATGAAACTCAGGTGACGTCGAATATTGATCGACTATATTTCCAGGTACATGAGAACCTTAAGAGCCTTATCACGTATTTGACTTTGATATGTGACGGAGCTACCCGAGAAAAGATTTACATGCAATCCACACATCAGACTTTTCAAAGCCCGCGAAACTCAAAGATAGCTTTATGAATCACGTGTTGCAAACATTTCCATGCACAAATATCGTGGCGGTTCATCAACCTGTCGGCCTTTCTTCGTACCGCGTCAGGTTACATGCAATGTGTTGAAGGGACCTGGTTGTGCCGCGAGCACCTGCAGCTAGAGTAGTATTTCTCAATGTGCCGGTATGTCACCACATGTTGGTACCAACACAATGGAATTGTTCAATCTTCACAGAGTCAATTTTCCCGTTCAGGCAGGTATGCAGCCATTACTGTTACCAACACAGTGGTTCAGAGGGCATTTTCCCATTTTGTAGCCACTTGGGGATGCACTTCCAGTAGCAGATATGCAGGTCTGCAGAAGTGTTTCATGGACTACAACCTCGGTGAATAATAGATCAACATCACTGCACCAGAATGGGAAGAGTACCGTTCTAGTTCTTTCATAGCATTTTGGCTAAACTCAAGACTTCAATTCAAGAAAGATGGTTAGCAACGCAGGCGAGCTTGCCAGAAAACAACTCGAAGGAATTAAGATGAGACTCAATCGTACGCGGTAGCTTGAAAAGATCAAGGCAATTCATTGAACGTAGAGTTTTTCCGATACAGTCGAGTTTTATCTTTTTTCTCACGAAGAACCTGGCTGATCGATCAATAGCTCATTGAAGCCCTACAGTGGGGCTTTTTGTGGTTGCGGGCCGTGGAAAGTAAGAAAACTCGTGATTCATCAGACACTTCTAGTGAGACTTCCTGTGGAAAAAATCCACCCCCACGTAACATTATGGCCTTGCTCAAACACACTCCCATTTTCTTTCACTTTCGAAGCTCCCGGAATTAAAAAAGAACAACAATGATACGATGTTGGTGCTCTTGCAGTATGAGTGCGTAGGAATTGTCACGATAACTCGAATGACCGCTTATCTCTACCAAGTATGATATTAAAAAGTGGATTACTCCGCAGTTGATATACTTTCTTGCAGATACTTGAGTCGTGTCAACTGTTAGACGTTTCCCTGCCAACTTTTGTGTCTCAGGCCCATGTTAGGGTGACAATCTCTTGTGGGGGAGCCTGGGGGTTTCAATGAAAACCCGCACAGATGATTGCGTCTTCTGACAGGCCAGAAGATCAACCTCAAGATACACTTCTCTCCATTTTAATATCGGCAAAGCCCACGCCATACTTTGATAACATGAAAGAACTCCGTACTTCAAAGTATGGTAATGTTTTGAATTTCGATGCATTGGGCAACCTTCCCGGTCATATTCTCCACCTTCCAACAGACTTGCATAAACTTTAGGTTAGCTTCCCAAGAAGTATGTGTCCATCTGGGCAGGAAAAATGCAGCATGAAGTTGAGATGCCGCATCTGTAAGTGCGTCGACTGCATTGTTGGGGGGGCGGCGCTTAACGTTCCATAAATACAAAAGTTCCGGAGTGGGGAGCTTCGGACTCGGTGATGAGGATGCCTTTCTCATATAAGCTTTCGAGTATCGCCCAAGTTTTGAACTCTTTGTTACTTCACAGACATTTACTCTAACATGGAGCTTCAAAAGGTGCATCATGGCGTCCCTGGCGGTAGCTATGATATCTGCAGGGTATGTTTTTTTCCAAGCATATACCCTACTTCAGTAAATTGACCTACATCACAGCCCAAATTCAGTTCTTTCCCACGCACTTTAGCTTACCATGCATACACACTCCATCTTTTCACATGCAACGACCTTCCTGAACTGGTCGTGATGCCATTTTTCTTTGCTCTTGCTACCATTGCTGCGTCTTCAGTTTTTGGAATTTCAAGTCAGAAGACTCTCGCCGAGTTACTTCTAAAAGTCCCAACCATGATTTGTTGGAATTGGATAAATCTTTTGTTGTTCAACATCCACAATCAACGACACCCCGAATCGATTCTTACCGACAAGACAAGCAAACCTTGGCGGCCAATTCCTTCCAAGAGAATAAGCGCCGAAGAAAGCCGCATGCTCCTTTTTATCTTGTATCCGCTCATGACACTCTTTTGTCTGGTGGTTGGTGGCCTGAGACCATTCTTAGCCGAAGCCGTGGTAAGTTCCCGAATCCAACAGCCATTTGCAAAGTCGTGGCGATTTTGCAAATGGACTTCAGGATGGTAAATGCTAATTGTCTTTCTCACAGTGGTGCATGTGGTACAACGAATGGAACGGAGCCAAAAATCCGGTTTGGCGAAATTTCCTCAACGCAACAGGAATCGCAACATGTATGGCTGGCCCACTGGAGCTTGTTATCGGCGACAACCATGTCCTCACTGATTTCCCAATTGCCATTGGGTGGCTCGTGATCATTGGAGCAACGATATTTACAACCAACCAACTCCAAGATTTCCGCGACCAAGACGAGGATCGATTAGAAGGAAGGAGAACTGTTCCGATTGTGCTGGGGGATGCAGTAGCCAGATGGGTTACAGTGGGAATTGTGATTGCATGGTCTCTATATGTTCCGAGCTTTTGGGGGGTTAAAATTGGGGGATACCTCCCTACTTTATTCTTGGGATGTGTTCTGGCAGGCCATTTGGTGTTGAGGCGAAGTGCAAATGGGGATAAAATTACATGGAAGCTTTGGGCGCCTTGGATGCTTTCTTTCTTTCTACTACCTATTTTGCGGAGATATGGATGACTATTGGTTGCATTTTATGGAGCAGGAGTCGTGGTTTTTGATTCTTTTGAAGGAAAGGCGTTTTATAGATACCGGATTAAGTTTCAATATTTGGCATTTAGTTTGAGATCAAGGTCTTTTGAATTTCAGCAATCTTTTTTCACATTTCTGAAACTGTACGATAGTGAAAAGCATCTGAGTACCCAAAGTTTTCCCCTATTTTGTGGGCCCGTGAAAAGGACGTCCACATATCATGTTACTAAAACTTCAGAACTGTTTTGTGAAACATATATTACAGCTTGAGACGGTGGAAAAGAACTCCAAGAGCTCCAGTGCCTCTCCCGACGCATAAAAGCACAATGCATGGGAAGGTAAAACATCAAGTACATGTTGATACAACGTTAACGCTGGTAAACTTCGGCTCCAGAACCCCACTCGTCCACACCATGTTTCCACGTGGGAGCCGATTAGAGTTTGAATATAATTGAGAGAGCGTGGAGCGTGGGCTTGTCTCGCGGTGTCGTAAATCATATGTGATGAAAGTCTATATCAGCCAAGTTTATGTCTTTGCTTTGCAGATCATGCCCAATTCTCGGTCCGAGCCGTAATATAGGCATGGGAGGATACTAACAAGCCGCTATGCCCACTGTCTTTATACGTTTACGAGTACGAGACGTAGTATTATGAGGCATGTTATAGCCACTGACAATTAGCAAAAACAAATCATACTTCTTATCGATGCTACGCTTGGACGTACAACACTAGAACACGCGATATTAGCATATATTTGGTCGTAATTTCAACAAGTCTCAGACTATCAGTGTCGTAGTACAGGGAAACAACTATACAAGGATACGCTCTATGAGAATACGTCGGTGATATCCTTAAACTTTTGGGCCCCAGAATGTTATTTGAACCAAAGTAAAACAACCTCGCCGTAAGAATTACCTCTGTTGTACAGTACCCTTGATGATACCGGTCTCGGCCATATCCTAGTATTGAGGTGTTTCTGTAACCACTTTTGGCTGTAAAGAAATCAGGGAGTCGAGTATTCAAGGGTGTGGTATTAAGCGAGGGAGGAGATGTTAGATATTATCACGTGATATAAAGGAAACTTTCTTTTCCTCTTGGATTTTTGCCTCTTGACAGAACATAGACAAGCATTAGATTTTAGGTTGCTACGCAAGTGTCTAATTCGCGTTAATGGTGCAGATAAATGACAACACGTGATAGGTCCTCTTGATTATCTCAAATGTGATTCAAGGAATTTCCGGCTCATGACTACAGATAACGTGGTTTATCAGCGAGTCGATCATATCACCGAGTCGATCACTTTTCCTTGGCACTACCTCCTCAAACTTCAACACACGTTTTCTTCAACTATTTACCATGGAAATTCAAACTCAAGAAGCGCGAATTATTCTAGCTATCGAGGCTATTCGGTCGTCCAAAAAACTAAGCAAACGCTCTGCGGCAAAGATCTACAATGTACCATATACGACTCTTTCCGACAGAATGGCTGGCCGAACCTACCGCCCAGATTCTCAAGCCAATTGTCATAAGTTGACTGAGTTAGAAGAGGAAGTGATTATTCGGTATATACTGGATATGGATTCCAGAGGATTTGCGCCCCGGCTCGCTGGTGTAGAAGATATGGCTAATTTTATCCTTGAATCGCGGGGGGGAAGACGCGTCGGCAAGCTCTGGGCCCATCGATTCGTACAACGACAACCAGACCTTAAGACGCGTTTTAATCGCGTTTACGACTTCCAGAGGGCCTTATGCGAAGATCCTGACGTGCTAGGCGCATGGTTCCGGCTAGTAGAGAATATGAGGGCGAAATATGGGGTTACAGACTCCGACTTCTACAACTTCGACGAGACAGGCTTTATGATGGGTGTTATTTGTCCTAGAATGGTTGTTACTCGTGCAGACCGACGTGGTAGAGGCAAGGCAGTTCAGCCAGGCAATCGGGAATGGGCTACAGCAATTGCCTGTATTAATGGGGAGGGCTGGAGTATTCCTCCATTCTTGGTAGTTCAGGGCAAGAACCATCTCTCCAACTGGTATACCGACGGCGGCCTCCCACCTAACTGGGTTATGAAACCGACAAGCAATGGTTGGACAAATAATGAAACAGGCCTGGAATGGTTAAAGCACTTTGATAAACACACTACAGCTCGTGCAAAGGGTCTGTATCGAATACTAGTTTTGGATGGGCACGAGAGTCATGAATCGGCTGAGTTCCAAGACTACTGTACGAAACACAACATTATTACTCTTGGACTACCTCCTCATTCATCCCATCTAACCCAGCCACTTGATGTTGGGTGCTATAGTGTGTTAAAACGAGCGTATGGTCGGCAGATTGAGACGTTTATCAAGGCCCATATCAACCATATTACAAAGGTTGAGTTCTTTCTAGCCTTTACAGCAGCATACAAGGAAACAATGACAGTCCTAAACTGTCAGTCTGGATTCCGCGGAGCTGGCCTAGTACCATTTAACCCGCAAGCAGTGCTTTCAAAGCTTGACGTAAGGTTACGGACTCCAACTCCCCCTCGGACGTGTAGTGCCAACTCCCTCCCCTGGGTGTCCCAGACCCCTTCCAACCCAACTGAAGCCCTTTCACAATCAACTCTTGTACGAAATCGTATAGCCTGTCATCAAGGAAGCTCGCCAACTCCACTTTTTCAAACAGTTGCTGCGTTAGCAAAGGGTACAGAGCGAATGGCACATGAGATGACCCTTTTGTCTGCTGAGGTCCGTACCCTTCGCGCTGCAAATGAAGCCCTAAGTAAACGCCGTAGGGCTAAAAAGACTCGTGTCCGCCAAGGAGGGGCACTTATAGTAGAGGATGTACAGGATATGTTAGCTCAGGAGGATGTAGATGAGCAAGTACGACGCGACATGCGTGAGGCGGGGGTTGGTTATAAGGAGGGGCAACCTTCTAGGCGGCGCTGTAGAACTTGTGGAAAAGCTGGTCATAACGCGCGAACTTGTCAAGAAGTTATAGATATATCTAGTTCGTCAGATATAGAGAGCGATAATTAATTTAATATATTGTGGTTGATTTATTTAGGTGTAAAGTTCTGTGCCAAGAAAAAGTGATCGACTCGGTGATATGATCGACTCGCTGATAAACCACGTTATACGATTTCTGATATAAGTAAATAGGTGTAGATTACCAAGAAAGTCTTTTTGCTAGCAGCAATTCTATACAATGCATCAAGGAGTACTCCTCCTCCACCATTCTCACTCGCGACCAACTTCTCGGCAAAGCTTGAATAACTTAAAAAAGCGCCTATGTTAATCTTTCCGCCCATTCCCGAAGCGTCTTCTTCAACTGCCAGATTGAGGAAGCCAGAGAATCAAGCTTTTTTGTGTCACTTGATGAGTTCTCTCGGCAATACCACTTCGCAGTCTCGGCTAATTCACAGCGAATCAGTCAACCTCTTTGACAAATTTATATATTGATATGCGTACCGAATGGGACGAGAGAATGGCTTCTAATCTATCAAGTAGTGATTCAATCAGTCAAGTTGTGCCCCAAGGTCAACTACCGAACAACGCGACAAATTAACCTGTTCATTAAAAACACGATTTATCCTTGTACTCCAACGATCTAGTTGGTTCACGACAGTCAGATGATGCATCTTATCTTTGAAAGAACGGTTCCAATGGGACTACTATTCTTTGGCACACATGTCAGTTTTTGGTGTATATATATAAGAGCTGGGTCTTTCTGGACTCTTTCTCGGTTTCAAGAGTGTAATTGGATATCCACGTTTGAGCTTTTCTCGCTTACTCCAATCCTTGACGAACATCAACATCAACATGTATAGGAGCTCTCTTTTGGCCGGTGTGCTGCTGGCACATTCTGTTTTGGCACAGAATATGCTTCGATTTGCTTGCTCTCAACTCACAGTTGAAAGGGCCGATCCTTTAGTCGTAAGTTTTCGACCTACTCCAATGTTCTTGCAGTATACTAACTTCTAGCCTCTTAGACACCTGGCATGAATCCAGCACCACACACCCATCAAATCATCGGCGGAAATGCGTTCAACCTTACAGTGCGCAACAATTCTCCTCACTTCGAGATCACAACTAAATATATTCCCAGATGGAGCCCGCAGTCTATGACCCCGCCGCCAAATCAACTTGCACAACCTGCACCTACTCAGAAGACTTCAGCAACTACTGGACAGCATCACTATACTTCCGCTCCCCCGAGAACGGAACATTCCAACGGGTTCCCCAATTCGCCAACGTGGGGCTGCAACAAGATGGTGGAATGACAGTCTACTACATGCCCTACAGTGCCAAAAACGGCAAAATGACAGCCTTCAAACCGGGCTTTCGAATGATTGCCGGAGATCCAATGACGAAGACAAAAAACCGAGCTTCAATCTGCCATCGCTGTCTTGGAAACGGGGAAGGGTTTGCCCCTTGTGATGCGAAGGATACTGGGGAATTGCCTAACAAGTACTGTCCCAAGGGTATCAGAGCTACAATTATCTTCCCGAGTTGTTGGGATGGGAAGAACTTGGACAGTCCGGATCATAAGAGCCATGTTGCTTATTCAAATTCCGGAGGATTGGGGAGCACAAATTGTCCGTCTACGCATCCTGTTGCGATCCCGCAGGTGATGTATGAGATTATGTGGGATACGGGGAGGTATAAGAATGATGCTTGGTACGGGAGCGGGAAGCAGCCTTTTGTTTACAGTTTTGGCGATGCGTAAGTCCCTACTCTGTAGAAATTGTGCGTGTGCCATTGATCATTCTAATCATGAAATCATAGGACCGGATTCGGTCAGCATGGCGATTATCTATTTGGTTGGAAGGGGGATGCTTTGCAAAAAGCGATGGATGCCCTTCCAAGTGGGAAGTGTGCCAATGCTAACTGCAGCGTTCTCAAGATTCAATCTGCTCAAGACTCTATGAAGTGTAAGAAAGACCAACAAGTCGTCGAAGATGTTGGAAAGAGTGGACAATGGATCAAGCAGCTTCCAGGTGGAGTTGCAGTCACGAATTAAGGATTCATTAGAGCCGGACAGGATTTATCGCTGGAATTTGTGTATGGTGGTTTTTATTGGTCGATTAGTCAGAGACCGGTGCATTTTTCGTGTCTGCATTTCGTTGTGATGTAGTTGATGTACCTTGAGGTTAATACCACTTTCTGATACTTCTCGTATGTGTATCAAATTTTTGAATTTGGGGTAGACCTGGGCACGATACCAATATATCGCCGAATTGTTGTTCTATGACATCGATAATCATCGTCTGAAAAGTGACAATATCAAACTTTCGCAACTTAACTAAGCATTTTTTAAGGTACTTCTAGGAACATTTTCAAGGTTATTAAGGTAGCAACGACTTATACTACAAGTAGTTTGCTATATAGGATATATGTCGATTAGTAATAGACTCTCGCCACGCTAAAGAAACCCTATTGCGTACTTACTGCTTCGTCTATATAGTAGTTTATATGTCATAGGGTTTTTACCTAACCGAGAATCTATACAGGGTTAGAATATATGTTATGAATTATGAATTATCCGAACTAAGTAACAACGACACTTCTCCCTTCCACATAGTTCTTACATCTACTATATTCGTTTTATTACCCCATACCTATAGAACAAGGCCTGCTAAAAACACCGCAACTATGTCGGCGGAATAGAAACTCTTTATATGATGCTGAGAACAATCTAGTATCCATAATTGTTTCAAAAAATTACGTGATACTCTTAGAAGAACTCGGCATCTCTATCTTTATCATTGTATCTTCTTACTGTCAAACCAACGACTCTTTCCGTTAACGCTCCAACTACCGACTCCATCCAATATGCCATATACAACCAAAACCCCCCAAAAAGGGTTATACAAGACGAAATATACAAACCACCTCCCCCTCCCCTACTTCCACAAACCCCCCCACGTCCCACCCCTCAGAATCGGCATGGGCGGACCCGCACCCTCCCCTTCCTCCTCAACAGCCGTGCTACTCCCCGGCGCCGTCNTTCCCCACTTTCCCCCTCCCTCTTCCTCTTCCTCCCCTCCTCCTCCCTCCCCACCCTAACCACCCTCCTAAACCCCTCTCCCCTCTCCCTTCCCCTCTCCCTCTCCATCGCACCAAACAAAAACTCACTCGGCGGCTCATTCGCAAACGGTTCCTCAAAAGGAATCGTAGCAAGGTCAAACGACGGCGGGGGGAGCGTCTGATCTTTCGCGGTAGAGAAGTTCTTGGGATCAACACTCTTCTTTGCGTTCTCGTAGCCGAGTTTGGCGCGTTTCAAAAGGGATTTGTAGGAGGGTCGGAGAAGAGGCTCGCGGAGGAGACATTCTTGTGTGAGGTTTAGGAGGCTGTTGGAGTACTTTTTTCCGGCGATGGGGATGCCTTCGTCTTTTTGCTCTTGCTCTTCCGGATGATGTCGAGTTAGCGTTAGAGTACGCTTGCGTTTGCGTTGTGAGGCTGTGGGTCGGTTTACGCTGGCGCTGGCACTCGCGCTCGCGGTCGCGGAAGTGTATTCTGGTTCCAAGCACTGACTGGAATTATGATTCGTCTTCAGGACATCGGAGCAGAGGGGACGGCGGGAGAGCAGGCGGTCGTCCGGGTAGAACATGGCCATTTCTTTAGCGTTGGCGGGGTTGAAGTTTAGACGACGGCGGGTGATGAGGGAGTTCATGATGGCGCCGATTTGCCAGACGTTGCTGCAGTTTCCTTTGCGGGGTTTGATGGGGTACTTGGTTGCATCCCAGGACGACCAGCGATAGCGGTAGACTTCTTCCTGTGGGATTGATTAATTTAATCTTCGCATGGGTTTTCTAGGATCCCCGTCGTTGAGAATGAAGGGGGATGAGGCAATATCGTGTTTTGGGGTTTCCTTTGAAAAAGTGGAATTTAAGAATGCAACGTACTGGTGGTCTGAAACTATCGAATCCCCTTTGAAATGTACGACCTCCATACGCATCGTCCTGTCTGCTAACCTCTCTAACATCCATCGCTTCACCGAAGTCCGCTAGCTAAGGACGCAAATATATCAGCAACAGACACACCACCAAGACACAATCCAAGCAACAAGAACCTACTTTAGCAATCGGCAACCTCTGATGATCCTTATTCCTATACCCAAAGAAAACTACAACACCACCACTCATTAGCACGAATCCCTCTCACCCTCGTCCCCTCACCCCCCAACCATTCAAAGCTGATGAAAACAAACATACCATTATCCGGTTTCAAATCCATATGCACCAACTCCCTCTTCCTCAAGAACCCCGCATACCCCGTCGTCCTATCCATCATCTCAGCAATAACCCCCACCCCCTCCGCCATACAACAAAACAGCGCCCAAAGATCCACCTCCTCCAGCCCCATCCCACCCACCTCCCCCTTAACCGGATAACTCTTCGGCAAAAAAACATCCACATCCCCCCCGGGACAAAACTCCATAAAAATCTTCACCACCTCCCTCATATCCCCAAACCGATCACCAGTACGATTCCCCCCAAAACTCCGCACGACATGTCCATTACGGCGCTGACTCAGTCTTTCCAGAATCCGTCCCTCGAACAATCGATCTTTGCGCGGGCGGGTATCCACGCTGGTCCCTTGGTAGTCCTCGGAGAGGAGTTCGGTCATCTTGATGACGACTTTGGTGATGGCCGGCGCTTTTGCCGGGTCGCCTTTGTATTCCCATAGTCCTGTGACGCCGAAGCCGCCTTTGCCTAGGAACTTGGTGCCGACCCAGCCGTCGGGGATGCGGTTTTGCCAGATGAGGCCTGACTCGAGGAAGGGTTTGATGTCTCTTTGTTCGCTGAAGGGGAGGGCCATGGTTGGTGGTGGTGAGAGAGCATGAAGTTGGGAGGGAGGGATTTTATTAGAGGGGATTGAATATGGGGATGTATAGAAAGAAAGACAGGAAGGGTTGGTTATTTTGGATTGGAGGCTCTCGATTGCTTAGGTCAAAATTCTTCGTATCTTGCGTTTACCTAGCCATATCGAGTAGTGGCTGCGCTTTGTTAGGGTCTTTTGATGGTCCAGTGGAAGATCTCAAAGAAAGTCCATCAGGTCCGATTTCTTTTGTTAGTATTATGCAACAATGACCAGAACAAAGGCGTATTTGCCTACATAGGTTGCTGTTACGCTCTTGGCCTAACACGTGATAGCCGTGATATACCTATTTCCAGGTTATGCAGAGGTTGAGGAAGTGCTGAAGTACTCACCAATATGTATACCGCCTTCACCACGGGCGATTAATGCAAGTAAAGAGAGTATTGATTTAGACAAGCATATATTTCTCATTAGCATGATCTTCTATATCTTCTAGTAGCAATATCGTATCATCACTTTCCTGATAGTGATACTCCTCCTGACCAAACAGTATTTCATCAGTCTCATGCTCCGTCTGAATATTCTCTTCTGCCGTTCCAACAAGTAAGTGGAGAAGCCCGTCATCGCTATAGTGGTCCTCGGCGAGGAGGCTTTCGAAATCAAGCAGGTCTTCGTCATAGTTCTCGTCGCCCTTAGCGAGCATATCTTCGAAATCGGACGTATTTTCCAGCTCTTCCGCATCTAGAGGCTTTGACTGAGACTCCAATAGCCCTCCACCCGAGCTGTGTTCCATGTTGTCCAAAAATTCCCACGCCAACTGCCTTGAGGAGGTCGCCAGATATGAGTTCCTCTGCATCATTGCCCAAAGTGAACTGCTAACTGCAGTCGACAGCGGATTTCGTGGAATACCTCCCTGTCTGGAGTCATTAGCATCGTTTGACTGATGTGCCAATCGGTCAAGTTTTTTCAGAAGAGTGGGCGATTGGACGTTTTGCGGCCAAGAGACAGATATCGTTCTGGTAATTGTTGTTATAAATTGATTGTTACTCGCCATTACCTATGACAATGTAAGAAGATAAGCAAGGATAGGTTTCATGCAAACTCACCTCTTTGAACCCGACACCAAATATTCCAGGGCAGAGTCTTGCAAGAGAATGAGTTGGATGTGGCGGTCGAGCAACAATGTCCCGATAAGCTTTGGGGCGTCTTACTTGACGCCCGGTCATTAGCGTATGGACTGCCACTTCAACAAACTTTTGAATAGGTTCAGCAAGTATCACAGGAGAATCTGATGGCAGGGGCCGTTTGTAAAAAGAAGATGTCTGAGAGGAGAGTGTTGAGGTAGTTGAAGACTGGGAATGTAAGGGAGGAGCAGCCTCGAATGACTGCGACAAGAGCATGTCGGCCTCCTCAGTAAGAGGCTTGAAAGGGACTTCACAAGGTGCGAGCAACATATCCTCTGGACCATCAATGGAATTCTGGAATCTGATGGATTCATGGTTCCACAAGGGGGCTTGTTGGGGTAGTTGGGAATCGTACTGAAGGTCTCCTGACCCGAGAATTTCAGAGCTTGTTGCAAGAATCCGAGGAATATTTTCGCATATATTAGTCAAAAATCCCTCACAATTATCCAGATAAGTATCCAGCAGCATAGTATCTCGCTCAGAACTCGTTGCTTTAGATCTTTTTGGCGCATTTTCGGACTTGTCACGTATAACCTGGACTTTCAATTGTACCTGTACTTTTTCAACAGTAGCACGTCTGACACCGCCTGGTGGTTGCACATCAATATTTCCCGCAAGCCAGTCTTCTTGGGGCAATGATGAACTGGATGGAGGCTTCTTGGGACCGAGACGTAGTGAGAAAGAAATTTTGTTTGTATCATCGGACTGAGGGATATCAAGGGAGGCTGACAAGGAGAGCTGGGTCCAGAACTTGGGATTGTTAGAAGAGAAGACCAATCAACAAATGGCAAGCTTACGTATGAGTTTTGCAATCGGTTTCCGAGGCTTTCCACAATGTGATTCTGGTTTCTATTGAGAAATTCTTCGTCGTCCCAGTGGATATAGAAATCGAAACAACAGTTTCGGCCTCGAGTCGCCCACAACTTACCGTCAGCTAACGCAAGAAAAGTTTGTTCCTTTGACAACTGTGATGTGCCTTCCGGCACGTCTAAATGTAACACAGAATCGACTCGGAGCTTTAGCTTGTCTGGCCCACTTGTCAAGTTGATCGGATCAAGCTGCAAGGCTAGCGACATTTCCAAGGTTGCATCTTGCTGCTGGAATCTGTTGAGTTTTTTTTTCTTCAATTGACCGCCATCCGATTCGCGCCGCGCCGACTTCGCAATGCCTCCGCCGCAATTGGTGTATTGCAATGGTGCTGTGTACACAGATGGACTTGGAGATGACTCGTCGGGTTGGGGAAAACGCGTGGTAGGAGAGACCTGAGATGTAAGTGATATTTGTTAGTTGAAGGATATCATTGCGTAGGTCATCGAGAGACTGTAGGAGTTTCCACCGGCGATCAGGGCTTCTCAGGACTTTTCACGACTTTTCACGACTTTGGACTGTGGTGTTGAGAGGTTGCTGGAAAGGCAGCCGTACGGGGAGAATTCCGATGCAATGCTTTTTTTTCTCGAATCCATCCACGGTCGGTCCACCGCCTTTTTGATCGCGCCGCGGCCGGAAACAGACTAGCGGCGATCTCGCTTATCTTGCATTAGCGCGAAGCTCCCACGGTCCAAGGGCTCCAAGGCTCCAAGGCTCCTTCCCTGCGGGATTCACCAGGTTTGTCTGGATTCTGCGCATCGAATTCGATGACGATACTCTGATAGTGATCCAACTTCCCCGCTACCTACTCTGCTACTCTCGCTACTCTACTCCGACAGCCAAATTCAACCCACCGTTGCCCTTCCACACCTTCCCCCAGGTTTACCCTCTCTGCCTTCGGCCGTCCCCTTAAATCCCGCCCTTTGCACCTGCCCCCGCCCGCACAACCAAACCCAACCCCAGCCCAGACGTCCCTCAATCATTGACCCCCCATACTCCGTATCCCACCACATCCCTCCAATTCCCATACCCATTTAAGCTTGTTGAGACACCCACTCTAACGCAATGGCCATCACCAATGTTGGCTCTCTCGTCCTCAACCTCCTCATCTTCATCACCACTCTGGTCAACTTCAGCTACACCCTGACCACACTCGAACCCGGCTTCATCATTGTCCTCTATGCCATCTCCAAGATCTTCGTGACGCCGCCGGAGCAGGGCATCTTCAAAAAATGTCAGCAGCGACATCTCTACCAAGAAGGTTGACCTACCAGCTCCCCGAAAATGGCTATGAATCTCCAATGGTACCCGGGAGCGAGGAGAATTTCTTTGAACCAACAACAAATGGGACTGCCAACGACGCGGGACTGGGGGATCGACGGCAGCGACGTCCACCCTATGCGGGCAACAACCGCCTATACACCAGGGACGAAGAATGTCAAACGCAGGACCGAAGTGATGGCACAAGCACGGTGGTGAGCGCGCAGGGTGATGAAGAAGGAGGTCAGAGGATATTTGGCTTTCGGGACCGCATTGGCTGTTATACTTGGACTTGGTTCACAATGACAATGGCAACCGGAGGCATCGCAAACGTCCTTCATTCAAGTGTGTGGAACCTACTTGTAATAGAAAACTGCACACCCGTACTGACAATGTCAAGTTCCATATCAATCCAATTGGCTCCGAATCATTGGTGCCATTATCTTCTTGTTCAATATGATACTTTTTCTCATGAATTGTTTCTTCATCACGTTACGGTTCAGGTGGAATCCTGGGTCTTTCAAATCTTCTTTCAAAAGTCCTTCCGAATCGTTATTTATACCCGCATTTGTAAGTGTAGAATACCCTATCTTCGCGCACACAGCTGACACGGTGAAATTCAGGTCGTATCGTAAGAAATTCGAACCATTTCTGTATCACGGTCCTCATTAACACCAAACAGAGTAGGGACGATATTAACAAACATGGCGCAATATGGAATACCAAAGACGGGGGAATGGTTTCAAACAGTAATGCAAGTATGCTTCTGGACCTACGCATTAGTCACCTTCTTAGCGAGTTCTGGCATGTACTTGATTATATGGTCGACTCAGTAAGTCCTGGAACGAACCTGAATCTCCATCACGATGCTCATTCTTTGCAGAACATTTCCAATCCACACTATGACGCCAATCTGGATTTTTCCTGCCTACCCCGCACTTATGATTGCCCCACTAGCCTCCAACATCATTGCGTCTCTACCCAATGCAACAGCCGCAGCACGAATAAATTCCATCGCGATAGCATATGGAGCGATTTGTATACAAGGTACCGGATTCATGGTTAGCTTGATGATTTACAGTGCATTTATATACAGACTCATGACACAAAAGCTTCCACGAGAGAGTACTCGGCCTGGAATGGTATGCTCAAATCCAAGATCAAAAACCACCTCATGCTAACATCATCAGTTCGTTTCCGTTGGTCCAAGTGGTTTCACCGCTGTCGGCATTGTACAACTTGGCAGTGTCGTTCCAAAGATAATGCCAAATGGTTGGTTGGGACACCCAGATGCTGCTTTCTTCCTTAGATTGTTATCCATCATGGTGGGCTTATGGATCTGGGGACTGTGCTTGTGGTTTTTCTTGGTAAGTGTGGGTGCCCATTGGCAGCTGGTCCTACTAAAAAAGGAAAAACACCAAATCCATTTTGACATGACCTGGTACGTCCATTTTTTCCCTCTCCTCTCTCTCCGATTGTTTCTTGCATTAACACAATTTTGGCAGGTACTCATATGTCTTCCCCAACACCGCTTTGATCTCAGCCACCCTCGCTATAGGTAAAGCTCTTAGTTCCAACGCTATCCAGATCTTCGGCACAGTTCTTTCCGCTCTGCTAGTTGGCCTATGGATCATTGTCTTCTACATGATGATTAGGGCTTTGGTCTTCAAGAGGTTGCTTTGGCCCGGACGTGTAGATGGGTCTGATATCTCGTGGAAACACTGGATGGGGGTGTGGGACAAGTTGGTTGGTTCAACAGAAAAGAATGCGCAAGGTGCGGTTTGAAAAATACATATAGAGCGCGGTGTTTGGTGTTGGAGGAGTTGAGCGGCTTTCTCTCTTTCTTTCTTTGCTTTTTCGCCGGACTTTTTGCTGGAAAAGTTAGAGGGTGAGGTTGCTATAATGGGGTGTAGGGGGATTAGAGCGTGTAGAGGGGATAAAAGGAGAGAGGTAGGAGTATATATTAATGAATCCAAAACTTCATTTCATATTATACGTTTTTGTAATTTCAAAAAATTCATGCTTCGATCGGGATAAGCTCTTAAGATCTTCACCCTAATATCTTCATTTCTGGAATGGTTGAATCTCGTACCTACTATATTATGTATTTCCCCCATTCACCCCTTGAAATTATGGTCTACCTACCTTCTATGGTGAATATAAATATCAATACCCCTGATTCCTCTCATAGATGTCTCTATGCATATGTACTAGGGGATCAGAGTCTAAGGATTAGTTACTCTTTTGATAATATGTGATGATTCTGTGGTTGGTGGTGGGGTTTCTTGTTGTGAATGTGTCCTGTGGACTCCTTTTTTTGTGGGGGATCTTGTTTTCTTTGAGCGGCTTTTTTTTTTGGTGTATGTGGTGGTTTCGGGGGTGTGGGTTTTGGGAGTGGGGGGAGGTTGTTGGGAATTCTGAATTATCTCCTCCATGGTCCTTGTCCCGCGAGGAATGTATTCGCCCCGATTAGGGGCGTGTAAAGTGGTTTCTGGGAAACCCTATCAAAATATGCTATTTAGTATTACATATAACTTCTGTATAAGCGAAGAGAAATCTACTAAAACTTAAGAATCCTTTATTCGGACATAAAACCACGTTAAACTCAAAACTATAACTGTAAAATCCTTCTAAATCTTTATATAAAAGAAGACGCGTTTGAATCAGGGGCTCGCCAAACACGAAAATTCATCTTGGCGGGACGAGGACCACGGAGGAGATAGAAGATGTAAATTCTTGGGATATAAAGTCAGTAGGGCTATAATATACTAAATACAGGACATATACATACATCCTCTCTCCTCCTCTCTCCTCCTATACCCCCTCATCCCTCTAAGTACCTCCCACGTCTAACCACCCCCACACACCATCCATTGTCCAAATACCCCCCATAAAATCCCATCATCTCAACCTCCACCCCAATAATCCTATAAAATCCTTCCTCACACCCCTCTATCTCATACCAACCAAACTCACGAAGGAAGTAATTGTCATCCATGAGAGGTGGCTGTTGTGTTGTGCCGTACGGATACTGGTGTGAGAAGAGGGGTTTATGCATGGATTTTTGTGGGAGGGTGTTGGGTTTAGGGACGGGGGGAGAGGGGGGGTGGAGGTGGAGAAGAAGAAGAAGAGGAAGGGGAAGTGGAGGTTTTGGGGGTGTTGTCGATTGAATGTTTTTCGTTCGTTCGTTGGGGGGTTGTTTGGTGAGTAGAGGGGTTTGGTAAAGNGGAGGTTTTGGGGGTGTTGTCGATTGAATGTTTTTCGTTCGTTCGTTGGGGGGTTGTTTGGTGAGTAGAGGGGTTTGGTAAAGGGTGAGGGAGTTGGATGTTAGATGCTAGGGATGGGGGTGGGGTGGATTGGAAGGGGGATAATTTGGGCACGCGCATGATGATATCGAGTTGAGTCTGTTCAGGTGGTGGATGTGGAGAGTCTGGCGGTATGGGGGTTTTATAGTATGGATTTGGGAGTGGATATTGGATGTATAGTGGGTATGGGTTATGTATGGTATAGAGGGAAGATTTGTAAGAAATGGAACGAGAAGGAGTACGAGGGAGTTACTCAGAGTCTAGAAATTAGGATACCCTTTTCTTGGCTACGGTTCGTACTTTAGATTCCTCTTTCTATTCCGCTGTGTCGTCCTCGTCTCCACCTCCCACTTTCTCACCTCTCTTTTGGGCATTCAATATCGGTATTCAATATATACCCTCTAAATCTAGATATATCATACTTCCACCCAGCCTCTAACATGATCTATAAAGTATTGATTGGTATTCCAAACAATAATCATTGAACCATCCAAGAAGGAAGTATTAAAAAGCGTGTAGGAGAGGGAGAGGAAGCTGGTATCTTGATCAATAAGCTTACTCAGTTAACTAGGAATTAGTACTATGTTATTGGTGTTTAGAATTTTTGTGAAGGGTTCTTAGAGAAGAAGGTGAGATGTCTTTGTTTGGGAAAGTAGGGATGTGTTGTTGTTGGTTTTGTGTTTGTTGTCGAATTGGGGGTGTTTGTTGTCGAATTGAAGTCGTCCGTTTCGTGAGATTTTTGGGGCGTCCGTTCGTTTCTTGGGTTGGTTTGGTGTGCCTTGATTGGCGTGTCTTTTTTGGTGTGTCTTTTTTGGTGTGGTACTGTATACTATTGAGAGAAAATGAAATATTTGACGATAGAATGGGGCGACGAGACGATCCGTGGGGTTTGATTGTAAGCTTCTTTCTCTAGCTCATTATAGTACCCGGGGGAAAGACGAATGTTCTCTCGGTTATCTAGCATAGATTTGGTTGCTGTAAATATTCTGATGCAGAGTTCCAAGAAATTAATAAATTTCACTTGAGAGATAAGGGGAGAGAGGTTAAAGGATCGACTGTTGTTGTTAAGAGGGTAGTTGAGGGGGGAGGGAGTATATGGTGGTTAGATACCGATAACTAGCACGTTAAGAGATGATGCGAAATTTACCTGTAGATTGTAGAACGTGGTACGACGGAAATAAGGAAACATAATGCAGAGTGAATATACGGAAAGACCGCAGGGGTTGGATTATCGATAGATTGTTTACTCTCTGATGTCCAGGACTCCTAAATAGGACTTTACATCCACAAATACATCTGTTGATTCTCTCACACTAAGGCCATCCATTCTTACTACTTTTCACTTGTAGAACATATGAATGGATGTGGAAGCAATAACTATCTATTAAAAGTCTGGCGGGTGAAGGAGGACGTATATAGTGGTTGTATATTAAACACTAGGACATTTGGTAAATGATAATATGTAGCTAAGGTACTGTACGAGTAGAACCATAAAGAATAATACCGACTAGCTCATCGCATCCAACTTCCAGCTTTACAGATTCACGTATACATGTACTAAGAACTTCCCACACTGGCTTATATATACACCAACCCGTCCTCCACTTTTAACATTGTCCATCTAAACCTGATGGAGTCGCTGCTGGTAGACCTCTACCCCCCGGAACTTCTTAGTGACCTTGTAAAAGGTAACTTATGCCAGAACCGTGACACATAGTTCATCTGCACGTTCTTAGACCTTCAAGGTATTGGACGTTTGATGTTGGAAAAATATCCGAATAAATAGATTGCAATGGGCAATTTACTGTCGAAATTATCGTTGTTGTCGATTATCTTTCGTTCACTTGTTGAGGAATTGGGAGGTCGGGGTTCAGGACTTCTTGATATTTCTGGAGTCGCTCCTTCTCAACGACGATTTTGATATTGTAGATGAAGTGATATTGCCAAGTGTCGTAAATAACATGCGACAACGATGAGCAACAGTGTACGCGTTGCGCTCTTCCAGGACTGTATGAAGACATTGTGGATTTGTATATCCTGTCTTTATTTTATCTTTCATAGGGTCTTTGAGTAGATAGTGCGTATTACTAACACGAGGCTGCGTACCCAGAAGTATCACCAGGGTTAGCACGGCCAGTAGGATCAGCGGCGTGAGTGGCGCTATATATGGCTATCGACTGATTCGTTAGGTTCTCAATGGCTGTTCTTGATGGTACAGACTCTGCTTTGTATCTCCTATCCCCATCATCGCATGTGAATCTTTGCTAAGATTAAGCTGTGATAAAGAAGAAGTGTGCGAGAGTGAGTGAGAAGGTGACTGAATATACTGGAAAATAATAAAGACATGTTTTTTTGAGCATCCACTAACTATCACCATTTGAGTCCTTGAAACCCCAATCTAGTGTGAGTCGTTGATCTACTCCAACTACTTTCCTGAGAATGACTAGTACCAAGGACGATATGTCTTTGAAGCAGCTTAACAACACCACTAGGTGATTGAGGATGGCGCAGCGAGTCTTACCAGAGGGAGTGGTTTGAGAGGTAAAAATTTAAAAATTGTGGGGTAGGTATAGTCGTCCGGCGATTAATATTTTGGAAAGTTCAAGTGCACCACTTAGTTATACGCATGAGTCCGACAAAGAATCAGTGTCTCAGAATTAATGATTTCAAAGTTGCTATGGCCTGGTTTAAGTGCTAGGCCCTACAAAAACCCGCTCTAAGTTGATATCTTTAGTTCTGTGCCTCGGGTTAGAATATTCGTCAACCTGCCTTTGTTTTCCTCTATGTTGTTGATGAACATATATTATGAGAAGTTGTTCATGATGTAAAGACGAAGGAAGCCAAGAATTGATAGGTAATTACTTGTACTTTGAATAGCAGTGCAGAGGGTAGCTATCAAAAGTTTGGAAGACCCGCTCAACGTATAGTATGGGAGAGAGAAGAACTAGTTTAATGATATTGAGTCTCTCTACTTTCAAACAAACACTTCATGATATTGGACTAGTGTTCAGCCGTGTTCCTTTATCACTAACACCAATTAAACTTTCTTAACAGCAGTCAATATTCAAGTGTGCAGCCCTGTATGTTATGCTTCATGTGAATTGACTGAGAATAAATACTTGGAAAGTATATATAATTGATGACTTGGCGTCAGAAGGAGGAACCACCCCATACACTCGATCATTTACTGCCGGCTGTATCTCGGAGGTCTTTCCAATGGAATGAATTTCCAGCAATAGCAAGCCTTTGCTGCAAAATTAAGTAAAAACAGAACGTCGAATTGAGCCGATCATTACAAGCAAGCTGCCTTGTCTTACTCTACTCGCCAGATGACCATAACCCTTTGTTAAGTCCAGGAATAGATGAATTCCCCGCGACCTGCATTGTAATTCTCCACCGCGCAGGGACATCTTACTGTAATAAGCTTACTACTACTCTAAATTGCTTAAAAAGATTTGTGCCAGGTAAGAAATAGTGAATTTCGATAAAAACGAGTTTATACTTGTGCGTTACTTGCTCATTCAAACGCGCAAGTGTGATCTGAGATAGAACCAACATGAACCAATCGAATACTTGACACCCGGAGTTTTTTCGCAAGGATAAGGCTAAGCAGGCAGAGTCTATGCCACTGGGAATTTTCATCGA